GTCATCAAGGTGAAACACGTCTTCTTCTTTTTTTTTCTGCCTTTTTCACCTGTTCTACTTCTATTCTGATGTTCTTTGCATTCAGTGTTCTCATTAAAAAAAGCTACTTATATACATGAATGTAAGTAGGCATCATCATAATCATCATAATCATCGATGGAGAAATACGTAGCATAAAAATGAGTTCTGTTCCTGTCTGTGACTTGTGCGCAGACATGTACGCGTGCCAGATCTTGGAAAAATATCGAGAAAATCTTAGTTAGCAAAGAATGACGATGATGATGTTGTTTTTCTTTCCTTTTCCCCTTCTTTCTCTTCGTATATTATTATTGTTGTTGTTGTATTTTGTGTTTCTGCTTACTATATGAATTATCTCCGAATCGTATTCGAATGCTTGTTAAAGAACTGAGTACAGAAGAAGAAAGTCGGCCACGTGTGTCGGTTCGGTTAAGAGATGAGAAATAAAGCGAGAGAAACGTTCTCGAGTGGACTCGAGCTGTAACAGGGTATTTGAAAATATTTCGGTTGTCTGTTAGCATCATCGCAAACCAATGTCAGATATACAATACACGTAAATTAGACATTACTCAAGGAGAAAGAGAGGAGAGAAAGGAAAAAAGAGAGAAGCAAAAAAGAAAAGAAAAGGAAGCCGAGTCGATGGAAGGGGAACGAGAGAATAGAGGTTGAAACGAGAAAGAATCTGGGCATCGTAGTAATGCATTGAGAGAACGAAAGCAACAACAGCAGTCGCCGGCGTTTCTTCAGCATCAGCAACAAACTGTTTCTCGTTTTTCTTTTTTCGAAAAATATATATATATCAAAAAAAAAAAGTCGCGACCGACTTGATCTTCCTTGTGCTACCACGACTGCGTCCTCGACACTATTTCAAAGCGTATAAGAAGAAAACCTCAGCACACAAGTACACAGACCCAAGTGCATACACGCGACAACATCCACGTAGAAAAACCCGTCATCTTTGTGTATTAGTTAGGCAAATAAACCAGCTCTAGAACATTTATCTGACACTATTATTGCCATATTATCATTATCATCGATTCAGAGGAAAAAAACACAAGATAAAATAGATTTCCGTGCTTTCAGGTAAATATCAGCATTTTCATGAAATAGATTATTACTAATAGACGTCATTTGATTTGTAATTCGATGTAAATAAGAAATCTTACTGAAATTAGTTCAGCAAAATCTGCTGACTCGATAAACCTCGTGCCCTATGCTAGTATAGTGAAGCCATTTGTCAGTCTGAAATATTTTTAATTACAGCAGAAAACTTGAAATGATAGGTATAAAAGTACTATGCACGAATAACTTTTATGGATGTAGGTAAATGATGACGTCTGCAAAGTTTTGAAATAGTCATGTGTAGATCGATGAGTTTTCAAAGAGTTACTTAGAGAGTTTTCTGGTGTATCTAATGCGAGAACAAAGTATTGAATTCCCGTCCTGCATGCGAAAGAAATCTTCTTCTTTATCACTGAAAAACATTGAAGAATTCTGTATTGTTCGTTGACATGTTTAGATTGATCAATGAGATATTGTTTTAGTAGAAAATGGGACGAAAAAAAATTCAAATATCCAAAATAAACGACGAGCGTAATCGTCAAGTGACGTTCACAAAACGAAAGTTCGGTTTAATGAAAAAAGCTTACGAGCTCAGTGTGCTCTGTGATTGTGAAATAGCATTAATTATCTTCAATTCGTCGAATAAACTCTTTCAATATGCTTCAACCGATATGGATAAAATCTTGCTCAAATATACCGAATACAATGAACCACATGAAAGTCGAACTAACAACGACATTGTACAGGTACGAGAAACACCGCGTTGATTTGCCGTTTTATCATTTATATATTCATATATGTTCGGAATATAGATTTTAAGTAAGAAAGAATCGAAACATCTCGATCAAAATGATAGTGATAATGATATGGAAGATGAAAGTGCTAATGAAATGGATAGTAACCATCCACTTCCATCACATCATCAAGCACACCATCTACATCATCTGGACATGCCATTGAATGATTCGAAAAAGCGATCAAATAGTGAAAACCATGTAATACATTAAGTTTTAATTAAAAAAAAGCTTTATTAAGTTTGTTGTAGACACATCTGTCCAGCAACTATCACCCAACGTTAGCTATGGTAAATGGAATTAATCAGCAAAGTTCACAACAGCCAAATTATTTAGCAGGTTTGTTGTTTTATTTGGTCAGGGTAATAAAGCAAAGAATTCTTATCTAAATATAGTTCACGGAACACCTAGAATAGATGCCTCGTCATCGCCCTCACCTCAGTCAACATATTCGCCGCAAAGTTCACCTGGTGAATCACGTACTAGTCCAACCGCCATGGTCAAACAACAGTCGATCTCTAGTTTGAACAATAAGTTTTCAATGAATCCAAATACTGGGGCAACATCATCACGAATTACATCTCATCATAATGATTTAACAGGAGGAGGTAGTGGAACAACAAGTCGACACAGTGGTAAGTTAGTTTTTCATTATCCATGTTTCTTTTGTCTAGCACGAAATTGAATTCTAACATACAAAAGAAAAAAAACACATTTTTCTCGTTGAAATCAAGGTATTTTTCTGTATAATTTTAGCTGATTTTGCACTGAATACAATTCCTGGTGGAAGTGGTAACATAGGTGCGAATGAGAGTAATAATTTTCTTCCATGGCATACATCGTCACATTCATCCTTGGCTGCTGCTCTACAAATGAATTCCTTACCATTAGGGTAAACGTCACACATTTGTCAACTTATTACAGAAGTTCATAATCAATATGCCTATTTTTGTCTAGAATGATGAATTATGATATGCAACAAGCAATCTGTGGTCCTCCATCGACAACGAATAACAATAATTCCACTCGTGGTAGTCCACACTTGTACCATCAACCAACTCATCATCATCCGCAACAATTGTTACACTTATCTCAACAACAGCAGCAACAACAACAACAACAACAACAACATCAGAATCGTTTGAAAACCGAACCTTTTTCACCGTCGATGTCCCTTGGCGCCGGAAACACTCGTTCATTAACATTAGAAAGTAGTTCGAGTTCGAGTCCTTCTCAGCAACATCAAATACCACGATCTGCTGATTACACACAATCGACGTCACATTCGGAACCTTCGCTTAAACACGCGCGTTTCGATCATACGATTTGGCCAAATACAACTTGATTGGAGAGAAATCCGATTGATTCGCATCGAATGATATTCCTCAAAAGTTTGCTCAAACCTCATAACGAAACAAACTATTAAGCAAGAAGAATCGATTTTAATTAACTAAGCTGAAGAACAGTGGAACTCCTGTCGATTCGATGGGCGTATGACGCTCTTTCCCATTCATCTATTCAGTAGTTTTTCCTCTTTTGTCCTTCGCCGACAGGAACTCTTCTTTGCTCATCATCCTCCTCAATTGTTGAATAATGAATGATTATATCTATCTTTACTTTCTCTCTTTATATACATATTTTTTCTCTCTCTCTCTCTTCTCATGCTGTTCTTTTTCTCTGTCTCTCTCCGATGTACTTAAATATGTGAATACCGGTGTATGTATTTGTTTGTCTGACTGTTGTTCTTTTATTTTCATTGAAACTAATTATTTGTTTCTTTTCTTTTCTTTCTCTTTGCTTCGGTGTTACACAACAATGATGATGTTATTTTTCGGTCCTTGTCGTTTTCCGTTCGATTGAAGTTCTTTTTTGTACATGTATATGTAGAAGAAAACGACGCACCTGCACAGTGACGATGAAGATTCTCCCACTAGGTGATGTTTTTCTTTGTTTGGTCAATTTCTTTCTTGTTTTGTTTTCATTTCAATGTATGTCTGATCGACGACACTCAGCCCATGTGAACAAAATACGTTTATCACCAAAATAAATCTTCTTTTATTTGTTTCTCTTCAACTGATTACTGTCTCTGAGTTCTACGAATATCCTTTTCTATAATTAACATCAAATATCACGAATAGATTTACTAAAATAGACGATCAGCTCTATTTATAGTTCAATGACTATGAAATGAGCGTGAAACACGCTGTAAAAGAGAAAATGAGATGATAAAAAAATTATAGAATTTTGAATTATTCATCAGCTGAGATTTTCTTTATCATAAATATCCATTCGGATTAATATCGAATGCGAATTGTGAAAGATTTTCTAATTGAATTATTGAAATTCTGAGTGTAAGATGACATATCTGCATGCTGAATTAGAGTAAATGGAAGTTAAATCAAATATAATGCTCAAAAATATATTAGACGATGTTAATCAAATCTATATTTATCTTTTCTTGATAGAAAATACGTTTAAATCTCATTTTGTCACGTTCCCTTCGAGAAAAAGGAGCGTTCAGAGCGCTTATGTCACAATGTCGCTAGACAGTAATTAAATTATGAGTCAGGTACATTAGGGAATTCATTGATATGCTTCTGTTCTTTGCTTCATTCGCACTGGAGGTTTAAGGTTTGTGGAACTCAAGTGAACTATTAGATAACTCTGTTGATTTTGACGAGATAATATGCAAAAAATTTCATTAATATACAATCTTCATATTGACTGACAATAAGCAGTAGCCTAGAAGAATATGGAATGGAATTGGCTTTTGAATATTATCTGCAAAGCACCTTGAAATCGTTCGCGCTTCCTTTTTTTTTTATTTATGTCATGAACAGGTCGATGTTTGCGATGTTTTTATTAAAGAACATTCTTTGTTTTCTAGAAGATTTCCCCGAGGATAAGCAATTAAAAGTAATGGAAAATGTGGTAATCGTAACTGGTTTATGCACAAGAATGAATTTATTTAATAATCTAATCCTATTAATTGAACGACTGATCAGTAGTGCAACCGATGTCGCATTCAATTGATTTATTTGAAAGAAAAACAAACTTTTCTACGATATATGCACATATTTGATCGACTAATTTGATTAGAATGATACTTTTCACAAAACACTGCCATTATTTGTTCGATTTCATCCTGACGACTATATCAGCATCGTTCTTCTCTTCAGAATCAGATTGAGTGAAGCCGTTGTGCACATCAAGTGCAGATTTATGAACTGGCGATTGATTAAGGGACTTGTTTTCTGAAAGCTTTCTTCTCTGAAATAAATTATCAGAGGAAAGTGTACCATTAAATCGATTTGTAATCAAAACTAAAAATCATAGTGCATAACTTTTACTGGAATGATCTACTGAAAAACTTTACCAATCAAACCAATAAGAATAATAGTCAGCATGATTAATCGAAAGATTCGCAGAGTAAACATCGTGGAACTAAATCGTTAGATTGTACTTGAATGATATCTTGTTGATGTATTTATGATACACATAGACAATACCCAATTCACCAATAGAATAGCAAGAGAAAAGTTATTCTTGGAAATAGGAGAACGGATAGTATACATATCTAAATATTTCTTTCTGTGTTTGATAGTAGCGCTAATGTTATTGCCGGTCATATGTCATACACACAAAACGAGGGTTCTAATCACTTAGAGATATCTTCGACGTTCTGTATGTGACACTTGTTTCGTACGCGAAATTTTCTGTATGGGAGTGGGAGGAGATTCTTATATGATAAGAGTATATGTATTAAACAGTATTGATTTTAATCTGATGATAAAAATCGAAAGCAATTTTATCGGACTAATGAAGAATTGCATATTAAATGACGATTATAATGAATCGTTTGATGCTTATGGAAACAGCCGATAGGTGTAGAAAGAGGTCGAGATAAGTTACATGCAAAACAGTATGTATCTTATTCTTGCGTTTATGAGCCAATCAGAATGCATTCCACGCTTTACCTATCGTTATTCCACTATATATTCTCGTTTTGCACAGAACATGAACAAGTCGCGCTTTGGCTTGCATTAGACTTCTATCTCTGTCATTTTGTCGGATTATACATCAAATAAATTGTCAGTAATCAAACTGTTTTTTTGAATGATCGTTCACATGATATATTTACTGATTTGTTGATGGAAAATTTGTTGCTGATACTTGATGATACAAATGGTTTGACATTCAGCTTTTGTCTTATGCAAATTTTGTCGTTAGATACGACTGAGATAACTTCATTGGAACTCTAGTTTGATTTGAATTCTTCTTCTGTGATGAGGAAGTGAGTAAAAGATATCAACCTCATTGATTGATTGTTAGAGATCATACGCATATGCATTGTTTTTTTTATTGTTCCACTCTTTTAATGACGAAGTAAGATATTGGTAACTTTGACAACTAATGTGTTGATGAAAGTAATAGATAGAATTATGTGAAACAATAAATGTTCTTGACTCTCTTTCTACTGAGTCCAATAAATTACAGATAATATTCCCTTTCTCGTAGAGAAGAGTCCAGCAGAGGTAAATTCTTTGCTTGCTTGCTTGCTTGTATGTCCGCAGGGTCGAAAAAACATCGAAAATCGATTTTTCGGAAAGGACATTTCCAGAGGTATTTCGATGCGTAGACTTCGAATCTGATGTTAGTTTTTAAAATTTAAAAAGAAATATCTTTTTTAGACAAAGGAACAGTTTTTTACAAAACATTTTTTTTTCAAAATTTGACGAAACGATTTTATGGGCCCTGGAACTCGAATCTGATGTTAGTCTTTTGAAAGTTTTTATGAATCACGTTTTTTGAGATCAAGAAAAAATTTTTTCCAAAAAAAAGATTTTTTTACAGGGGTTGACCGAAGATGTTTTTGTGCCAAGGATCTGGAATTTGGTGTTAAGTTTTTGAGAATTAAAAAAAAATTTTGAAACCAAGGGCACCCATTTTCGTAAAAATATGTTGAACCATATGATACCGGCTATAGTCAAGTGTATAAGTATCGCAAATAAAATATTCTCTTCAATGTCGAGTGACGTAATACTTACTAATTAATCTTCCTGAACGAACTTTGAACCAACGTCCATCTATCAGATAACAAGACCGAGCTTCTACCCGGTCTCTTACCCTCCGTACCCAACATGCCTGTGCTTCTCACCGATAACACTGCGTGTGAACTAGGGCTTTCGAATCGTACACAAGGAATTTTTCGAGAGCTCGTACACGATGATCAGGAGGAGCCAGAGAGCTTTAAGATAAAGAGCGATGTATTTCCCTTCAATACAATATACATACGAAAACCATTATATGCGCTCGTGGAAATTAATACATTACAAGTAGAAACGAATCTTGATGGTCTTCGGCCAAAACTAATTCCTATTCCATTAATCAAAAAGCGATTCACTGTTCCTATAAAGCAACTCTTCGGGCATCTACTCGATCGAGTGCAAAGTGGGAGAAAACTTCCACAAGTCATTCAAGTTACAAGAACGCAACTACCAATTGTACCTGCCTTCGCTATAATTGCATACAAGGCGCAAGGACTCACAATGAATAAAATCGTAGTCGATCTTCAAGTTCCACCAGGGACACTGCAAGTAGCATCAATATATGTACCACTCAGCAGAGTGAAGACAGGAGAAGATACAGTCATCCTTCGACCTTTCGACATGAAGGTTCTACAAGTTCAACCTTCTTCTGCGAAAGACGCTGAACTGAAACGTTTAGATGAACTTGACAAAAAGACAAAGCGGGAATGTACCTCTTTCATTTTTTGAACATGTGTAAATCGATACTTTGCTAAGAGTCTAGTGTTATTGCAAGCATATAAAACGTAACATAATTTGAAATTAACTTAAAATAATTATTCATGCATGTTCATCTTCTTCCCAGGTCAACAAATCCGATGCTGGATCCAATCGGATCCGACCGTCTGACAAAATCCGATCGGATTCCTGGAAACAGAATTGCATTGGAATCCGACTAGAAAAATCCCGTCGGTCGTTGCAAATTTTATGAGCGATCTTTCTTGCTATATTCTATGATGACCCTTAGAAAATCCAGGAAATCCATGTTTCGGATCCGAGACCGTCGGAATCCAATGCGATTCCGTCACCAGGATTTCATCGGATCCGTCGAATTCCTGTAGGATCTGATAAAATTCTGTATAGGATCCGATGGGATTGTTCGACCTGGGTACGTGAAACAGAATTTCATGCACTTAATATTCAAGAATTAAGTGAAACAATTGANCCAGGTTTCGGATCCGAGACCGTCGGAATCCAATGCGATTCCGTCACCAGGATTTCATCGGATCCGTCGAATTCCTGTAGGATCTGATAAAATTCTGTATAGGATCCGATGGGATTGTTCGACCTGGGTACGTGAAACAGAATTTCATGCACTTAATATTCAAGAATTAAGTGAAACAATTGACTCTATGAATCCTCTCAAATGGAGTAATTTCGTCAAATTATGCCGCCATCGATTTATTGAATATCCACATGTATTTCGACGTGATGCATTTCATGGTGCTATTTGTAATAACGCAGAAAAAGTTCGTCAATTAGAAAATGAACAACCACAGGCAAAAACCATTGCAAATAGGACACCAACTCAATTGTGTATTAAAAGTACTAACATGGCGTCTAAATTTGAATACTCAATCTTGGGAATATATATGATTGGTGTATCAACAACATGAAACTTTTCTTTCTCCTTTTTTATATCTTTTTTGTTCACTGTAGTTTATTCAAACTTATAAAAGCTTAAATATGATTCATTGCAGCTATTCTTTGTGTTTGATCTAAAAAGAACAAGTAAATTTAATTTCATTCCTTTTTTGCAATTGTTCTTGATGACATAAATCAAGAACTTATTTAAGAAAAAGATCTATTAAAAGCCGAAATGAAATCAAACTAATGAAGGAACCGTCGCAGGTGATTTAGCCCATTAGACGTCACTTTTTCACGGTTGATGTAAGTGGACGGGTCTAGGACAGTTGCTCGCAGAATAAACTATTATTAGAATTATGAATGAAATAATGGAATCAAGACTAGTTAAGTAAATCAGAAAGATTTTGACTGGATTCAGTGAAAAAAGGATTTTTAAAAGTCTCATATCTCGGTCATAATGATTTGGTAACAAGAATGATTTGAAAGTTGCACCACTCGAGTAAGGCTGTAAACTCAGAGGGATCCGTTGATAGACATGTTCTTCCACAGTTCGATGCACAACTGATTACGCTAAAGTAGTGACTACGACCAATCTACATATGCCTGTGATCTGAGTAAAACTCAGTCGATCAGTACAGCTTCAGTGAGCTTATTGCCATCAGAATAACTGGTGCCACAGGGTTAGTGAGACTGTAGCAGCTCCGTCTTCTATCCATGCTACGCATAACCAGTATTAAAATTTCGTTAAAAATTTTCGCTCAGAACTCAATCAGAATCTTTCTGATTTATTTCACTAGTCTTGATTCCATTATTTCATTCACAATTCTAATCATAGTTTATTCTGCGAGCAAGTAAATGTCCTAGCGCGCAAGTGTCCTAGCGATTAAGTGTCTGCTTCCCATTTGAAATTTGATTCAAATATTTGAATACGATGTGATTCTTTTAGTATTAATATATGTACACTAATCAAACTATTTGTTATTCCAATTGAACAAATAAAAAAGAGAATTATTATTTTCATCATTTTTATTTTTAAAAGCAAAAGCAATGATTAATATTAAATATTCAATTAATTTTTCTCACTAAAAAAACCTTATCTAAGTCGAGGTTAAACTTTAATGATTTTTTCAAGAAAAACAAAAAAAATGATTGATAAGAAAAAAAATTAAATTTTTTGTGCAAGAATTCTTATTCCTCCAACATTATTTTCATGAAAAAGTTTCACAATTGATTGATAAAAATATTTTAAACGTTGATAAAGGTCTTCTCCATGTATTTCAATTAAATTCTTTTGATTCTTTTCAAATAAATCTAAATATTCAGTTATCTAATTTTTCCAATCATCTGATACATCAATAATTTTAATAACGAGCACAACCACCTAAATTTGATCCAATTTGTCTTATCCAACGATTTTCATTTTGATTTTTATCAAAATAATTTCATTTATTCATAGCTAAATCGAAAACATCTGTACCGTGATAATGATTTTGATCATATAGAAGTAAATCTTCATCAGATATTGGATCTTTTGATAAATGATTTGCACGTCAATTATTTCTTAATGATACATTATTAAGACGAATTGATTGAAATATTTTCTAAACGTATCAACAAATGGCACCATCTAACCGATAATATTGGAAAATGTATCTGTGGTCGACCAGTGATAAACTATGAGGTTTATCAGTGTTGTTAAATAGATATTAGCACCATCTATCAAGGAAGTTTGCGAAGAGCACCGATGGTGTTTCTTAAACAAATGAGAATTTTTGTCATATTGAAAAGAAGAAGAGATTTGACTATGCGTGTATAACTGAAATAAGATGATTGTTTCGTTTGAATTGCCAACCATTTTCTTCCTCGTTTAACCAGCTTTGATAGCCAATGGAGGGCTACAAAAAAATCTTCGTTGATAGACGAATCGCTCTCCAACACGCGGCATTCGATACAAATGCGCATCTTCACATAGAGTACAAATACCTAACGGAAGGATTTATCGTTGTCGACTCGGTATACTCATTCACTCTTCAATGTAGTCTCGTTGTCTTTTCACCTTCTTTTTCGATATAAACGAAACAATCGATAGTTCTGCATGATCGGATTTGTTTGTGTTTCCTTTAGATAGATATAGAAACTTTTTTTGTTCATTGAACAAACGATGTTTAAGCTCGTCTCATTGATTGTCGTTGTTTTGGCGGCAATTACTTTTGCCAAAGAAGATGCCGGTGGAAAGAAAAAAGAAGATGTTGGTACCGTCATCGGTATCGATCTTGGTGTAAGTTGTGATTTTCTTCTATATTAGTTTGCATTTTTTTTATCTAGACTACATACTCATGTGTGGGAATATTTAAAAATGGTCGTGTAGAAATCATTGCTAACGATCAAGGCAATCGTATTACACCGTCGTATGTTGCATTTACTGCTGAAGGTGAACGTTTAATTGGTGATGCTGCTAAAAATCAATTGACTTCCAATCCTGAGAACACAGTTTTCGACGCTAAGCGTCTTATTGGTCGTGAATTCAAAGATCCAAGCGTACAATCCGATATCAAACATTTTCCATTCACTGTTATTGAACGAAAAAACAAACCAACGATTTCCATCAGCATTGGTTCAGAACAAAAGTTCTTTGAACCGGAAGAGATTTCTGCTATGGTACTTGGTAAAATGCGTGAAATTGCTGTAAGAAAAAGTCACTTTCTTATACAGATTTCCATTCTAATCGATTTCATTGTCAATAGGAAGCCTACCTTGGTCATAAAGTCACACATGCTGTTGTCACTGTTCCAGCTTACTTCAACGATGCTCAACGTCAGGCAACCAAAGATGCTGGTACCATCTCGGGCTTAAATGTCATGCGTATTATCAATGAACCAACAGCCGCTGCAATTGCTTATGGTCTCGATAAGAAGGAAGGAGAAAAGAATATTCTTGTTTTCGATTTGGGTGGTGGTACTTTTGATGTTTCATTATTAACCATTGACAATGGTGTGTTCGAAGTCGTTGCAACCAACGGTGATACACATTTGGGTGGTGAAGATTTCGATCAACGTGTTATGGAACACTTCATCAAATTATTCAAAAAGAAAACCGGCAAAGATGTTCGAAAAGATAACCGTGCCGTACAAAAACTCCGACGTGAAGTTGAAAAGGCTAAACGAACATTATCTTCACAACATCAAACTAAGATTGAAATCGAATCATTCTTTGATAATGAAGATTTTAGTGAAACATTAACTCGTGCCAAATTCGAAGAGCTCAACATGGATCTCTTCCGATCGACAATGAAACCTGTTCAAAAAGTAATGGAAGACGCTGATTTGAAGAAAAGCGATATTGCTGAAGTCGTTCTCGTCGGTGGTTCAACACGTATTCCAAAAGTTCAACAATTAGTGAAAGAGTTCTTTGATGGCAAAGAACCGTCACGTGGTATCAATCCTGACGAAGCTGTTGGTAAGATATCTGAATTTGTTACTGTTTGTTTTCTCAATGCATTCTCTTCGTAGCCTACGGTGCCGCTGTTCAAGCTGGTGTTCTTTCAGGTGAAGAAAACACTGGTGATCTCGTTTTACTCGATGTCAATCCATTGACAATGGGTATCGAAACTGTCGGTGGTGTGATGACAAAAATTATTCCACGTAATACAGTCATTCCAACAAAGAAGAGTCAAGTCTTCTCGACTGCTGCCGACAATCAACCAGTCGTCACCATTCAAGTTTTCGAAGGTGAACGTCCGATGACCAAAGATAATCATGTCTTAGGCAAATTTGATCTAACTGGTATCCCACCTGCGCCACGAGGTGTTCCTCAAATTGAAGTGACCTTCGAAATCGATGTCAACGGTATTCTCAAAGTCACTGCTGAAGATAAAGGAACAGGAAATAAGAACAATGTCGTAATCAATTCAAATACGAATCGTTTATCACCCGATGAAATCGAACGTATGATCAAGGATTCGGAAAAATTCGCCGAAGAAGATAAAAAAGTGAAAGACCGTGTTGATGCTAAGAACGAACTCGAATCATATGTTTATTCATTAAAAACCCAAATTGCTGATAAAGATAAACTCGGTGGCAAACTCTCCTCAGACGAGAAATCCGCAATCGAAAAAGAAATCGACGCAAAAATCAAATGGCTCGATGAAAATCAAGCATCCGCCGACGTCGACGACTTCAAAGAACAAAAGAAAGCAATCGAAGAGGTCGTCACACCAATCATGACAAAACTCTATCAAGGTCAACAACCACCACCGGGCGGTGACGTTCCACCTACTGGCGACGAAGGAAACAAAGACGAATTGTAACCACAATAGCCTATCACTTCCTCCTCTTTTTAGGTTAAACTGCTAGTGTTTATTCTTATTCATTCTTCCATATTGTTTTGTTTTATTACACTCCGTTGTTATCTGAACCTATTTTAAAAGATAAATATATGGTAATTTGAACTTTGATTGATGTTGTCAAGCGAGAGTAGAAAATAAGCGCAAAACAATTCTTTCGAAAGTATTTTTCCTTAGAAGAAGAAAAGAGAAACATCTATTGTCGTGTTGTTATTGTGTCTGTTTTGTATTCTTCACAAGAAAAAAAATACACTAAATCTGTTTATTTATCAATATTAATTTACGGAAAAGCGAACAAAACATGAGTTTCCAATCATTGAATCCAGATTTGACTGCTAAAGTTTTACTCTTGGCGAATCTACAACGAAATTTGGTAAGGAAAGGAGAAAATTCGATCATTATATTCGAAATTAATTCAGGTACAGAATCCGAATCAAGAATCAAATCTTGGCAAACAACCAACAATAATACATCCACTTGTGATGCCCTCATTAGTACGTGATAAATCCGAACACATAGCTTTTCGTATCTTCACTTTCCTAGAATGTTTCGTCACAGAAGATTTCGGCAATGTTGTCTGCATTGGCAACACCGTCAATTGCTAATGCATCCTCAACGATATCAAATGTTCACCCAATGCAGTCATCGTTAGTATGTCATACAGCTGTGAATAATAATAATAATAATTGCAAGATGAATTGCTCGACTAATTCCCGTTCGAATGGCTCGGGTTTTGGCTGGGGAAATCGTGAACGTAAAATGGATGAAAATTGGCGTTTACAGAATCGTAATATTTAAATGTCAATGAACAAAAAATGTGCTTAATCAAATAGAAAGAGAAAGAAATCATTTTCTATACAACAGATACTGATAAACATTGATATTCCTGGTCTTCATTTTGCTTCGTTTTCATTCGTCCCAATAATGTTAATGATCTGAAAATCTGCTCTTGAAATTCATTTTCACTAACGGATAAACGTGGAATCGTATCCGAGTAATAATCAGTATGAGACAAATGTAAACGTCGAATCTTTTGCCGGTATTTTACTGCACAGGCATAAGCACGTTCTTCAGCCAGTGATTGAAGTTCGTTATTGTTTATCGTCGTAAATGATTCATGGTCATTGAAATAACAGTAAAATATCCGTTTCAAACGATCTATATCCGATAATTCTTCTGAAAACAAGAGTCATGTTCTGTTGTGAAATAATCGATGCTGTCGATGCGAGCTACTCACCGTAGAGTTTATTTTTACTCGGCACATCCCAGAGTGTTTTTAAGAACGTCGCTGGTAGTTCAGATCGTTGCCGTTGGATTTCGTTCAGTTGCTGTCCGAAAAAACATATTATTCCTAATCCATAACATCCGATATACGTTATAATGAACAAAGCTGCTCCAATATTTCCAAATTGAATTTCATTCAGCCACTGGTCTCTTACAACCGATGTCACATTCATTTTTCATACATATAGAATACAAGTTATGGCATCAGATGGATTCCTATTCATTTTAATCAACCCAAGAGTCAGGAGAGAAAGAGAAATATATGACTACATATGTTTATTTTATATATCTACTTTACATTTCAAGATATCTCTGCTACTCCTCAATAAACGATTGAGTTGGGCTCGGTTAAGTGCTAATAATGGCCAATTTCTTATTGCAAATGCAGATGCTGCGCAATATTCGTTGCGTAAAAGTATAATTCGTGAAAATGATCACTCAATTAACCTTATTTTATGATATTTCATTTGAAGTGAACATGGCTCGCAGCACGATCGAAAACTCGTTGTTTCTCGACATTGACGAGAGGAAAAAGAACAGATATCCGTGTCTCGCTGGATTCCTTTCACTGTGTCAATTCCAGAAAGACAGAATCTTTGCTATTTTCTCTAATAGTTGTTCGGAGAGTAATCATAACACTTCTGTTAATATGTTTTACAGTCTATCGCATTCACAGAAGTATCTGACATCACTCAGTCGACTTGAGAAAATTATCATATGTGGAAAAGCATTACAAAATTGAACACATGTAGGCGAACTACATATACAAAGTTCGATTTTTCATATCTCTTATTACTCGAATATTTATTCCAAAAGAATTGTTTGAAAACTTTCGAAAAAAATAATATCCTTAGAAACAATTCGATTTTAAGAACAGCAGAAATAAGTAAGAAATACGTCGATAAATGCAAAAGACAACGCTAGAATTGACTGAACACAAAAAATACTGAGCTAATCGAGGTTAATATGACTTTTGCTTCAGATCGGATCATTTGGTTTTTTTCATTCGAAGTAATTGAATATATGCCAAAATAAGAAATAGGACTGTCATAGAGCCTAATGCCACGAAATTCTTCCATAAATCCCATTCATTTTCATATTCAATATGTGCGACATTATGTAGAATATATGTTCCATTGATTGGACAAATTGTCTTATTGGTTTTCAAGCAAAGTGTCAAATCACTGAACTCATTGATGTTGATTATGTTGAATGAATACCGAAATATGCTAACCCATTTGATCCAGGAGAGAAAATTGACTACGGAAGAGATTTCGACAAGAAATCCGCCGAAAACCATCATTAAAACAAAGGTCATTGCTGCTAATAGATTTGCAATACCAAATACTTCCACACTTGCTGAAAGTAAAAAGCAAAATGCAGCACCGCACGTTGTCGTAGTAAAAATGGCTAAGTAAAAGATAAAGAATTTTGCGAGTGTTTGTTGAAATCCAATCATAAAGTAGACAATGATTGAAAAAATCATCGATGGAATGAGACGCAATGGAATCATATCGCACAACAACTTCGCAAAGAAGTATGTGGACACGTGATAATAGCCACTAGCATTTTCATGAATAAATAAAACACGCTCTTTGAGGAATAATTCGATTGCTGATAGATTGGCCATAACTTGATTGGTTACAATGAAAAATATGGCACCCATACGATTCTTCACACCAGTGTCTTCACTACGATCGATTTGGAGATAAATTAACCCTACAAGTGTTGCAAAGAGTACTGTTACTACTGTTTGCATGATAACTAAAGTTGGATTGCGGAAGGCAGTGCGCAATGTACGTTGAGAAACATAGAGCATTTCACCGAAACGCGATGTTGAAGTGTTGGAAGTCGGATGATAGACAGCCGTGTCTAGTTGTCGACCATTCGTTGGCGCAAGTACTTGAAGTAGGGATGCATAGATGTCAGATTTAACGTATAAATCATGTAAACGATGAGCATTCTGTTCGTGCTTTTTATCTGAATTCGATTCATCGGTGGACACTGATGAACAATCGCCTTGAGTGACATCGAGCAGAAAATCAGCAGGATTGTCGTGTTGCTCACAGTCATAACCGATGGATGAAAAGTAAGGTAGAACTGCATTGGCAGGACCGTGATAAACACAATGACCAGCAGCTAATAAAAATATTGTATCGAATAGTTTGAAGATAGAGTAACGAGGTTGATGAATTGAGAAAATAATGGTACCTAGAAGGAAATTTTCAGAACCTTGAACTCGAAATCATGTTTTGCAGTGACTTACGTCCTCGTCGTGATAGCTCGTGAAGATATTCCATGACATTACGAGCTGTTGATGAGTCAAGACCTAAGATGACGAATCCGAACAGTTGTTTATTGACTATGATCTCGTTTACTAAATTACCTGTTGTTGGCTCATCGAGAAATAGAACTGATGGTGAGAGAACTAGTTCCATACCGATATTTGTTCGTTTTCGTTCTCCGCCTGATATTCCACGTGCTAATTCCGTGCCCACCCTTGACTCTGCACATTTCTCCAGTCCTAACTGTTCGATAACTTGTTGAACAATAGCCTTTTTCGATTCTCGCGACATTGCTTTCGATACACGAAGATTGGCAGAAAATGCTAGGTTTTCTCTTACTGTTAATGTTCCACTGATAATATCCTCTTGAACAACATAACCAACTTGATATTTAAAATCATCGGTCTGTCTTTGTCCGTCCATTAAAACTTCCCCGTCGAGACCTTGACGATCTTTTCGATCAGCTAAGATATCTAATAACGATGATTTGCCACTGCCAGTTGGTCCAAGGATCGCATTCATACCCGGTTTAAAGACGCCATTTATGTCGTAGAGAATTCGTTGGTGTTTTTTCGTCAGAAATGGTAATGGGCAGAGATTACAACATTTTTGAGTACGTATTGTATAATTTAATGAGTAAAAAGTAATGCTTGATCCTTGACGTTCACCCGGACTATGTTGATTGGCTACTTTCGATTGATTCAGGCTTTGATTTTCTTCAATATCCGTCATTGATTTTGCTTTTGAACTACAAGATCTACAAAAACTAAAACATACAATATCGAAAACGAGAAAATGTCATTCATGTCACTCTCTGCGGAAATACAAGATTGTCCCTCAAGTAATCCAATTGAAGTAGAAAGTTGAATATCTAACTTGTAGTTCGAGTAAGCCGGTTAAGTTTTCATCGATCATAGTGGTACAAACAAGCTTTATATTCATCAGAACATGCATTGACAAACCTTCTATTTAGTTAATACACAGACTCCAAGGAAAAACGTTTGCTTACAAAGATCAAAGAAAGTTTTCAAACACTGTAATATAAAACCGATTTATATCGTATAATAAAACAGCGTGTGTTTTGAAATCTATGTGAATATACAACATATTATTTGGAAGTTCATTATACCTTATTATGTTCCATTTGACTAAGCGTTCTGACTGTCAACTGCGTTATCCTTTCTTTCGATTAAAACATGTCCTTGTAATTCAAAAGCTTGTCTATACCTACATGATCGGTGAAAAAATTAACTCACCAGTTCAAATCATAAGCAAGATACTCGAATATTTCTGCGTGAACTGCGTTACTTACAGATCGCTATGTACCATATGTTATCTTCAACTCTTTTCTTTCTTTCGATAACCTTTATCTTCATAAAAACATTCTTATTTTTAGATCAAAATACAAGTTTACGAAGTTTATGTTTTGATAACATCAAAGTAAATAGCAAATAAGGATTAGATAGATATTTTCCGATAAGACAAGGAACATGTCCAATTGAACATAATTAGCTAATACAGATGTCGTTCTCCGTCAGCTCAATTAGATGAACAAAGATGTTAGTTTGACTAATACTAAAATAAAAGTAATACTAAAAATAATTTTCAAAACTTGTCCTCATAGCCTGAAAGATTTCATTTCAACAGGTCAATAAACGATCGAGTCGGTTCGACATTTGTACAAAGGGAAAGGAAGATCGCGGCCGACTAAAAACAGACGAGATGATTACAATAGATGGTATTCTCTGTCTTTAGTCATTGTCACCTAGATAGTCAATGTGCCATTTAGACTATAACAAGATCCTTCTTTGTTTTCTTTATTTCTACTCGGAGTATATAAACGAAAAAACGAATGTTCACATGTTATCATAGTCTTTTGATATTCTCTCTTATTTACATCAAACGTAACAAGACATGAAAATTTTATGTGCGGTTGCTTTAACTTTACTGATTGTTTTATTCAATCAGCATTCAACAAACGGATGTAAGTGCTTGTTTTGCATCATTGATGTGTGACGAATGGAATGCTTTCTTTATCTAGTTCCAACCGAAGAGTTCACAACGGAACAACCATGTCCGAAGGAATTTGAATGGGTTGATGGAAAGTGCAAACGATCCTCAACGAAAACCGGTAATTTTCCTCACGAATAAATCATGTCCAGACGTTTTCATGTCTTCTTCGACTATTTTAGAAATTACCGAAGTAAAGGAAAAGGGCAAAAAGGTCGCTGTTTGCCCAGAAGGTCAGGTCCGTGGTGAAGACGGTATCTGTGAAGATATCAAATCCGAAGAGCGTTTAGCCGCTACCGTTGAACCAAAAAAACTTCACGAAGAAGCTGCAACCCAATCATCAGAACACGATGAACAACACGACGATGCAGGCAAACAATCTGACCACACAGAAGACTACGAAACTGCAACTAAACCATTCGATCATACAGAAGAACACGAAGAAAATGCAACAAAATCATTCGAATTGACCACTGAATTATCCGAAGACACTGAAGAACATTCGAAAGTTGCCGATGTTCCAAAAGGTTGTCCACCAGGAACAAAATATGACGAAGACGGTGCCTGCCAAGACGAAGTAGAAACTAGTTCAAAACACACCTTTGAAGTCAAAGATCTTCTCACTAAGGGTGAATGTCCATCTGGAATGAGAAAATATAATGATAAATGCGTATATATCAAATCTGAAGCATCATTAGAACCAATGCATGATCTCACTTATGAACAAGCAGATCTGAAGAATAAAATTCCTGACGAATTAGTACCTGTCCTTGTTGATAATATCTGTCCAGCCGGTACCGAATATTACTCAAATGGTCTTTGCCGAAAACGTGTTTCTCCATTGCGCGCGACCGTTTTTACTGCTGATTTGAAGAAATGTCTTGCTGATGAAATCTTAGTCGGCGGTGTGTGCGAACCGAAACGCATTGGATTAGTTTCTACAACAGAAGAACCAAAAAAAGTCCACAAATCTGAGGAACATGATGAAGGTGAAGCAGATAAAGATAAATCCGTCGAATCCAAACAGTAATTTTAATACACCCATTGAACTCCGACAATGAATATTAATATCAAATTCATTTTTTATTCTTTTCTTTTCTTTTACATTTGAAATAAAAAAAAACCAAAAATCTTCGAGACAATTTTCATAATAACAATTCGTTTTTTGTTCAGACAGGATTGGAATCTGTTCGAGATTTCTTATAATGTTTGCCAGTTTGTGATGAGTGCACATGCAATGAATACCGATAATGTTGCTGTTGTCGTTGCACGTTTAACGGGCTAATATTTGTGAGCGACTTATTCTCTTCATCCTGTTCCACTAATTGACTATTTGTTGGAAAACCCAGCGAACAATATTTGAGATAAAACGATATCGATGACGGACAAAATAAAAGTAAAACTAGTGAGGGCTTGATGCATATCCCCACAAGAAGTATTTGAGCGAATGTTCGACTAATATTGATGTCATTGGCCACTGAATTTGCTGATGTGTCAAAGATAAAACCACGTATGCGATAAAAATAGAACGGTAACGATGTGACCGTTATCAACATGAACATGTGAAGTATGTACAGGCATAACTGCCGTTCATGCTGAATTGCTGATGTGACTTTTTTAATGAACATGCAACAACACAAGCGAACGTGTAAAATTATTTCGAGAAGAAGACCTAGAACAAATAAATGAGTCGTATATGACACTTATTTTTCGGTGCTTGACATTACCAAATGAATGTAAAAAGAATAAGAGAAGAAAATCAGCTTGGATCAAATGAATTAATCGAACAGAGAACTCAAAATTATGATTCGTCAAAAAGTAACAAATTTTTGTTTGTTCGGGTAGAAATAAATCGATTTCATCTAGCTTTCCTTCAGTCTGTCTATTCATTGTGTCATTCAACAACGTTTCGTTCAGTTGTATGTATTCCGTCGTTGACATAGGCGACGATTTAATATAATTGTCAATATTCGCCACACCCCACAACCATAAACCATCGACCGACCAAGCAACTGCTAAAACAAAGGCAATCAAGACGTTCAAATCACTGCATAACAACTGTTTTAACGTCGACACATTCGGCGTTCGGACTTGAAAAGTTTTGTTCAGAACATAATGATAACGACAAAGAATAGCAATGGTCAATAATGGAGTGAAATGAAGTGTGAATTTCCAAATTAGAATATGCGCGGCACATAAATGATGCCGACTGAGAAACGCTTGATAGAAATATTTCTCATCCAAACAGCTAATTAACGATGATAAAGATAAAAGAACATCACTACTTGCTAATACGAAAAGAAAACGATATTTGGTATGTGCTAAAACATGTTTAGATCGTTGTGAGTCGCCGCCGGACTTGTTCAACTTCCATTGTCGATATTGATAAAGAACGAGACAAGTTTTAATCGAGCAAATCAAATTGAAGAATAGTCCCAATATACTGATGATTAATGTAAACGTCGAGTGGAATAATGGAGAATATGACACGACTACTGTTCCATAGTAGTTTTTACTAATTGATCGATTTGATGCGTGAAAATAGGAATCATGAAGTAACATCTGTGTATGTTTTTCTTCGATATGATTTCAAGAATGTCTACAAAAAAATACAAAGCTTTTCTTCTCTCGATTATCAACAAACAAAATACGAACAAATGATCAATCATTTCGACGGCTCATATTCCTCAATGTACTTCAAGCTATTTGTTAAAAGCATCTTATCTGTAGTACTCACTTTGATGGTAGGAAAAGTCAAAGCATGTCTTACACGCACGGAACCTTGTTTAATTCAGTTGATATAGAAACTTATCTTAATAAGAGATAAAAAAAGAACAATATGATTGTGTAATCAAGAGTTCAGCAGCTACCGACAAACATTACTGACATACCGACATCATTTTTCCGAAACGCACACTTCTTATTTTCTAGTTATGTGTCTCTTCACCGAACAATCGAAGACTTACAGAGAATATTCTTATCTTCCCATTACAATGGAAATGTAATCAATTATAATAATTAAATAACACAAGTGCACATGTTCTTTACGAAAGAAAAACAAAATACATGATATAGAAGTATATGTTCGACTAGGAAATAAATGTAGACAGCATCTGATGTGAAAATCTAATTGTATTCTGTTATAGGGAAAGAAACATGCCAATATGAGTCACTAATAACTCTATTTGTCTCATTAAAAATGGAAAATTATCCGACGAGCGTAGACTATTTGCATAGCGAAGCGAATTTAATGGTACTACATCGAAGATTGAAGAAAGAAATAGTTTTACATTCGAGTATGCCATTATAATGTGCGGCTGCAACACACAAACACAGAATTACTTCTCGTTTTCTTTCTTTCATAAAAAATAACTTCTTTTATCTAATGAAAAACTAAATACAAAGTAAAATTATGTCGAAATAGAATGAATGAACGCGTCCGTGCTTGCCTTCCTTTTCTTCTCTATATAAATAAAGAATGAGTCAGAAAACTAGCTCCATTCTTTCTTTTGAAAACTAATTTTCGTGGTGAATTTCCTATGATCAATAGATCTATTATTGCAAGTCTTGTCTCAATCTCGAATGTCTTCTCGCTTTGATTTAAACTTTTGTCAGAATGTCTCATTCTAAATTACCTAAATTATGCGTTTTCCTTTACAGACGAGATTTGTCAAATGAATACTTTCTTCGACGCGCGAGAAAGAAGCCCTTTTTTTCCTTCTTCTCTTCCTTCAGCCTAATTATAGTCATTGGCATTCTGCTCAAATATGCCTTTCTATTCGTAGGTGTTAAGTGAACACGATCAATAGGCACAGCGCGAGATTGAGTTTCATTACTTTGCGATCAGAATAGATCTTCTATTCTTTCATTTATTTTATTCAATTTATAATGAGATATATATCAAGCAAACAAGAAGAAAAATAAATGAGATCAAGAGGGAAAAAAGATTCTGTACAGGATTAAGATTCATTTGAATTTGGGTAAAAGTCGACGAAAACTACTGGCTGAATTATGTTTCTAAAGAGAAAGAAAAAATGAAGTGGTTGAATGAAAGGATTTCCTTTCGTACTTTCTTGAGCATCGGGGAGCAATCGATTTGTGGTAACATATAATTGATCAGTTTGTTTTGTTGACAGCTTTTAATTAACAGTTTTTCTTGATTTATCTAAAAATTTTTCAATTCATTCGTGAGCTATTTCAGCCAAACTCGATTCACATACCTCTCGATCACCGAGCTCATCCGACAAAACTTTGATATGATCCGCTAATCGATCACGCGCTTCTGTTAAATCCATATTACGACGTCGTTCTGTTTCATATTCACCATAAAGCATTGCGTATTCCTCTAGAAAAGAAAAAGATAGAAAGAGCTCCTTTTTTTAATCCGTTAACTCCTATCCTACACAACTCAAGCGTGTATCTTCCGATTTTAACTATTGAGCACATATTTAGTTCACTCTTGTGGAATGAAATCTTCTTTTTGTCACATGATTGAATGCCTCAAAGCTGTCATCAGTGTTTCTGATAGATAGATCATCATGACTATACCTTTTTTTTCCGTGCATCTGGAAAATACACAAAAATGAAGAGCAGAAGGATATTATATAATTAGATCTCATCTAAATCTGAATGGCAAATCATACTTGAATATGAAAGAAATATCCGAGTTGTTTGAAAAGTACAAAAGAAATTATATGAGATATAACTTTGTGATCGGAAAGTTTCTCTGAAGAACTTGGAAAAGATAAGTTTTATTTCCGTAGATTAGTCAGTATGAAAACGAGTAGGGTTGCGTAGTTTATAATTAGTTTTGCTGTCGTATTCCTAACTGGAGATAATTGTCGGTTAACAGAAAAAGCATATCAAGCAATCTAATCTAGTTAGAGTAGGGAATGACTTTAAATACATTCGAATTATCTGCTATTCCATTTTAATCAGTAGAATATTCTCTGTTGACGCAACGTAAAGCAAAACGTTGTCAACCAATCGTAGAAGAGACGTTGCACATTTCAAATGTCAGATTACACGAGTTAATTAGGTAATTGAATAATCTTTTGAATAGAAATCTAGTCACCGGAAGCCATATCAAACCAATACTGGGTCGTCTTACAGCTAAGGGATTGCTAAGATTTCTAAATCTTTTCAGTTTGTTCTTGACTTAAACATACCTATGATTCTATTCATTTGTTTTTCTTTCTCGTCCATCTGATGTTGAATTAGACTTCTTCTATCCCTGGTTTCCGTTGGATGTTCAATTTCAATAGGAATGATTGTTTCGATGGAACCAAGATCACATTGAAGTGCTTGATCGGTAACAATCGGAGATGAATAAACTTCTTTCGGCATAATCAAAACAGTTGATGAATGTGATGGAAGAAGAGTTTCTGTGGGCACAATGAACAGCGATGATGAATACAAACTGCAGTCCGGTTCTGTTTGAATATTTCGATTGTCATATGTAAGAATCGTGGATTGTGATGCACAATCGTTGAAGTAAACATGTGGTGTTTGCGTGCATTCGTTAGAGTAAATCAGTGTACTGTTGATTGTTTGACATTCTCGATCGAAAAACGTTTTGATATCTGTTTGAATATCTTGATCGGTAAGAAGAATTTCGATTTCATTTGATATGGGTAGTTCTTCACTGAAGACAATGGGAAGAATTGGTGTAGATGGTTCGACTTCAGGATCATATTGAGTTGAGCCATCAATATGCAGAATGGTATCGGTTTGAATTTGTTGATCATCAACTATTGTCTTCTACAAACAAATATATATCAAATCAAGCATTTCAAAAAAGGGTGTCTATACATTATCGAATGATATTTGTAAAGCGATATCTTGAGTATCGATCGGATTTGTTTCGATTTGTTGATGAACATATTCTGGTGTAATTTGACATGAATAATCGTTGGTAGAAATCGCATCAGTTTGAATGATTTGTGTCTGATAATCAGTGATGATTGTTTCTGTTGTTTGATCGATTGTAGTTGGGAACGTTTGACATGAGAAGTCTTTTTGTTCATTAAGAATTGTTTGTATTGAACAATCGTTCAGTGATGGATTGATTTGACAAGCGATTGTTTCTGTTAAGATCATTTCAGTTTGAGTTGACTGATATTCGAGGCTGAGCTGAGTGGTTTCAATGTCTTTATCAGCGTATGATGGAGTGATTTGACATGAGAAATCTTTTTGTTCGATGGTTGGAAAAGGTTCGGGTTCGGTGTAAGCATCGACAAACTGCTTTTCGGTTGGTGCAGCTTGCTGTTGAAAACCGAGACTATTAGTGAGGATTAAAGAGGATTCATCATCGAAATGAGCAAGAGGAACGGCGGGCTTTATTGTTCGTGTTGGTCCGAGCGGTGTGGATACGAATTGACGAGTGGACAACGAGGAACGTCGACGTGGTAAACGAAATTGTATTGATGTACTTCCACCAGCGTTTCCAGTACCCAGCGTGGACTGCAGAAGATCAGGTGCAAGGCAAGGTGTGACTTTTGTTAAATCGTCTAACGCATATGTATTGCTCGATTCACTGAAATGATCAGTATTGAAATATGAAATACAAAATGAGATGTGAACTTACTTAAACGCACTGAATTCACAAGAGTTGCTCTGCAAAAAAAAACAGGAAAGTATGAGAGAATTTTTGCACAAGTTTATTCTTTCACATACTTCTTTCAGTGTGGTCAGTGTTTTTTCATAGATATGACATTGTCGTACCATATCCCTATAATACGAAGAAAAAGAAATATGAATTTTGGTTTTCAAAGAATCACTTACTGATATTTTGCATCAATCTTTTTAAATTCAGTAACTTCTTGAACAAGCATCAATTCAACAGATTGAAATAAACGTTGAAGATAAGGTTTAAATTTACTGTGACCTAACTTGTCCGCAATCGATACATAACCGTCTTTTAGTCGCTAGAGAAAACAAAGATGTTGGTCTGTGAAAGAAAACTTTCTTGAACAAGTGAATTACTTGGAGATTGAATAAATTATCATGAGCATTCTCATCGTTCATGTCGGTTGAAGTACTTTTTTTCTTTACTTCATCCATGACTTTATCGTTTCGATTGATTTTTCGTTCCACTCAACGAACATACAGATTGAATGACCGGGTGTTCTTTGTTCGCAACTTGACCATCTCGAAAATTTATTTTGCCTATAGATTTATTATATTTTTTCTTAAAATATCTCGAAAATCGAAAATATTCGTCAAAAATCAACTGAAAACTTTCGAATATATAGATGTCGCTCGTCTTCGCATTTTCAAATAAAATTCATGTATAGGTAGGTGTACGATGATGAATGAATCACTATTATCCATTTTTTTTTATCTTTACATGGAAAACAAAGAAGTATATATCAGATTGTGATGAGTCCAGACTAGAGATTGTGCTTGAATTTCACATGGCCAGATCGGGTGAAGTATTTCATTTCAAAATTCTCATTATTGGCGAGTCCAGTGTTGGAAAAGTTCGTGTTTGTCGAAGAATATCTCTTCTATGTCGTCATGTTTATTTGATTGTTTAGAGTAGTTTAATGACTCGTTTTGTTGATGAAACGTTTCAACCATCATTTGTCCCAACTATTGGTGTCGATTTTAAAGTTCGAACATTGATGATTGATGACTATCAGTGCAAAGTTCAGATTTGGTTAGTTCAAAATTCTCGTTTTAATAAAAAAGCTCTATTTACTCATATCAGTCGTCAATAGACTTAGTCATACATGACATAAGTTGTTGAATTTCATATAGTTCTATTCTTTCCTTGCAGGGATACGGCAGGTCAAGAACGCTTTCGTGTGATAACGACCACTGTAAGTTGAATTGTGTGGCCAATGAATTTTAGTATACGTGTACATGTCTTTGCTAGTATTATCGTGATGCCGCCGGCGTTCTGATCGTATACGATGTAACTAATGGTGAATCCTTCTTTCGTATTCGTCGTTGGATCGATGAAATCAATAAATACTGTGATGAGAATATTGCAAAAGTGCTTGTAGGAAATAAAGATGACAATCCTTCATCAGATAGTGAACAATCACCAAAAATTGTCTCGACTGCAGATGCTGAACAATACGCCCGCCAAATGAATTTAACATTTTTCGAAACTTCAGCCAAAGATAATAAAAATGTCAATGAAGCATTCTATGCATTGACACGTCTAGCTTTACATCAACGTCTGAATGCACAAGCAATGGCACATCATCCGATGACAAATGGAACTTCAGCAGCGCAAGCTATTCGACTGAAAGGAGCAGGAAAATCGAAGAAGAAAAATAAAAAACATACTGGTGCATGCTGTAAATGAATATCCGTCCATAAAACTTCGTTTGTTTTGTATTTTCTTCATCAATATTTATTCCACAACACTTCTTTTCTTCTTTCGAGCCTGATGTTTCGTACATATCATCGTCATGAAAAAAAAAGCTTTGTCTCGTCGTACTCTCATTGTCTCGTTCTCGTTTTTCTATCGAATGCGATGTTTTTTTTCACTCTCGTTCTCTCTTGAATGAAAGTTTTTTTTTAAACGAAAAATTCTGTATATTCCGTGGAAGTAAAATAATTTATCACACACCAATCATCTCTCTTTCTCGTTTTAGACATGGCAGCAACGACAAAGAACTTAGAAGGTGTTCAAACATTTAAAATTCTCATTATTGGAGATTCAGGTGTGGGCAAAAGTTCGTTGATGGTTCGATTTGTCGATGACATCTTCACAGCTGCTTATATTACAACAATCGGAGTAGATTTTAAAATGAGTACAATTAACGTCGACGGACATCAATGTCGTATACAAATCTGGTGCGTAGAATTGACTTTCTCCGTGCCTGAAGTCATAAATGTTGAATAGCTGATCAGTGTTTATGATGCTCTTAGATAAATAACAGTGTTATTTCATTTTTAGGGATACGGCTGGTCAGGAACGTTTTCGGGTTATTACAAGTATATAGAACAAAAACGTTTTTATAGAGATCTGATTTTTTGTTGTTGTTGTAGGTACTTACTATCGAGGTGCTGATGGTGTAATCATTGTCTATGATGTATGTGTATCATTATTAGTATTAACTGTTTAATTTCTATTGATGTTCTCATTTTTCAGGTAACGAACGGTGATAGTTTTGCTAATTTAAAAGATTGGATCACTGAAATGGAACGTCATTGTGATAAAACCGTCCCTAAGATTCTCGTCGGCAACAAAGACGATAATGATAATGAATTAGGTAAAGTTGTTCTCACAAGTGATGCACGTGCCTATGCCGAACAAAAGGGTTTACCATTTTTTGAAACATCTGCGAAAGACAATAAGAACATAGCGGAAGCATTTAATGAAATCACTAGACTTGCTCTTAAACGACGTCTTATTCAGCCGAATAGTGGACAACCATCAACTGGTACAACCCGTATAGGATCGAAACGAACAGTCGTAGGCGGTACGCAGAAAAAATGTTGTACATCGTGAATGATTTTTCTTTCTCTATTTGATTTTTCTTCTATTTCAATTCGATTCGTTTACTTCACAACTTTATATCGAGTGCAATATCGATACAAATCCATGGTCACTTCCACATTTTTCTTTGTTTGTGCATCCACATATATTCTAATGATTTGGACCTTTTTTTCTGTATTTAATTCTTTCTGAATAGAACACATAATGACAACAAAAAACAACAACCAAATCTTACCTCACCAATCTTGTTTATCAGTTTCTTTTTTGTATTTTTCTGTGAAATTTTCTTTCTCTAGTGATTATTGACATAAAGCGATTGTTTTTCATGTGTTTGTGTGTGTGAAGATACTCATTGTATTTGACTTCAACATTTTTAACAGTGAAAAGAAAGCGTTTTTACAAAGATAAGTTTGCAAGTGAAAGGCATTTTACTAAAGTTCCTGCGCTTTTCCACGAGAACTTTTCGTCTAAATTGGGATTGTTAATATATCTGAAAGAGGTAGAGAGTTCTGGTCTCTCATGAAATTATTTACTCGCAAAAAGTCCTTAACGAGCATCATGAAAATAATTTCAAATAACAATGCGCAAGTCATTGAGTTAGTAATGACATCATTAACCGAACGAAACGCTGCTCTTCTTTATGTTAGAACACTATGAGAGTCATGAACATCATAGAAAAGAAATCCGTATGATGTCGAGTTCACCAATATGAAAAATATGCAAGAGCATTGTTAAATTATTCAATATCCCATTGTTAGTTTTTCTTTTTCTCGTCAGTGGAATATTTTAAAATAGCATACGCTTCATTTGTGGGCTTTTCATTCATTTCGACATCTTCTCATTCGACGTATTAACCTTTCATTGAGTACAGCAGTCTGTATCAGTAATGTCGTCGTTTTGTACGCTTTTCAATTGGTCACCAACGAATCTTGACCTATTAACACCCATCGTTATTACTGAAAGTATTGCAGTGGCTATTCATTGCATGTTTTGGATACAATTTCTTGTTTGTTCATCGTTGCGGCAACGAAATATGATGTGGCTCTATGTTTATTTAATCACCGATTTTCTTCTTATCACACGATTTTTTATTTTTTATGGTATTCGGTTATCATCGGTTTGTTTATATCCGATAGGTCGAGATGTTCTGTGTTATTTCGAGGCATCATTCAAGTTTTATCTTAATGGGGTGCAGAGTTACTTGCTGCTAGCATTTAATGCCTGCCGATACTTGCAAATTGTCTACAATCGAAACATTTATCGAGAAAAACCACGCTTAATTTTGCTCCTTCATGCTGCTATCTATGTTCTACCTGCAGTTAATATTATCGTTCAATATTTAGCAAAATGGGCAACGATTTGGCGTCGACGCGGCGGATCTTGTGACATCACGTATTCGTACTTACTAGTACAAATATACAATTTATGCGTCATCTATATTGTGCCTATTGTTTCGAATATTTTGATTCTCGGCATCGGCATTCATCATATTAGCTCAGTACGAGGCGTACAAAGTGTACAAATAATCCTTCTTCGTAGAAAACGCCAACGTGTGCTTTTACTTCAAACCATTGCTTTTTATTCTGTTTGGCTGATTCTCTGGAGTCCGGATATTCTGGCATTTCAATTCTTGAACACCAATAGCGATCCAGCAGTCTTTACTGCTTTGCTGAGCGTTATCGAAGTTGCACTGGATCCAGCCATGATTGGTATTATTGACATTCGGTTTTTAACAACGTGGAAGAAACTATGGAATAAGATTAAAAGAAAGACAGAAATTAGACCGATTTCGTGATGAATGACAAATCATTTTCTGTATGGAACGAACTTTATTTCTAGCAATAAAGAATCTACTCGTTTCCGCTGCGAAGATGAACATGAGATCTACAAGATATGTTAATGCACTGAACTAGAGCATGTCCTCAAAGTTCAGATGAAAATCTAATTAGTGAGTGATAGTCGGCATAGATTCAACAGAGAGTATTGGGCCTGTGGTGAATATTACAATATATTTGATTAAAGAGAGTAATTAAAGGAGTACTAATATAGTATTAAACATGAAAGGAGTTAATCATCGTATGTAAACTGGTGACATCTGTCACGTGTCAAAGATTACGTTGACTTTTAATAGTTTTCTATTTCGACTTTTTTGTTGAATTTTAATTTGCCATTAGTAATAATGAAGAGCGTTTTTGTCGAATTAATATTCCAAATATTCTCCATTCTATTCGGTAATCATCCATTGTCCACGAAATTTTTTCGTTCGTTCTGTCTGTCTGTCTGTCTAATATGACTGATTTTTTTCACGGCACGAAGTATTATTTATCAATCATATATGTACAAATATTTTTCCATGATTCGCTTGAATTAATTGCACACCGACACATTCTCGAAAGCATAGTTTTATATTTAACCATTCGGCAATACTATCCGCGTTGTGCTTTTTAGATGACCATACATAGACTTATATCATTGGTGCTAATAATATGTTTATCTATTTTAAACTGTTGTCAGTCGAAATCAAATAATCGTATGTGATTTTTGAGGAAAACATGTAGAATTCGACTATTTTTTCGATCTTTTAGTCGATGTTTGTTCGTTATGGTCTGACAAAGAGAAGAATTCGAACGAATTAAAGAGTTTTATTTTCACCAATGTCAAACCGGAAGGTGGCAGTGACGCTGGAAGATTCTCAAAGTAAGCCTTGTTATACGAATTCAATCGAATGGGTAAACTTCTCTTCTTCAGGATTAAAGTAAACAGTTGGGAAGAATGTGTGAATCAATGTTGTCAGTTTAATCGATGTAATGTCGTCTATTGGATCGCATCAGTATGTGTTCATATAGAATGTATTTCCGACGAGATATGTGCTCCGGTAGAAGCAAATCTCAATGAGGAGACAATGTATCTCCGAGTTCGTTCAGTTCGTAAGTGTAAACACCGATGAAATAATATATATACTCTTCGTTTTCTTTTCCGAAAAATAAGAATCAACAGCAGCGGCTCTTGATTATGAAGATCCCGGTCGTGATGAATGTAACGATACCAAACTGTGCAAGATTAATGAACAATGTGAACAAATTTCCGTCAGTGCTCAGATACAACGTAATATATGTTCATGCGATCACAAAAGCGGTTATCGTCGTATCAATGGTAAAAGATTGGAGAGTAAATAGAGATTAACTTTTTTACTTATTTAGGCGTTTGCCGTCAATATTTACCTAATACAAAACCTTGTGCAATCTATGAAAAAGATTTTCAAGAGACTGATGATAACGAAGATCTCGATCAGACTGTTAATAGAGGGCGGTGTAAGAAAAACGAGGAATGCTTACCACCAAATGATCGTGCTAAACATGGTTATTGTCAATGTAAACTTGGCTTTCTGCGTACAAGTGGCAATGGAAAATGTTTAGCTGATGAGCGAATGACCACCTTCACAACATCGACGCCGACAACTTCGATTTCATCGTCGTTTGATCTCGAAGTACAAGCTGGTGATGATCAAACTATTAGTTTACCTACAGATCAAGTTGATTTATCTGGACAGGTTCTTTATAAATCAAATAAAACGAAAATAGAGATGTCAATATTAGCAAATCGTAACTTAAGTTTGTTTTGGATATTGAAATCTTCAACCAATGGTGCTAAAATCAATCTAATTAATCAGGAAAATTCACAATCGCATATTGTTGTCAAACAATTACGAGAAGGAATTTATGAATTTGAATTACAATTGAAGAACAGAGAGGGAATCGTATTAGCAACCGATGTAATGAAAGTTCAAGTTATTCCCAGTGAGTTTCATCTTCACATCAGTCAACGCGATAGATTCGATTGTGAATATTTAAAATATTCCAAGTCTAATTTGATCTTATTTCTCATTTCAGCTACAACAACTGCGCCGCCTCTTAGTATTCAAATAGCATCACCAGTAAGTGTTCGACTACCGCAACAAGTGGTTAAACTTGATGCGCATGTTGAGCCATCAAGTCGGCCTGTGACTTATCAATGGACATATTCCAAGGATGGTCCGATTATACCTATACTCGAAGTAAATATCCATCGAAAAAAAACGAACAGAGGCTACAAGATTTGCTTTAAGGGTACAGACACATCCGCTTTGTCAGTGTCGAATCTTCGTCCTGGTAATTATTCGTTCCGCTTACATGTTGTCGACAGTCTGGGCAATGAACAAACAAAAACTGTTCAATTAAACGCCATCGGAGGTAATTTACAAGAAAACATAACTAATCCATTGAATCATTCTTTTCAAATCTATCAGAACCAATTGAAGCTCGCGTTGCTAACCGTCGTGAGATTGTCTTTTGGCCGTCAAATGATGTTGTGCTTGATGGTACACCAAGTATCATCGAACAACAAACACAAATCTCGTGGAAATTACTTTCGAATGATAATAAACAACGACTTAACGAAATTGATATATTATCTCCACATTCTCTAAAAACAAGAGTGTCGAATCTTCGTATTGGTCAATACAAATTTCAGTTGACATTAACAACCAATGACGAAGAATATACATCGAAAAAAGATGTTCTTGTCGTTGTTTACACTCAAAATGGTAAACCACCGAAAGTGTCCATTAATCTTGAAACAAGCCGTGTCAATATTCTGAATAATCTCATCATTTTGAATGGATCTGCAACAACTGCTGATTATGGGATCGACCGATGGCAATGGAAAAAGAGTCCATCGAGTCCAGCCATCGGAAACTTTCTCAACAATTCCGATCGATCGCCGATGGCATACGTAACGAACTTGATCGAAGGTTCCTATGTTTTCATTCTTCAAGTTTATGATGATCGACAGCAAATGAGTGAAGCCAATATCACTGTTCGTGTTGGTGGTATACCAAATGCTGAACAATTAGTTGAAATCATCTTTTTATCTAAGCCATATCTCCATCAACAAACACTTGACAATCTTCTTGCGCAGATTCGCGTTTTTCTCATTGATATTCTACCAAACATCGATATAGTCATGATTGGAATGCCAAAAGAGAACACTTTGTTAATAAAAGCAATCGACTCCAAGACCAACGCGATTGTTTCACCAAAATTAGTTGCCAATCATTTACAAGACAAAATCAAATCGTTACGCTCGGCATCAAATATGAATATCATATCTATCGATACTTATTTATGTTTATCAAATTGCTCAAACCATGGTAAATGTGATCATAAGACGAAGCATTGCGTGTGCAATCGATACCGTATGGAAAACTGGTTTAAATCTCTCGTTCAAAAAGAACCCAATTGTGGTAAGAATTAATGTCAGACACTTTTTCGAAATACAAATGAAATTTTTCTTTGATAGATTTTATCGTGCATTATGTGGTTTTAATATCAATTGTTACTGTTATTTTTGCGCTTCTCTTTTGTTGGCTATGTTTATGCTGCTGTTTGCGTTGGCGTCGTCGTCGAAATTTATTGGAACGTCGAAAACGTATTCGATATCAATTATTACACGAAGATGACGAAGACATTAATGACACTGAAAGTCCACGAAGTCCGAAAGAGAAGCTCAAGAGTAAATTTCGTTTGACGAAAAAGAGTATGTTCAGGTGAAAATGTCACTTTCTCTCTGTAGGAGAATTTCGTTTTAGATAAAACCAAACCATCCAATTTGATTATTTCCGAATCGGATTGCGATGTTTCAGATGAACATGGCGAACAAACACTTTATGATAAACCACTTCTTACCGCCAAACTACAAATGAGCTCATCCTTCGGCAAAAATCGTGGATTGAAAGTTCCAGTACAAGATAGTAATGGTAGTCCGATGTTACGCAATAGTGGACAATCGCCAACAACCACCGACAATAGTGTCGCTTAAGAATTTCAAGCGAATCTCTTCCGTTGTGATAAACTAAACAAAACAAAACAAGAACTCTCATGTTTTTTTTTGCTTTATTGTGTTTTTCTTCAAATTCTATATTATTCAACGACTGTTTTCAACTGATTTCATCTATTTATCTTTAGTATCAAAGTTTATTATTATATATATTTTTTCTTTGATAGTGAACAAGAAAAAGACATGATATTTCTTCATTTTTAGATTCTCTGTATTCTTCTTTTTTCAAATTAATCATGTCACTCATCTGTTCTCGTAAGTAAATATTCGATTCTCATCGGAGATAAGATCAACTCTGTACAATATTGTTTTAGTTTCGAACGAAGTACCTGAACAGCCAGTTCTTTCACCTGTCTCTGGTTGTATTTATGAAAAACGCTTGATTATTAAGTATCTACGAGAATCACCCAATGATCCAATCACTGGCCAACCATTGACAGAAGAACAGCTCATCGAAGTGAAAGGTATGACGCGCATCGATTGAATCTTGACCGTTTATGTCGTAAATTATAGTTACACCACTTGGCAAGCCCAAACCACCATCAGCAACTAGTATTCCAGCTATTCTTAAAATGCTACAAGATGAATGGGATGCTTGTATGTTACATAGTTTCACACTTCGCCAACAATTACAAACAGCTCGACAAGGTTTGTTTTCAGATTTTCTACATTAAATTATGCGCATTATTATGTCTCGTTTATCAATAGAACTTTCACATGTTATGTATCAGCATGATGCTGCGTGCCGTGTCATCGCACGTCTCAACAAAGAAGTTACAGCAGCACGTGAAGCTTTAGCTACATTGAAACCACAAGCAGGCATTTCACAACCGACTGCGGCGGTAAGAACAATTGAATTTCCATCGATAAAGCCTATCTGAATGATGTTTAGCAATATACCAATGACCAGTCAACACCGACAACTCATCATGGAGGCGGTGATGCTTCACAAGCGGGAGCAAATGCTTCCGAAGGCATGACCGAAGAAATAATTCAGAAAGTAAACACAATAAGTCGTTGCTTTTTTCAAGAAAAATATCTTCTTCGTTTCATTTACAGTTACAAGACAAAGCATCAGTTTTGACACAATTACGTAAACAACGTGGCAAACATGTTCCTGAAGGTTTAACTACGGTCGACGAAATGAAAAGCTTTCGTTGTTCTGCCACACATACAGTATGGATCCACATCATACACTTTTTTCCACTCCACTTCCTTCTCGTCATAGGCTTTACACAGTGCCAGCAATCCCGGTATCCTAGCACTGGATATTTCATCGAAAAACTCCAGTATTGTAATTACTGGTGGAAATGATCGTCAAGCTGTAGTATTCAATCGAGATAGCGAACAAGTGGTAGCAACATTGAAAGGTCACCAAAAAAAAGTTACACATGTTATTCACCATTTCGAAGAAGTATAAAAACACACATTAACCTACACAGCTTGTCAAACTTATTTCACTTCTTCAATTCTCGTTTCAGGATATTGCTGTCACAGCGAGCGCAGATTCAAGTATTCGTGTTTGGCATATACCATCAGCTCAGTGCTTGAAAGTTCTCAAAGCTCACGATAGCGCTATAACTGGTCTTTCACTTCATCCAACTGGTGATTATGTTCTCTCGAGCGCAACTGATAATTACTGGGCACTGTCAGATTTACGCACGGGAAAATTAATTACCAAAGTTCAAGATTCAACATCACAACGAGGTATAAAGAAAAATGTCATTGATTGATTTGATATGAAAGTTTGTATAGGATTAACTTGTGCACAATTTCATCCTGATGGTATTATCTTTGGTGTGGGAACACAGGATAGTGTGATTAAAATTTGGGACTTGAAAGAGTGCAATAATGTTGCTGATTTTCCAGGCCATGCTGGCAGTATAAATACAATTGCCTTTTCAGAAAATGGTACTACCCAAACGCATTTTCTTTACTAATAATTGTTGAATTTAATTTGGTCTGTTAAGGTTATTATTTGGCAACAGCAGCTGAAGATGCATCGATCAAATTATGGGATTTACGTAAATTAAGAAACTTCAAAACCATTACACTTGAAGACCGCTATGAAGTGAAGTTCTATATTTCTTCTTACGGTTAATTTATAAGTTTTCTTCTCTTTCAGATTCGCGATCTTGTCTTTGATCAAAGTGGAATGTATCTCGGTGTCGCCGGTACTGATGTTCGGTAAGAGCATCTAAAAATAGATTGTTTTCTTTTACTCATGTGGTATTTGTAGAGTATATCAAGCCAAACAATGGGATTTACTCAAAGTCTTCAATGATCATACAGCAGTAGCAACTGGCATTCGATTTGGTTCTAATGCGAAGTATATCGCTAGTTCAAGCATCGATCGTTCATTGAAATTTTACGAACGATTGTCTCAAGAATAGATATCGTAGGATGATTAGACAGATCAATATGAACATTTCTTTGATGAGAATTTTCTTTTGTACGTGTGTGTATGACTTTTGAAGAGAGAAAAAGCTGTGTTGTTGTTATTATTCTTCTTGTTTTTTTTTCTGTAGTTATTCGAATAAAAAAAAACAACAAATGATGTGAATGTATACAGAAAACCCCCGAATAGTAATTATTGAATCAACAAGAAAGAAAAAAAATAGTAAATGGAAAGAAGAAAAGTTCGAATTCATTAGTGAAGGAATTTCAATGACATACAGGAAATTAATGACAAATATCACAAAGCAGAATCTGTTAAAAAGATTTGTTTTCATTTCCTTTGGTTTTCCTCCTTTGTGCACTCAGTCAATGTTTGTCGCATCGCTTAGAATTGAAAGAACTTTGCTTGTTAGTGACTCTCTACTCAAAGCTCAGCATGTAATCTATCAAGTATATCAACACAGATCTTTCATTACACATTTCTTGACTTATAACTATCATTTTATAGTTATCTATTTATCTATCGCGTGTGTCTAATGAGATTGTCGTCTTTGATTAGTAATTTTTTTATTTTTGACGCTCTTTTCCTCGATTGAAATGCCAGGACAAGCTACTTGTTAATCCTAATAAATGGATGTACACATATTCCAGCACTCATCATTTTGCTTTTGGTTAATCATCGATTATTGATGTGTTTAGATCGTAGAAAATATGAAGATTCTAATGCAAACAGCCGAATACATCGACAACATGTGTAATATATCCTTGAGCGATGTGTGTCGTCACAGTAAGAGATAGGGAGAAGAACGTTTACAATCGAAGACCTGATACTGTCGTTGATTAGACTTGTCAAGCTGTTAAAGATCGACGCCATAAAAAGCAAGTCGACTGCAAAGAAGTGTATTTCCTTATTGACGAAACGGTTTCTATGTCATGTATTACTTTCGTCTAAGTTGATCAGGTCAATAAGCTCAAGAACAGAAGTGAATGTAAGAACGAGTCTACTTGTGCTATTTCCGTTGTCTTTTTCTTCGTATTGAAATCCTATATCGACGGAAGTTAGTTGATGCCACTTCTTTCTCTTGTTATGTGCTTTTTTTCTGCTAATCTCCCGTTTGATTGTCAGATATTATTAACGTATATCATACATATGATGTCGCCAAAAACAATAACTAGTCATCAGATGCGTTTAAGATGAATAATATATACAAACATGAATTAATCAATAAAAATATTGTTCTCTACGCTGATCTCGAGAGAATTTTTCATCAGAATGAGTTTATTTAAGAGTTGACGGATAATAAGTAATACATTTTTTTTCTTCTTCATTCTTCATTTTTTGTCATTACCAGCATCGTTTCTTGGACCGACCGGAGACAAAGATTATCCACGCGCACGACTTCACTTTCTCTCTCCCTTGAGGTTTTCTCCCCTGTCGAATCTTTTGACATTGCATCTAAACGCACTCCTTATGTTTGACGTCTTGGTTTCTTCCAGTTAGATAGTAATCATCTATTTTCTTCGTATATTTATCAGATAGAATGTTTGGATCGCGAGCATTTACATCAACACAAACTGGTCATAGATGTACGTCATCGGCGAAATTCACCTCTACTAGACAAGCTGAAAATGATATTGCAGGTCAATTGAAATGAAACTTTTCCACATGATAAGAGATTCTTTTTCGAACGCTTAGATCGATATCGACTCGATGAAGTAGAAGATGAAACACATCCAAAACGAAGTCTAGCGTGTGCTTTAATCTCCACATTGTGTTGTCCGCTTTTAGGTAAATAGTTTCATGAAGTTTGAATTATTTGTAAGAGATTTATTCGTCAGGTATTCTTGCTATTTATTATGCGACTCGTGCAGTTCAAGCACATAATCAAGGGTTTTATGCTGAAGCAACAACATTCTACAAAAAATCAATACGATGGTCATTGATTACGTTCATTATCGGTCTCGTTCTCGGTTCCATTGTCGCTTTTGGATTCTTTGTCAAAGCTGTTCTCGCTGTTTGAATTACTCAAAAATGATCTACTTATCTTCATTGTAATTTCTAAATTCACATACATTGTCTGCGACTAATGTCCATAGACATTCAGAATATTATTGGCATTTCAAATAGACAATGTCGACTATAGTTAGTTGTGTACATAATGAATGTCATACTCTAGTCTGATATTGAAAAGCAAGTATGATATGCGTACAATTGGAACTACTCATGCGGTGGATCTTTTCGTTTTGTTTTGTTTTGTTTTTTTCTCTTTGTATTTGTATCATCAATAAATTGAAAAAGTACTTAAAGTGAGATTTATCTATTCGAAAGGATTATTAGCAAATCGCCTACATAAAGCGTTTAAATAGCATCGGTATGGTTTGCTTTCAAGCAAAAGTCATGTTTTCACGTTTCGTTCTTTCTGATCTAATGGCCTTTTTGTTGTATACCCAATCAGTTATCTTTTTACATACGAAACAACTAGTGAAATATGTTATTGATTTATTTTGAAAGCTAATCTATTCTGTTTTATAGAAGCAAATCAAAGTACAAGAGAATAGATCACGACATTTCGACAAAGTTCTGAAAGGATAAAGAGAATAAAAAGGATAATATTCATTCTTGTACAATAGCATTAGTTTTTTTGATTGATTCTCAATTACGTTCGACGTCGAAAAGATGTTTCTTTCGGTTGTCATATTTCTATTCTTCTCCTTTGGCCACGCGCAATATTCTTATCAACAAGGGCGATATGCGTATAATAATTTTAACCCATGGTCAACCTATTCAACATGGAATCAAGGAGCTCGACAAAGTAAATCTTGAAGTGAATGTATCATATTATCCTACAGATCGATTGATTTGATCTTTGTTAGCACAAGCAACTGTTCGTGGAAATCTCCTCAATGAAGATACATCTCCATTACCATACGGTTCGCAAATCAGTGTTTCACTTGTCGATGTTTCTCTTCAAGATGTTGCATCTCGTCCACTGAATACAATGGTCCTCTACGGATCTTATCGTTTTCCAATCGCTTTCGAAATTCCATATTCAATGATGCAAGTTCAACAGAACGGAAATACCATTGGACAGTACGCGATTCAAGCACGTATTGAAAAAGATGGTCAGTTACTTTACATCAACGATCAGTACACACCAGTACAGTTAATTCCGGCGCCGATCAATCCTGTGAATGTAATGATGAAAAAAATCGGAATCACGACAAATCCTGGTAAGACAATTTGCGGTATTTATCTGTGCGAAGGATACTTTTTATTTAGGAGCGGGCGGAATTTACACAACCGGATCGCCGATCACAAACAACATATACAATTGTCAACAGATTCCCGATGTTGGACCGTGTCGAGCCTTCATTGAACAGTACTATTTCAATTCACAATTAGGTAGTTGCCAAGTTTTTATCTGGGGCGGATGCGGTGGCAATCAAAATCGATTCGAAACTCGTTATGATTGTGAACGTGCTTGTTCATCCTATCAACGACCACGCATGTCTTTGAATAACATTCGACAAAAATGGATACAATAAAAATGTTCTTTTTTTTCTCCACAATTTACAGAACTCAAACAGTTGAATTTCCGATAACGTGCATCAATAATCCACAGAGTGAATTCATATCGTAGTTATAGTGTACAATAATAGAATGAAAATCTGGGTTATTGTTGTGCAAGAACATCGCTATGTTTACATTTGCTCGCGAAAAAGAATTTCCATTGCATCGACACTATGGTTACGAAAAATATCTGCACGTGTATGTTGTAAGATAAAAATACTTTGTTTTTCGGAAGTAGGACGTCATTCAAGAGTCAGATGGAAGGGTAATGAAAATCTTTGTATCTGGAGCGAAAACATATAGAACAATGTATGTTAGTTGAATATCAAACGATAAATCTGACTTTTACATACTTAAGAGGCAAACAACCCTGGATAAGCGACATATGACACATGTCATCCATAGAAAAATCACATGACAGAACCTCTCATATTTATACGTACACGAGGTTTAAGAACAGAATAACGCCTCACCTATGCTTATTTGACATGATTATCAACTGATAAAATATTATGTTCTATTGCGTCGTATGTTGAGAGAAAAAAAACGAGATTGTTGCTGTTTATTCAGAATGTTAATCAAATAACTTTCCATGCTGCGTCAGTTTTAGTTTTATTTAAGTTTTTTTTGTGTTACACAGAGAGAAGAAAAACGAAAGAACAAAACAAAATGGTTAGTTTGTTGTTGTTTTCACAAGACTAGGCAAAACACCAAAGAATAACAACCGACAAGAAGAATTTTCTATTCTTCTTTTTCGATCTTTCTCATTTTGAGCAAGACAAAACCATTACGTATATATGAAACATTCCAAGACAAGTTTGCTAACAGAAAGACATATACACCAACAATAAAAAAGAGAAAAAAAAAAGAAAAGAAACGGACATCTAATCTAACAACATCCATTGAAACTGCTTCATATATATGCATATATATATGTAGAACAAAGAAAAAATAAGCACACCGGAGTAGAAGAATAGAACTGTTCTATACGAAAGGATTTGGATAATACAAGAAGAAGAAGAAAAAACAAATTAAAAAATCAACGAGCTGGTGTATCAGTTTCATTTTGGTGATATCGATAAACTCGAATATGATTTCGTTTTATCATACAACAGAGAAACAAGTAAACGAAGATCACATATCCATCGAAAATTGATCATCACCGTCTATACAGAAGAAGTTCATTCGAAAAGAAATTTTACGATCAATTGATCTAACCTTTTTTAACTGATTTTGAACGATCAGATTTCGATAAGTTCGACTTATCAACTGACGATCCTGCTCGGTCCTTTTTATCTGTGCTATGACCATTTTCCACAACATCACCATTCTTGTCCGGCCCCGGAATCAAGGTAACTATTACAAAACATACATTGTTCCTACACGCTCCTCGTTTCCTTCTTATGATACGAACCTTCCGGAATAAATGGCAAATTCGGCGGCGAACGTGTCATAGGTGAGTCGCGACGAGAAAGTAAGAAAGCCCGATCGTAATAAATACGACTGCCTAAATTGTTTCTTTGAAATAGCATCAAAACAAAATCACGTCTTTTCTTTCTACCTCCTGGTGTTGTTGAAAAAATGCTTCCACCTGGTGTTTCACCGTAATGAAGTGGCATATCTTTTGGATCATGTACAACCAAACGACGGATTGGAATACCTTCAGTGCTACTCATCGCGTGAATTCTGTTTTCCTGAAATAAATCTAAAACAGTAATATCACTCTTTGCTGGCCTCATAGAAAGAATAAAACGTATATACGCAGTAAAGATAAAAGAAAATACGCGCATATATATATAGTAACCAGCTCCCATTGTGTGCGTACTAAATAAATATGCACTGCAGAGCACGTGCGTTTAGACTCCGTCGTTTCCTTATATTGGCCGGAAGATTTTCTCCAATAGAGAAATACACCATAGAGTTCGCTGTTCATCATGCCTATCTAGAGCTGAATATCTATATATTTATGACATGTGGATTTTTCATAGAAAAAGTGACAAAAAAAACACTAGAGATCAAAAGTATACATATATATAAGGAAACATAAGATATCTGACACGAAAAGAGAAAAAACAATATAGAGAGATATACAAATCACATCATCAGACTCACTCAAGGTTAAATTTTTATGCACTGAGCTCATTTTGGCGTATTCCACACGATTTTTTTCTGAAAAAATTCGATTAGTTCACGTGGAATATAGATATGAGCTATTTCTGATGGAACATATTCACGTAAGATCGGTGAGCCTTGAACATAATCAACAGCATAGAGTACTGATGAATCTTTTTGCTTAGCTGCTCCGATGACTGCGCGTACACGCCAACCTTTTTCCACACCGAATACTTTTTTTCGCACTTCGTTTGTTGCTGCTACTGGTGTCGTAGTCGGCGTCGTGGACAATGGTGGAGATGGCGATGGTGGTGATGATTTTGCATCTTTTGGTGTTACAATAACTGAGTTTGACGTTTTTTTCTTCTTTTTCGCTGGTGGTGAATCTGCATGATTCGAAGATGACGAAGTAGCTGATAGCGATACACGCTGTTTCTTAGGTGGATCTTCACCTAAAATCGAGTAAATTGGATTCGAAGTATCAGCATCCACTTGCTGACGTTCAAATTCAGCAATTAAATCAGGATGAATATCATGCTGAGCTTCCCAAGTATTATCAGCATCGCTGACTAAAAAATAGTACATGTGAATTGCATTAACACATTTAGCAGCACATACATCCAGCCCATTTCAGCAGATATTCACATTTGCCTTTACGAGTCCGTCTTTTAGCAATAATTTTTTCGACGACGTATTGATCATCAGCTCTTGCTTCGTCCGGTAAATCGAAAAAATCGTTTGGTCTTGTCGAAGTCGAGCCCGACATTGATGGTGACAAGAATTATTGATCTAAAAAGAGGATTCATTATAAAAAATTTCCATTCACTCGCAAAAGAATGAACGATGCACGAGAAAATATTGATCAGCTTTTTCTTTTTTTCTATTCAACAACTAACAGTAAGCACGAATGAAGGATGTCAGACAGACTGCGTATAAATAATCAGAATTGAAAGAAGACAATCATGTCGAGATAGAGAACGAGAAAGCCGAACATGCATGTGCATAGCCGGTCGATCGGTGTCTATCTTCACATTCTTTCTCTTTCTCCTTTTTCTGTCTATATATCTGTGTTTGCCTGTTCGCATTCTATATACATGTGTATACGTGCACTGAGAAGGATTATACACAAGAAAATAAATTATCTTTATCTTTAAATCTTCTGTTTTAGTTGATGAATGAATAAACACGAAACAAACAAGATGAGAGATTGTCGAGAATTGAGGTTCGAATGATTTTGATAAATGAACAAATACTTGTATCGATAGAGGTGATAAAATCTCCTATTGAATTATTCAAAAGATGCGCAATTATGTATCGAAATGTGTCAATTCCGATGTGAACTAATAGATCAATCATAAAAGGTGATAAAAGTGTTAGCCAATGATTTATCACTTTCAAAGATCAGCAAAAGAGATTGTTTCATATCATTCAAAAATGAATATCATGGAATTATTACAATTGGTGTGAGGCAAAAATGATTGATGTAACCCATCAAAGACCTGAAAGTTATTTCAAGTGCAATCATCGAGAAAAGCGCATCATCGACATCAAAAGTTGTACTTGATACAGACGATTTACTTTTGAACAGAAATGTCCTTTTAATGCATTTAAAAGCGTCTCAGGCGAACATGATTTTGCTGTATGTAATTAGAATAGACATACATTGCAGTAAGATGAGCGATGGGAGGTGACAGTGCTTCTTTCCGACAGAAATAGAAATCAAATTGACCTTTTTTGAGTACATTTATGATGATTACATGAAATTTTATTGTTTCTCAAACGACCATTTTACATGACAACAACAAAAATAGGATAACAACATTTAGTAAACGTCTTTGAATCATTAATGTCAATTCTATTGACGAATGGGGCAGACTGACTTTAGCCTTTTATTCGTTGCTGCAGTTGTACTGGAACTTGTTTGGGAGATATTGTCACTAGTTCAACCAGTTCTAAATCATCATCATTCTTGACTGTTGTTGGTAGTACTGTGAACTTCTGCAGAAGTCTAATGATCGTTATTTTCATTTCGGTGAGTGCAAAGCGCATTCCAATGCATTTACGTGGACCAACACCGAACGGAATCCATGCTGCGGCATGTCGTTTCGTGGCAAATCTTTCTGGATAGAATGTTTTTGTGTCTACGGGTCCCCATAGCTCATTATCAAAATGTAAACTGTACATATCCAATGTAACTTTCGTTCCGGGATGTATTTGACCTAATCCTGGCAAGTCAATCGGTTCGGAACATTCTCGATTGATAATGATAGATGTAATGGGATACATCCGTAGTGTTTCTTGAATGAACCATTCGAGATAGTTCATTTTATGAATAACTTCATAATCCAAATCATAGCGATCTTCGAGATAATAATCAATGTGGTCTTGTAATTTCTTCTGCTCTTCGGGATGTGTTGCTAATACATGTGTGATATAAGCAAGAGCTGTGCTGGCTGTTTCATATCCAGCGATCATGAATAGATAAATGTTTTGCTTGACTTCATCGATCGATAGAACTCGTTCAGATGCGCTATGCTAAAAAACACAAACGTTTCGCCTTGAAATATATCTTGTCAATGTACTACCTGATGTATTTCACGGAATTCCGTGTCAAGTGTCGCGTCAAGCATCAATTGTAACAAATCAGGCGATTTGATGATGTTCTCATTATAATCACTCTTACTCTTCTGACATGTTAACGCTTTTTCAATAAAATAACTAACATTATTCTTTAACCATTCATTTGGATCATCATCAATTAATTTTTCGCCCATGGGTAATAAACAGCGCAATTGCGTCTTGATGCTATTCATCCAGCAATGTATACGCAGCCAGATTGGCTGTAATTCTGGAATGAATATGGCCAATATAGTTGCTAAATAAGTCGAATTTTCTCTTGCGAAGACATCTTGAGAACGTTTCAAATAAGGATCATTTGGATCATTTTGCATATTGGTTTCAATGCCGAAGCAACATCGCCAAATGAGATCCATTGTTAACGATTTGTATGATTTGTAAATGTCAAAACCTTCGTCGGATGTTTTCATACTTTCTTCCAATTTCATCAGTAATTTTTGCACACAACTTTCGATAAGTGGTAACATACGTTTCATTTTGAGCTGTGAAAACGTCGGAGCGATAATTGCGTGTTGACGTCGCCATTGATCACCGGTTGCACTGAATAGATGAACGCCTTTTGTTGTTCGACGATCTTCCAATGGAAATTGACGACGTGAATGAAATTTCGAGAAATGATTGATGAAAATTTCATGGAGAATATCGGGATCAGACACAACAAGTACCGGAGTGTGACCTTCGAAGTAACCGTAAATATGACCGAATTGCTGAGTCCAATTGTGAATGGACATGGAGATACGTTTTGTTCGAATGAAATCTGCCAGATTACCGAGCAGAAACGTTGGCCGTGGGCCCTTGATACCGAGTTGTTCAAAAAATGAATAACATCGATAGATATGAAGCAGATAGATCAGCAATAAACAGATAAAGATACTCAAAAGAAAAATAAACGTGAACATCGATACTGTTCAGTTAGGTTGAAAAAGATCAAAGAAATGACAATCTGAAATTAGATAATATTGACATCATATTTATCAAAATTCTATGCAAACCAGGAATATATGCAGTAAGTCAGTGATATTGCTAATCTGAACACTTCCAAATTGTCTGCCACGAAACCAGAAGAACTGAACAAGCAGACTATTCTCATTATTGACAAATGCCTTCGTAGGGAAAAACCATGATTTCTAAATGGACATGTCGGCTTATTTCATAATTTACTGGCGAATCCCGACAATAACTTTGATACACTATGTAAACCTGTAAAAGCATGACTTTGGCGACTATTACATTTCTCTCTCTCTCTCTATCTGTCTTTATGCTTTTATTAAGTATTTTTAAATAGAAGGAAGACACAAGTAGGTAGTGAAAAATAAAATACCTTACGCGTACGCATTTCCGCTATAGTTAAATGTATTTTTGACTGCATGACGCAAAGGAGAAAATAGCAGACGGGAAAACGAGAACAAATTAAAATATGATTTTTTTTTATACTAAAATACTCCTACACGAACCTGCGTGAAAAGCAAGTATCTATGCAATTAGGTGCCCTATTTGATTTATAATTATTATCAATAATGTAACGTTCTTTTAGTTTGACATGGAAATTTGCTGGAATGAGTAATTCGGCGCAAGTCGCGTATTATCGATGTTCAGCGTGCGAAGAACACTTAGATATTGAGAGGTGTGCTCAATGGTGTTTCTTCTTTTTTAAATAGAGATTTAAAGTATTTAGACTTAAGCTTGAGACATCGACGTCATCATTAGTCGATTTTAGAAAATATAAAAAAAGATTGATAATATATCCGGTGGAGATATAAACAAAAACAGTTTTTTTTTCATTTATTTTCCATTGTAAGGTGTGCGTTAGTGGAAATAATTATTCACGTCAAATAAATCGCTTCTGAGCATTGAATTTCTTTAAGACTGGTCATATTAACCTTTTAGGAAAAATATTTCCCTTTTGTTCAGGTAAATCTTTGCTTGAGTGTTCTTTTATCAGAATAGTTCTAAGTAGATTTATTTTTCTGGATTAAATCAAAACAAATGTATAGACAACAAAGAAAAAGGCACAAGTACTTTTATGGATAGTTAATGTCTGTTGAAAGGGCAAGAGAACAGAAGAAGACAAGTTGTCTGTTTCTTCATGAATCTGTTGCTCAACACTATGGAAAAAGAACAGAATCTTTCACATGACGCGACAATGTTTGCCATGATGTTGATGAAGTCGTCGCCGTGCTTGTAATGCTGCTTGTTTAGCAACAGTGTCTTCCACGGTTTCTAACATTCGGCAAACTTCTCTGAACAACAAGACTAAATGCCAATGGTATTTCGCTGAACATTGAATTGTATTAGCTTTGAAGTTCTTCTTTACATATTGTTGTATATCACGTGAATTCGTTAGTGTTATATTAGAAAAGCGCAGATCTGTTGAAATTGAATCGACTTTATTTGCTACAACAATCACAGGCACATAAGTTTTCGTTGAGATTTGTTGTTGTTGTTCTTCATCGTCACCACCAGTCAGATCCGCGAGGATTTGAGATTGATGATGCGAATGCGAATGAGAATGATGGTGGTGATGATGATGATAATGATAATGATTGTGACCAAGACGAACGCGAGCTATTTCACGGTAGATATGTTTGATGTAATTAAATGTTTCTTCACGATTAATATCAAAAACTAATAGAAATAAATGAGCACGACGAAAGCAGTACATGCGAACCCATTCCTGTTGAGGATCAGTATTATTTGTATCATCAAATCGTGGAGTATCAATAATACGAATATGAAATAATCGATGGCCATTAAACAACGATGTGAAATGATATGAAGCTAAATTGGTTTCGGAGTACACGTTAGAAAAATCATTGTATAACCATTGACGAATAATAGCTGTTTTCCCGACAGATTTATCACCAAGAACAGCAATTTGTATCGGCTGATCACACATACTATTCTATATTATCTAAAAAGCAAACTGAGCACTTTGAATAGCTTCTTCTGACATGTGATTAATATTCCAAGATGAAAATATTTCTGTTGAACTTATGGTTTTTTGCCCCAAGAGAAGTGTTTTCATGCCCGTAAGGCATCATCGTCTAAAAATAATTTCAATGATTGTCATGAAATAATCGACGATCAAGTTTATTTGTTGTTTTTCTCGTCTATAGTGTATTCTCCATTGAGAGAACAAAGAGAAGAAGACGAAGCGGCATTCCAAAAAAAGAAGAAGAAGAAAACCTTGCTGGATCTCCCTATTAAAAAAAAAGAAAGTCATTTTTCTCCAGTTGTTTCTTCTTCGTTATTTCTTATTCTTTCTTTTTCCTCGGTTTTTGTCTCAGTTTCCGCATAGGCTCTCGACTAAACAAGTACTAGCCTTGAAAGCACATATACATGCATGCACCGCAAAAGAAATGTTCATCTGGAAGAGGGAGAGGAAAAGAACTTGGATGACATGCAGCAAGAAACGCGAAAAGAAAATGAGCGATGAAGTCAGTCATATTGCCGCTGTCGTTGTTGTTGTTGTGTTATCTTGTTTTTCTGATGTCTCCAGCGAGCTGAACATTAATCGAGTAATAGTCCGCAGGATTTCGATGTTTAACTAAGAAAATCTCATTCGATTACGTAGCAGAAGAGCCGTTATGTCGTCAGTACATTGCCTTTCTTACACGGGATTTTCACTGTTATTTTTATTGCTTAAATCTGTTTCTCATGGGAAATTGCAATGAAGATAAGTTCTATCTTCTCGGACGAGCTCGATTTAATCTAGAAGACACACACACACACACATAAAAAAAAAGAAAAATCCAATCTTCTTTTCTGTTCTTTCTTTTATTGACATTTAGGATTATTCGACGTCCTACTAGCAACCTATTATACGAAGATTGAATTGATCATTTGTCTCCATTGAATTTCGCGTCTGTGTTTTCCCGAATGACTTATTATAGAGAAAGTTAAAAGAACAATATTGCTTTCTTAGACAAAAGACTTACGTCTCTACCTTCTAATCTATCGACGCATCGAACGGCGCAATATAAATATTAATGTTTGAAAATCTATCCGATGTGGAATAGGAGAGACGATAAAAGTTCTACAATTTCTTTGCGGGAGACTAGGTCGAATACGTAGATTGATTAGAAAAATGAAACGTAGGCGAATGAAGGAAGTTGTAGTCACGTAAAACCAAGATCAATTCGATAACATGACAAAGTTCAGTGAATTATTGATGATGGTTAGAAAAATTAATTAGGATTTTTGTTATGTATAATCAAATGAGATTCATTTACAGCTTATTGCTTTTATATTACATGAGATTTTATCTTTAATAAGCATTCTCGTAAATAAACAAAAGCTGATTTGTCCGTCAGATCAAATAAACAAAGTCTAAGTTGAGTTTTATTAATCAAACGCACGAGATACTGATAGAAAAGAGAAAAAAAAGGGAAAAAGAACTTCAGTTTGAGTTATTAATGTCGATGTTTTATGTCGTTACACGCAGTGGAATCACTTGATATCCTTCACCTAATAATCGAACAACGGCTGCGAGCGCGATGCAACTAATGACTGCTAAACAAGCAGCAACAATTGTTGTAAAACCTTGTCGTTGAATACGTTCGAACTTGTAACGTGCAACAACTGGATAGCAACCATTGGTGTAATAACGATTGATCGGACTAGTGTTATTTCCAAACATGTCAACGCAGAGATTATCAGCGGAGAGATATTTTTTATTACAGCAACTGATAGGTAATAAGACAGGAAGATTTGATGCGGCAGAATTTCGTTGAGTCGATGTTGTTCGACTTCGAGCACCTCCGCCGCTACCACCAGATGATGATGACGAAGGATTTAATGACCCAAATGATGACTGTTGTCGACTGCGATAATCATCAATTGGATCAGCTAGTCCGCAACATCGATATTGTTTTTCTAGTCTTGCCATTTTATTGGTGTTATCTACAATAAGAGTATTTCCAACTCCATAACTGAATCGAGTTTCATCTAATTCTTTGACAATCGTATTATTGATCGATGCGGGTAATTGTCCACTTGTTAGTGCTAAAAATGACCAAATACTGAATGCAATCAGACCGAGTGAACAAACACCGATCAGAACAGCCGCTAGAACAGCTAACGTTTTGTTCACTTTCACGATTCCCACACTAATGATAATGAATGTAACAAGTGAAAGCAAGCCAAAGAAAAGTAGCAATGCTCCCGTTATATGCAGAGGATGTTGACCGATATCAACAAAATATCGAAGTCGCCCGAAAGCGATTCCGCCATGGAGAATTAGTATGGTACTAACAGCAATCGTACCGGAGAGAGCAACTACTAATGCAATACGAAATAGCGTACGTCTTGCTGGTGTAGATGTCGCATTCATGGAAGTGATTGTAACGGGTCCAGATTTCATTGTTCGTATGTAAAACAAACGAGATCGAATGAATGAATGAATGAAGACAAATTTCCAGTTAGTAATTTCGCTTTTCTCCTGTTTGATTCGCCTTGAAAGTAAGCAAACGAAGGATCGATAATGATCAATCGGATTGTTTCTCTAATGAATAACAGAACTTATTCAGCTCAAATTTCAAATCATAGAACATCTGTCAGTGTCTAGTTTTGCTTGAATAATATAAATAGAAAGGGAAGAAAAAGCAAACTTTTGAGGTCGATCAATATATTTTAAATGTTAATGATGTAAGAGCAATCACGTTTTTTAATACTCTTAACTAGTAATTATGATAAAAAGCTAAATTAAATACTTTCTACAAATAAACTGTTGAACCCAGAGTTTCTTTTTATATCAGACAGATTAGTTTTCTGGAAATTAATGCCGTTATGATTAAAGTCATAAATAGACATAATAATTTCACCGTACGTTTCGATGAATACTAACAACAATGGACATGGCACAAACGAATGAACTACAAGTGCTTTTATCCCAAACAGATCGAGAATCTCCTCCCGATAACGTCAGTAGTTTTCATCTTTTGTCGACATGATGTACAGAATAGACTTTACGTCATCAGAATGAACTCAGCGATTCGAACATGACGCATGTATCTGCTGGTTGGTTATATACATAGTATATGACCGCACAGAATTGAAACTGTAATTAAAAAAGATTCTCATCCCAACCAGATATCCTGTCTTAAGGGAAATTACTTATTTTTTGACAGTTCATCCTATATTGTCTCAACGACTATTGACGCAGTTACAAGTATAATTAAGATCAGATAGTGTCTACGTCATACTATATTGATCGTCTTACAGAATTAAATCAATTTTGTACGCTATTTTGGTGTTAGAAAGTGAAGTACACAAGTATTTAAGATTAACCTGTTCATACACTCGATAAAGAACCGTGGGTTGGAGAATTCGCAATTACTGACGCCTCTTCAATCTGATAAATGACTCGTAACATATGTCGGTCATTAATATGATCTTGAGCATAAATTGATCCAATAATTTAATTATGTTTGAAGCCAATAGTTCGCACAATCTGATGGGTTTGATTATTAGGATAATGTTCCATGATAATAAAATATTTTTGATAGGACCTGTCTTGATAATGAATTATTAATATTGAAGAGAAATCAAATCTGTATATATCAGACATCTCAATTGGCCGCACACGGACGACAAAACTGGAAAAGTTTTCAGTTCGTTAGATGTCGCTCTAATGCGCCCATATTCACACTACTGAATATTTATTCAGCCAATAATATGTGGATTGTTTGGAATAACATTCATAAACTACCAAGCGCTGTGGTCTGTGTAAGAAGAAATTATCGTTTATTTTTGGTAGTTCGAAACGACAATTTTCATTGCATCAGCGATCGAATTGTCCCATTTCAGATTTGTAAAATACATCATGTATCGTGCGCTAACTTCATCGAGTCAAACACTTGCTCAGCGAGTAGTTCGTTCGACATTGACTTTTACTCGGTATAATGAATAATGCGAGTTTATTTTCAACGTATTTTTTGTGATAATTTTAGTTTATCAAGTACTGACCCAGAAGCTGGTTCCGTCAGGTGTGTGGTCAATGATTAGCATAAAATACAGTTCTAATAGTTTCCTTTCTCGTTAATAGTGGTCAAGACGCCTTCAATAAGAGAGAAAAAGCAGAAGAATCACGATGGGCTCGTCGTTTCGTAAGATTTTTTGTGCAAATTGCAAGATTGTGTTGGAATATTTTGTGTATAGGAAGCCGAACAAGCTGAAAAGTATCGTAGTAGTAAAGGCGCTCAAAGCGGTGGTCAGAAGCAAGCAGGTAGACAAAGTCCTGCCGGTGGTTCGAACCAACAACGTCTAGCTGAACTCGAAGCTGAAAAACGCCGAATTGATCAAGAAATTGCTGATCTCAAACGTCAAAAACGTTAAATAATGACTTTCATTGGACCAATTCTTTCTTTTGTCCCACACGAATACCAATGCCTCTCCATTTTCGATTTTATCATGTAATTAGAGTTCATAGGATGTCTTAGTTGTCCTTTATCTTTAAGCTTGCATCAATAAATACTAACGACTTCTTCGTCTAATCAAAATCGAACGCTAATCATCATACCGATCGATATGAAATGAAAGAATTCATTTGAATAACATGTTTCTTGTGTGTTTTTTTATTTTCTTTTGAGAAAGAAAAAATATCGATGAAATTCTCAATATAAAGCAAAAAACCGGAATCAATCATGAGAATTACATTCGATCTAACGGTTGGATGCCTAAAATTTCAAAACATTTGCCCAATACATTGGCCGTTGCTTCGCAAAGAAGGATTCGTCGATAGTTAATTCGGACTTCGCCCGTTGTTTTATCCTTTTCCACACAATAGCATCGATCGTAGAAGTCGGTAAATGCTGTGGCTAATTGATACATATATTCGCAGAGACCATGCATCAATAATTCATCGATGACTCGAGTGAAGATATCGGGATATTTNCTTTTTTGCAATTGTTCTTGATGACATAAATCAAGAACTTATTTAAGAAAAAGATCTATTAAAAGCCGAAATGAAATCAAACTAATGAAGGAACCGTCGCAGGTGATTTAGCCCATTAGACATCACTTTTTCACGGTAGATGTAAGTGGACGGGTCTAGGACAGTTGCTCGCAGAATAAACTATTATTAGAATTATGAATGAAATAATGGAATCATGACTAGTTAAGTAAATCAGAAAGATATTGACTGGATTCAGTGAAAAAAGGATTTTTAAAAGTCTCATATCTCGGTCATAATGATTTGGTAACAAGAATGATTTGAAAGTTGCACTACTCGAGTAAGGCTGTAAACTCAGAGGGATCCGTTGATAGACATGTTCTTCCACAGTTCGATGCACAACTGATTACGCTAAAGTAGTGACTACGACCAATCTACATATGTCTGTGATCTGAGTAAAACTCAGTCGATCAATACAGCTTCAGTGAGCTTATTGCCATCAGAATAACTGGTGCCACAGGATTAGTGAGACTGTATCAGCTCCGTCTTCTATCCATGCTACGCATAACCAGTATTAAAATTTCGTTAAAAATGTTCGCTCAGAACTCAGTCAGAATCTTACTGATTTATTTAACTAGTCTTGATTCTATTATTTCATTCATAATTCTAATAATAGTTTATTCTGCGAGCAACTGTCCGAGCAAGTAAATGTCCTAGCACGCAAGTGTCCTAGCGATTAAGTGTCTATTTCCCATTTGAAATTTGATTCAAATATTTGAATACGATGTGATTCTTTTAGTATTAATATATGTACACTAATTAAACTATTTGTTATTCCAATTGAACAAATAAAAAAGAGAATTATTAGTTTCATCATTTTTATTTTTAAAAGCAAAAGCAATGATTAACATTAAATATTCAATTAATTTTTCTCACTAAAAAAACCTTATCTAAGTCGAGGTTAAACTTTAATGATTTTTTTTCAAGAAAAACAAAAAAAAAAGATTGATAAGAAAAAAAATTACATTTTTTGTGCAAGAATTCTTATTCCTCCAACATTATTTTCATGAAAAAGTTTCACAATTGATTGATAAAAATATTTTAAACGTTGATAAAGATCTTCTCCATGTATTTCAATTAAATTCTTTTGATTCTTTTCAAATAAATCTAAATATTCAGTTATCTAATTTTTCCAATCATCTGATACATCAATAATTTTAATAACGAGCACAGCCACCTAAATTTGATCCAATTTGTCTTATCCAACGATTTTCATTTTGATTTTTATCAAAATAATTTCATTTATTCATAGCTAAATCGAAAACATCTGTACCGTGATAATGATTTTGATCATATAGAAGTAAATCTTCATCAGATATTGGATCTTTTGATAAATGATTTGCACGTCAATTATTTCTTAATGATATATTATTAAGACGGATTGATTGAAATATTTTCTAAACGTATCAACAAATGGCACCATCTAATCGATAATATTGGAAGATGTATCTGTGGTCGACCAGTGATAAACTATGAGATTTATCAGTAGAAAGATCAGTGTTGTTAAATAGATATTAGCACCATCTATCAAGGAAGTTTGCGAAGAGCACCGATGGTGGTTCTTACACAAATGAGAATTTTTGTAATATTGAAAAGAAGAAGAGATTTGACTATGGGTGTATAACTAAAATAAGGTGATTGTTTCGTTTGAATTGCCAACCATTTTCTTCCTCGTTTAACCAGCTTTGATATCCAATGGAGGGCTACAAAAATATCTTCGTTGATAGACGAATCGCTCTCCAACACGCGGCATTGGATACAAATGCGCATCTTCACATAGAGTACAAATGCCTAACGAAAGGATTTATCGTTGTCGACTCGGCATACTCATTCACTTTTCAATGTAGTCTCGTTGTCTTTTCACCTTATTTTTCGATATAAACGAAACAATCGACAGTTCTGCATGATCGGATTTGTTTGTGTTTCCTTTAGATAGATATAGAAACTTTTTTTGTTCATTGAACAAACGATGTTTAAGCTCGTCTCATTGATTGTCGTTGTTTTGGCGGCAATTACTTTTGCCAAAGAAGATGCCGGTGGAAAGAAAANTGAGAAAACATAATCGGAATTTCGATTGTGTGATAAATCTGCATATTTGATACAACCGTAGGCAACTGATTTTTGTGCCTTTTCAAGTTCTTCAGGTGTCAATACCTAAGAAATAGACGAACAAAAATTAATCGCTGGAAAAGCAAAAGGAAGGAATGCTCACTTCGTGTCGACCCTTTTCTTTTAATTTCTCCATTGATCTATCAACACCTTCTTTGAGTAAATCTCGTAAACGAATCGCTTCGCCCTCTCGTGTTTTCAATTTCTTTCTAAAAAAGAAAATGAAAATACTAATGACTTCCTCTTCCATCTCATTCATACCCATTTTCACCAAGTACAACACCGAATCCCATGTGATCAATTCGAGTATTCTTTCCTTCAGTCCATCCCGCCAATTTCGCTCCAGCAAATACTGATTGCATATGTAAAGCCTATTCACAACAATAAACTTAAGTCTTATCTTTCAACAACAACAATTCTTACTTGTCCCAAATCGATGACATAGATTATCCAATCAGCATTTTCTTCTTGAAGGCGTTGTTTAATTGTTGCCATATCACTTGTATCGTAGGTATAGCTTCCATCAGATTTAACGATTGTCATTGGTACTTCAATGTCGGGTAAAAACATGACTTTTCGGCCTTCTTCTAATTTTAATAGATCTATTCGAAGAGAAAAATGAATTCTTTATTGTACATGAATTCAATCGTGAATTTACTTTTTGATTCGAGTTCTTTGACAACTTCTATCATTCGACTCTGATAAAATGATTCACCTCGATCAATGATTCGAATATTGAGTTCTTTGTAGATATACTCGAAATCTAAAGGAATACTTCTGATAATGAAAGCGAAACGTTGCTCACTGCATATTTTACCTTGTCGAGAAACTTCACAAATTAATTTCCAAGCATGAATGATATCCGGATCGAAGGCTTGAAGCTTCACCACACAATCATAGGCTCGTTTTTTGAAGTCTTCTTCCGAATCAAATCGTTTCTTCGATGCCTGAAGACCGATAATCAACATCAGTTTCAATTTCAATGAAATCTCTTACTTTGTAGAACGCAAGAAGATCACCGATAGGTGGTGATTTTGTTTTGTAATCCGGAAAGATTTCTTGTAAATGAGCAATTAACATACCAAATTGTGTACCCCAATCACCAAGATGATTCAATCGAAGGACATCAAAACCGGTATATTCAAGCATACGAGCCATACTATCGCCAATAATCGTTGATCTGGATACAAACAATGTTCATATCAATATGGAGTGGTAGTAGATGTGGTAAACTTACCGTAAATGACCGACGTGCATTTCCTTCGCGATGTTTGGTGAGGAGAAATCGATAACAACTTTTGGTCTTTTGTTGCTGTCGTTGGTGCTCATATTTCCAACGAGATTCAAAACATTAGGTGGTAGGACACCTTTCGTTAGAATATTTCGAATTTGTGTGGAAACAAATGCGGGAGAGAGTGTTATATTAATAAAACCAGGGCCAGAAAATTCTACCTAGTCGATGTAAAACAAACTAAATGGTATTGATTACAGTAATCTCGAAACCCACTTTGTCGATCATTTCGTGTTGAGGAAGATTGTTAGCGATGACCTTAGCGACTTCTGTAGGTGGAATCTTTTTGCCAGCCGTAGCTAATTTCTACAAGAAATATCTTTATAAACCGAATTTTCTCGCAATTAATACTGAACGGACCTGAGCGATAGGCATAGCTGAGTTGCATTGATAATCGGTCTGTTTACCAGGTACAACAAGAACTGGATAAGATTGATCCTCTGGAAAAGCTTTTCGAATAGCTTGTTCGAAAAGACTTATCAATGTATCCAATGTTCGATAGGAGTGCTCATCATCACCTTGAGCACCTGCGGTAAAATAGGTTTTCACTGGTGTCGGGTTGTTTGATGCAGGAGCTTTTGCTTTCGCATCTGCTGGTTTCTGTCCGTCAGATTTTTTCTCCTTGGTATCACTAGGTTTCTTTTCAGCTGATTTCGCCGCTTTTTCCTTAGTTGCTTCAGCTGCCTTTGCTTGTCCTGGCTGTTTTTTCAATTCTTCGATGCTCTAAATAAAATACCACGTGCTATGAAAATTGGTAATTGACGTGGATTTACTCGAGTAAGAATGTTGGCTCGGTAGTTCAGTTTTTCATTTTCTGCTCGTAATTCTTCGAGTTTTTTATTATCTTTAAACTCTGGTCGATCGAACAGTTGTGCTTCCAATTCTTTCACTTCATCTTCCTATCAAAATAAAAGATCAGTAGAATATTTATCACCTTCAGAACGAATCCAACCTGTTTCTTTAATCGTGCAAGAAGTTCTTCCATATTGATGAATTTCAAACGTAACTTTTCTTGTTGGTTAAGATCTAAAACAAGCAGTTCTATTTGTCAATATTTATATGGATATTCTCCGGCGATGATGCAAGATTCTTATTACGATTTAGACTTGCATCACCGTCAATTAATTCAAATCAATTGCGCTGTGAGATCATCCACGGTTTTTCCCTCATTCGTTACTTCTATGGATCGAAAGAAAGTCAGTCGGAAACTCGATCGAATAGTAAACTAGTCCAATAAAATAATATAGAAATTTTACATCGTATTGGCAGTATGCGACATCTACAGGCATGGCTACTTTTTCCCCGTGTATACATCATTCATATGAAAGATCGTTCCGCCCATGATAGATTCAAACGGTTTATTAATGAGCATCACTTTCAGTTGATGAAAAGAAAATGACAATTATGTTTAGGAAGTATATGCTAGTTGAGCGAAAAACAGGAAGAATTCTCGAACCACAGGTTTTCCATCACAAGTTCATACACTGTTTTAGCAATCTTGATGATCTTAGTGCACAGTCACTCGAATTGTTGGTTGAACACACGTTGTTTGATTAATATTCCACGTCGAACAGCAGCAAGCATGCTTCAACGCTATTTACTTCACTGATTTCTTCATAAGAAAGAATGCGACAACCATAAATGCTCTAAAAACTTATATTAAATTCGCGAATAATAAATAGAATGATCCCGGCGGAGAAGATGATTAAGTCACGTGCCAAATAACAATAATCAAATACAATATTCCTCCCAGCGAAATAGAACTTGATTTAATGAACATATTCTTCATTAATTTCAATTCGTGTTTTCCATTTCGTATATGAATTTGACATTGAATTGAAGTATACCTATCCGTCGCGTTGATTGATGAGCATAGTGAAGAATAATACCATACACGATCACTACTGTATTCAGTGGAATGAAAAAGATGGTGCACAATGATACGGATTTATCTTTTGACGTCATAACACAAATATGAGATTCGGCTTCGAGTTGAAAACTATTCGGAGAGAAGAATGGTCGAATAGATACCAGAAAACCTACAAACCAATTGATTTAAATCAAAATCCAATGACTGTACTACGTAAGAAGATATCGATGTTTATAGAAAACAGTAAAAAATAGACGACTAATTGCTTGAATGATATACGAATAGTAAAAACAAGCGCATAAGACAAGTGTACAGATGCACAAAAAATACAAAACAGTTGATAGAATTGCCAATCTCCACGTAAACCATAAATAGATTCCGTGATACGAAACGTAGAATAAAAGGCCACGACGATACACGTGTTACACGTAAGTTCGTTGGATACGGTATGACATTGTCGATGAATAATGACAAGGATAACAAAATGAACAACAAAATATCAAACTTCTAGTCGAAGACACAATCATTACGGAAAAAATTATGGTGTAGAAGATATCTGCGAGCATGATCTACCGAGTCTGATTAGTGATGTATTTTAGAAAGAATATTTTGCACATTAAGTTTGTCTTTTTTGTAACTCATTTTCTAACGAATACTTTTGCCATAGTACTTCCGTTAGTGTGTTGGAATACAGTCATGCCTCCGTCTGCCATGAAATGTTCATTTTCTCGAGAGATATAGTTTTTATTATCCTATTTCATATAAGATGTTTATTTTCAATAAACATTAAAGACCGAATAAAGAATAATAGGGAGATATTTTCTCATTTCTTGCGTTTCTCCATGCTTTGTTTAGCTTTCAATTCCATATAAAGTTTTTCGATGTCTTGTGCCTCTCGATCGTTTATTGTAGACGTCTTCTTATTCGTAGTCGATGAAGATCTTTGTTGTTGCTGTTGTTTGGTCGATAGAACAGGTTCGACTGTTGCTGGTAAAGTCTTCCGCTGTGAAGTGGATTGGTTTTTATCTAATGAGTGATCATTGGAATGTGAGCGATTCCACTTGAAATTGCAACTTTTATATAAAAGACACGCTCAGGATAAGAGAAAAGAATGAGTTCATTACAAACCTATTTCCATTTTTATTCGATTCTGCTGAAGACGGTTTCTTGTTTGATGAATGTATTTGTTCAGAGGATTTAGACGGCACACTATACAAAATAAAATGGATAGAAGAATACACTTCCTATCTTATTCTAAAAACACACTTGGCTCGGGTAGTAGTCGATGCATCCCTAGAATAGAATGGCACGCATTAGAATAAATGAATTTCGAATTTATACTTGTCTGTAATGTCAATGACTGGTATTGATTTCGACTTTTTCTGATCAGTGGAGGATGATGATGAGATAGTTGATACGGAATGACTGGTCGTTGAATCACTCAACGATGAAGATGAAAATGATGATGACGAAGATGAACTTGATCGACTACTACTCGTACGAGATCTGGTTCGTTTTCGTTTCCGTTTTGATCCATTGTGAATGGACGATGAACTCAAAAGAACGCCGACGGAATGCCAGAAAGAATATATTTACGGCCAAGGTTCTCACCCTTTCACTGATGATCTTTTCCTTTTCGGCGATTTTGATGATCGAATCTTTTTGGACGACCGCAAATTCGATGGCAATGTTGGTCCATATTCCAACTTTCGTATGGCCTCTTTTTTCTAAAGATCATCAACTACATTTTTGCGAATCAAATTCAAACTTGTCCATTACTTTCGCGCGTAACATTTCTAATTTTCGTTCGGTTTCATTGTCATCTGGTTTGTACCTCAATGCCTTTTCCAAATAATAGATCGCATCATCATAATCATCCATACTGAAAGAAGAAATTCGATGTTTTCTTTTACCGGTAATATTGATCGTTGACTATTTACTCGTTAGCAATGTTATTTAAGACATCGTGTAGATATTTCAACGCGTTGATATGTTTACTATCAATTTTTAATGCATCTTCGAAATCTTGCATGGCCCGTTTGTAATGGCCTTGGTTGGCTGATAATGCACCGCGTGCGACAAGTGCATCTACACACTTTGGATCCGTGGCCAACGCTTTATTGAAGTGAAGTACAGCTGAACTCGAATCGTTTTCTTTCATCAATCGTACACCCTCAGCAACGCTAAAAAAAGTCAGAAGATAGGGACAATCCGATGTTTAGTGTGAAATTCACTTCTCCAATTTCACTGAGTGTATTTCGATGATTAGAATTTGATTTACCTTTCAATAGCCCACTGATGATCCTGCTTTTGACGTAATTTATCAAAATATTCATCCGATGGAATCTGTTTTCTATTTACAAAAGTAAAAAAAAGTTCTAATGATCATTAGATTTCGTCATGCATAGATCGTTTACCGTTTGAAGGAATCAATTAAAGTCATATGCAATATGTCATTCGTTGCTTCGCTATCATTATTCTGTACAGGGAAATGTTCAAATCGCTTCTTTAATCGTTGGTATAGGGTTTGAACGCATGCTCGGTTATTCAATGCTTTTGACGTCTGGAGAATATCTTCATAAGATTGACATTGATCTTCTTGACGACGCAATAGTCTAAAAACAAAAGTGGAAAATCGATGAACTCTTCCAGAAGCATTCTCGGATTTTTTTACACAAAATGTGGAGGTAAATCATCTTCATTGATAAGACCCTAAAACGAAACAAGAACTTAAACAGATGAAATGAAACTGTATTAAGAGTTCCTACCAATTTTTTCGAAGATTGACAACGTTCTAATAGATGAAAGACATTCGAATTAGACAAGTGACAATTCAAAGTTAAACATACGGTTTGCAGATGGATCGATCGTAACGTGAATTTCTTCTTTTTGTACATCGACATGGCTCACACATACTAAATCCAAATTCAAATATCCAAATAGAACTAAGAAGAACAAACTTACCTCGTACAAAATCGCCGCTCTGATATTCTCCATCATCGTTCTCTTCATCACTTATCTCATCTTTATCTCGATTATATCGATATTTTCTGTACTGATCATGCTTTTTACTACTCGTAGTATTTAATAAACAAGTTGCCTAGAACAGAATTCAATGCTAATCTGAAGATTGTTGAAATAAAAATGTTGACATACAGTGAGTTTAAGATCATGTAGTGCTCGGCGATGTCCATCATCGAAACATAGAATTCGCATAAGCATATCACGTGAATTAGCGGTGAGAACAGTACAAATGAGAAGATGACCAAGACGAATTAACTAGAAAACGAAATTTTTTCGAAGAAAATCTGCAAAACGACGGAGGAGTAACCTTGAAAAACTCTTCTCGACAAAGTCGAGATGATACATGGAGAAAATGCTCGATTGGTGGAGTTATAACAAAAAGATCTAAAGAAAAAAGTTCCGCATTGTCCACAATGAAGACAAACTTGAAAGAACAAACTTGGATCTTCATCTTCGATATCAAGATTCGACGAAGAAAACCGACTTAGTCGATGACGATGTGTCTCATTTGCATTGTCTGATGAGAAAAGTGTGGACGAATGTTGTTCAATAAACTCTTGTACACAATTGTTAAGAGAACTCATCGTATCAAATCAGTTTATTCAAATGACGATCGTAGAAAATACATATATCAAAAATATCCATCGGATAGGACATACTATGTCCACATGTATTATTAATATTCTTTGATAGGATTATGAACTAGATCCAATAGGAATATGAAATATTTGCATACAAGCAGTACTCAGCGACATCTCTATGGAAAGCAATATCAACATTTTTCACGGCAATAATCACTTTCGCTGTTTTTTCTCTTTTGCGTAAATTACATGATTTGGCTGGTTCAGCATAGTTTTTCTTTGTTTGTTTATATTCAATAAACGACAATGACAATAGGATAAAGAACAAACTCTCAATTAATACAAAACAGAAAGTATAGATATCTACATATAGAGACAATAAAACAAATGTCGTTCAAATGTCACTTCGCCATAATTTGATGGTCTTATCATTTTCTAAGGCTCCACTTGCAATGATATTCTCCTTCGGATGACATGCACAACACATGACAACATCTGTATGTCCTTCTAATTTTTGTACGATTTCTTTCGTTTGCAGATTCCATAAATAAACACAATTGTCTTCCGAACCGCAAACAATCCATTTGGAGCCAGTAACAGAGAAGTTGGCAAATAGACAATATTTCTCATTTTTATGACCTGTGTACAATTTCAATGATTTGCCTTTGGAATAATCCCATAGTTTCAATGTATTGTCCAGTGTTGCTGCGAGAATATATTTACCATTTGGAGAAAACTTAACAAAACTAACTGGCGGATTATCATCATCAATTAATGTTTTCAAACACATGCCGGATGATGTATCCCATATACGACAAAGACCATCATATGATGATGAGACAATCATCGTACCATCTCGACTAAAATTCCAAATGAAAACATCGATGATGTATGTTTCATACGAACTCTCTCTTACCTGAAATGTACAGCTGTGACTGGGTCACTATGTGCTGGTAATGTGCGTAAACATTTACTTGATCTTACATCCCAAATCTTGACACTTTCATCGAATGAACCACTAACGATTAAATTCGATTGAGGATTGAAGTCACAGCAGAACACATAGTTCGTGTGACCTTTCAATGTTTTTAAACATTTGGCTTTGGCAACATCCCAAATTTTCAATGTCTTGTCATCACTTGCACTAACCAGATATCGACTATCGGATGACCAGGCTAAGTCCGATATACCTAATTTATGTCCACTGATCGTTTTCTCCCATTTGCCATCATGTGCGCCCCATAATTTGATTGTTTTATCGGCTGAACCAGATGCAAGTAATTCACCAGAGGGAGAGAATTTCAATGATGAAACCGCTTTTAAATGACCAGTAAGAGTAGACTTGAGTGTATAATTGGGCTTAACATCTTTTTGATTGGATTTCGATGTTGTCGTGTTAGTACTATTGGCAGTAGCTGTACCATTCGAAGCATTTGATGCTGCTGATGGCACAGATGAACGACTCTTATCGTCAGTCATCGTTCAATAGATATCTGAAAGTAAAACATAATTCAGAGAATGTTGACGCATGTCTGCAGAGAATAATTTGAAAATAATCAGCTGTTTTTATCATTCAACAGTACCTATTTTTTATGTATATTTACAAACGAAAGAAAAATAATAACAAAGAACGAACTAAACATTCATACGTTGGCGTCGTGTAAATTCCAAACTCTTCGCCTGATTCCAATGAGTTTCAGTCAAAATATTTTCACCATGAGATAATGTTTCCAATCTAAATCCACCAAAATTAACCGAAATTCTTCATTCAAATAAAACTACTTGCCTTGCTAATACAAGTAAAAGATGAAAATCATCGAGATTTGTCAATAATTTCTGTTTTCGCATATTAACAAAATCTTCTTGAATGTAAGTATTGATATCTGACGATGCTTGGTTGATTGTCTGATCAAGTTCGAGTTGTTGACCAATATAAGTTAAATATCGACGTATGTTATCAATCTGCTCTTTAGAAAGATTTGGAAATGTGATTTGATCGACTTCTTGATCAGTTTGATAACGAATGTAAACATCACAGGGTAGAACGGATTTCGTCGATGAAACGATTAAACATCGAATGTCACAATCATAATCGAGTTGATATATATGAAATTCATATTTCAATGTTTGTTGACGAAGAAGATCTTGAAGAAGTTTGATATTATTCAGACCTTCAAGAAAAGAAAAACATGCAATCATTAGTTTTCTCGTCTTTTTCTTTTGATCAATAGAACGTATGTATTACCTAGTGTAGTTAATTGTCCACATTCCATTTTAGTTTCATCGATGAGCAAATGCGAGTTAAATGGTAATTGAAGTGGAGTTTGCATTAGAAAGTTGTCGTTTTCATCGTCTTTAGCCACATTTTTATTCGGCATTAGTTGCGTCGTGTTTAGTGTTTGCACGGTAATTGATAACGTCGAATGAAGCGAGAGAATAGTTTGCAGTAATTGTTGAAGCGTTTGCAATTGTTCAGATGATACATGAGAAATATTTAATGATAATTTGCCATACGCCGATGATGGTTGACGAACGTATGTGCGCGAAATGAGATGTAGAAGTAAATATTCACAGAGAAGTTTGTCATTGGGAAAAATCGATTCAAATAATGAGAGGAGACACTGACGAGCCATTTGTACTGAAAGAGAAATCGAAGTGAAATTGAAGGAAATGAAAAATGTCGAAGAACGTACTTTGGTTTAATTCAAGTGTGGGTTGGTAATGAAGAAGTGGATTGATATGAGACAATTTCTTGTATTGAATACAATGAATTGTTTTTCGTGGTAAAGACTGATCTTGATCCGTTTCGTTTCTTTGAAGAAATGATATATTATAGATAAATGTAAGGAACTTAACTTACGCTGATTGTAAACTGTCAGCTTTGACTACACCGTGATCGTAATAAATACCAATAAATTCAACCATTGTGTTCAATAAAATATCTTCTGATGAGTCATATACCTGTTAGGAGATAGAATAGAAGATTTCGATAGGAATTATTCGTTTTCTTTACTTTGACAATATATTCAGGTTTTGAAATAGCTTCCACTGGTTCTGTTTTGACTGTTGTTTCACTGCTTTCACTACTTGTTTCCATTGGCGCTGTTGTTTTCAAACGTTTCATGGGTGATAATAACTGTTGAATATTACTGTAATCATCAAATGATCTGCAAGACAAGTTTGTTCATCTGACGATCGAATGTTGGTGATAATTTACCTTTTTTGCATTGTAAACTCCTCTCCAAAATGAGCTCGATAACCTTCTTTAACCCACTGTGTTTCATTGGGGACAGGAATGCATGAAAAACATTGACGCGAACTGAATTTTTCTCGTGGAGGCTCCTGATCAATAACAGTATATCCCGGCTAAACGAAAACGAAGGAGTTCATCACCAAAGTCAACTTTTTCTCTTACTGGACAAATAAATAAATCAGTGTACTTGGCCGATTTTTCCACTTCGACTTGTTGATGATCATTCGAACGAACTTTGTAATGTGCTACAAAGCAAAACATTATCAAAAGATCAATCTATGGTCGAACACTTACTGCAATAGATTTCGTCATCCCCCATATCTTGGATCATTGCTCGATAACGTACGAGACAGCCTGAAGGTAATGGATGTTCACTTTCTCGATCATTCAATGATGGAATTTCTTTGTACAATTCTGGATTATCGATATTTGTTCGAAAGTAAGCTTGAACGTCCTGTTCAAATGTTGCTGGTGATTTTTCTGGAAATGAAACCTTTCATAAGAAAAAGAAAGGCCAATGAATAAGTCTTACCATGCAACCGATTGATGATTGTCATCGGATGCGTAATCCAGTCCTCAATGAAAGGCATATCTAAAAAAAGCGAGCAATCAAGAGAAGACAAAGATGATTTGAATAGTTTAAAGTTCTTGTTTAAGAAACTGAAAAAAAGAAAAATTCGCTTTTGTTTAACAATAAACGTAAATAAAGTCTAGTTGGTATTCGTTTGATATCCTAATCTTTACGTAATGGATGAACATCTGTTTCAATTCCTTTGTCTTTTGTTAATACATGGATCACAACACCATCACCAAGTTCAACATTACGTTCACAAGCAGCCATATAAATATCCTTAATCATTTTAACTGTTTCTTCCTTTGTACGTTTAACTGGACCTGGTTTCGAGGTATTCTTACCAAGAATCTGCGAATAAATTATGTAAAATTCAGCAAAATACTCCCTCAAATTACTTACATGCGCATCAAGGATAGGTAAAATAAGTGGCATAGCGCTACCTTCACATGCGTAAAGTTGTTGTGTCATGGAACCAACGGGATCGAAGGCGAACACACATCCTTTACCGTCAGTATCCAAACCAGTAATAACAGTATTTGTATAGTAAGGAAAAAAGCGTCGACCATACATCATAATTGAAATCATCTGAGCTAAAGCAGGTGTTGATATTGGTTTGTTATGTGTATATTCATACGTCTAAACCAAACCATTCGCATATTCTCTCTGATTTCTCCATTCTAAACTTACTTTAATACGACCTTCCAATGTTTTCTTCAATGTAAGAACATCACCGAGAAAACCTGTTGATAAAAGTAAAGAATTGTTGTGCCTACAAACAGAAATACTGTCTATTATGTTTTGCTTTTTCCAAAATTGAATGTCTACATTTTGTACACATTGCTATGTGTACGAGATAAGATAGCATGGTTTTCAGTTAAACGTGTGTCACTTGCAACAACGACGTAATCATCACCGGCAACTGCAACTGTTGTGCTAGAAAAGAGAAAAATGGAAACTATTCGTTGTGAACTGATGTTTCTTACCCAGATTGAAATTCATATGGATACCAACCGTGTTCCTTAACCATTTTATTGATTGTTCGGCGATCGGATAGAAGCGAAAGAAAGCCTGTTTATCTGAAAAAGAAATTATCTTCTTTTGAATTCGATGAATATTTGAAGGACAATGCAAGTTGTTTTAAAAAGAAAAATGAAACGAATGAAAATTTTCTCTTTATAATTTACAGAGAACGGGCACGTCAATTTTTTCGTAGGATTGAGCAAGTGGATAGCATGGCAGTTTACTCTTCCAGATATGAACGTTGTCAATCCAATTTGTCTAGAAACGAAAACAAAATTATCTTTCATCGAAATAGACATTTCTTGATTTACCGGAGGTAGTTTGAGTTCTTTTTCGGGTATAACCGTATCGTTTGTGATAGTATCGGTTTTCACATCGACAATCGAAGGTTGTTCAGTTAATTTAACTGGCTCTTCGACAACTTCTCTTATGATTTGTTCAGTATTTTCCGATGAAGTTTCCGAAGGTAAATCTTCATCAGTAGCCGCAGTTAATTCCTCTCGATGTTGACCATCCGCTTTCTTATCATTGGGAATGTGAAGTGCTACTGGTGATGGATTCACATGAACAGATAATTTCCGGCGATGGACTGAACATGGTGATATGTAATGATCATAGAAGCTTAGAAGATCACTACGTTCAATCGACTTGATAAGATCAACTTCCAGTTGAGCTAGAAAAGGAAAGACAATCTTGAAAAAAATATGAAATTTCACATTAAGATGCTTTACGTCGATCAAAACAAAATTGATGATTGGTTATTTCACTCCAAAATTTATTTCCTTGGCTATGCATTTTCTTAGGAATTTCCACTTTTTTCACCATATAACCTTCACGTTGTTTTTTAAACAATTCATCTGGCATTTGAATTATATAATCCTATAGAAATCAAGTCAGATTAGTGATCATTCTGTCTTCGACATACTCTTATCGAATCAATAAATAGTTCAATACGTTGATTAACATGATCGAGTTTTCGAGCTGATTGAACAATCACTCGAAAGCCTTGTACGCCGCGTGATCGACGTGCGCCTGCACTGACAATATAACCTAATTGTTCTTTTGTTCTTAATTGATCAAAACAACGTTCATCAACTAAATGACAGAATAATTCTAACAGAGCATTGTTTTCCAATGTTTGTTGAAAACATTGAAGATAAATCTCAATCGCGTGTAGTTTATGAGCATCGTTTAACATTGTGTAAGCATAATTACACCCTACAAAGTATTGGAATTCAGGAAAAAATTGGCAAAAGAATCGAAACAAACCTTCCGGTAATGTTAATTCACGTTGATTGAACCACATACTGGGAAACAACGGTTGATAGAAACGTTTTTCTTGAAATTTTCGTTCAATTAATGTGATGTAATCCAATGCATGCTAAAAATTCAAATGGTTAACACTCATAATTCCAATCTAGAGTCTCCTTACATCTTTGGTTAAGTTTCCATACATTAAAGAGTCAATGAAGAATCGAGTTAACATCCGAGGTATAAATGCTTCAATGTCCTCGATTGTAATACCTTTCAATAGGAAAGAATAGCATAAGTATAGTTGCATTTTGTCGGAATTTACCATCGATACAACTGAGTAATTCGTCTTTATTCCATTGATGTTCAGCTGTTAGATAAGTGACACCAAAATGTGCCATTTGATATGGAACATCACGACGAAAGTTTTGTAAAGATCGTTTTATCTATCGATAAGTATTCGTGAGATTCAAAAGACTAATTCATTTAGTTTACTTTTTCTTTCATTATTTCAAATCGTTGAGGTTTTACTTTAATATTGACCATACGATCAATGATTGTTTCCAACAATTGTTTGATTTTATGATTAAATCCATGAATAGTTAACTGAATGAAAAGCGAAATCATTTGAGTGTCTTTCGAGAAGAAATCCAAAGGTATTTACCTGAATTCCATAATTTAATGCCGATAATTCGTATTGTAATCCACCAAGTTGTGCGGGATAAACAAATTCCGTGAGAGAATCTTCGATTAACTCGGAATAAAGTGCATTCATATTGGAATGTAATGGATCCGCACTTCCCAATGGACTAAATTTCACAACCACAAAAATGTCAACTAACTGGTCAAACGAAAAACTTACTTTCGAAATTCGAAATAGATGTAAGCTTTTGGTAGTTGATAGAATGTATCAGCTGCATAGTAAAGCCGACAGAATTCGTTTTCCTAAAATCATTAAAAGGAGTTTCTGATCTTGTTTGATATATTATTTAAGTTTTTACTTTGATTTTCGTTGGCAATTGTGGTCGTACGGTGTGTATATCTTTGGAAAATAATTGAAAATCAGTAGGAATAAATTCATTAAGTGTCGGTAAATGCAATTCTGGAATAAGTTCACATGTTTCACATAACTTAATCAATTCTTCAGGTAAATATTCTTGTTTATATTTTGTACCAAACCATTTTTCTGTTTCTGTAGCAATTGGCACAAAATCTTTACTTGCAAGAAAGACCCTATAGAAAGCGAGATAGTTTCCAAACAAGATTTTCATTAGGCATTACCTCATTTTACTTGGAATTAAATATTCATCGAGAGCTTCATTGATTAAATCGGGACGAAACTCACGCATTTCATAATCACCCGAAAGACATTCAGTCAATGGATAATCCTTTAAAAGAGACATCTAGATTAGTGTTTTACAATTTCGATTACAATTACCCGCATACGACCAGCTAAGTTCGAAACGAAATCATCGGGCCGTTCTTTTTCACGAAATTGAAAATGCATAGCGTTTAGATTCTAAAAATTAAGACATACTGTACGTCTGTTGCTTTAGTTCATTACGTTACCTTGCACTCCTCAAAAATCCATTCTTTTGGACCTTCTTTTCGTAACATAGCGATATATTGATAAACAATATAAATCACTTTTTCCCATTGATCTATTATTAAAGAGAAAAATACAAAAATAATTCTTCTTGCAGTTCATTTACTTAATCCTTCGATTGTCAATTCGATGTCAACAGTGAAGAAATTGAAACCGGGCGCTGAGTTTTTTTCACCCGAAACTAATTCGATAGCTAAACCTGATTTTTTCAAATATGATAGCAATGATCCATCGCCTTCATGTCCAATTAAATGTGATAAATACGATTCAGGCTAAATAAATGTTATTTATTCTTCAAGATACGAAGATAAAAGGCAAATCCGTCGACTCGTCATCGATACTTACATTACAATAATATAATTCTTTATGATCCGGTATAACCCAATTGATAGTTAAGTGCCGATGTTCTTTGACAGGAACAACGTACAAAATTGTCTGAGAAAAAAAATAACTATAGTGCATTTTAAAGGAACTTTCTCTGCAAACTTTTCGTTTATTTTCTCCATATGGATCGGCAGGATATGTGGCCTTTTTTAAGTGTTTATTTGGTACATCTTTAAAGCTCTTGATGACCAGTTCTTGAAGTTCATCCAGTGATTCTAAATTACCAAAGTATTTTCATGATTTTCTACTGAGAAGAATGACAATCACATACGATTGCCAAGAACGGCCAAACTCATTCGATTCGACGAATATTCAGCTTTATGAAAATCTAACAGAACTTGTCGAATATCAATTCCACGCTGTTTAGGAATGGTTCTTAGTGATTCGGAATTTCCAATGGCAAAGCTGGAGTACGGATGCTGAGGATCTGATGTCGATTTTTCTAATTGAGAAATGCGCCAAACATCTTTCGAGAGATTTCCTTCATATTCAGAATTGACCGCTTCTAATTCACGATCCGTTGCTGATACGGTAAATAACGGAGAGATGAAAAATTGTGCAAAACTAAAAGGAACACATAAAGACAAGAAACAAGCCTTCGTTAAACATACGCATCGAGGGCCTCAGGTAATAAACTCGGATTGATATCGAAATAGTAGTTTGTATGATCACCACTTGTAAAAGCATTGGAATAACCACCATTTCCCTCAATTAATTTCGAATATTCATTTTCACCTGGGTACTAAAACAACAATTTTCGTAGAGTTTATATACAAATAACAAATAGTAAACAAAGATTTACTTTTGAACTACCCATGAATAACATATGTTCAAGAAAATGAGCAATACCCGGAACATCTTTGGGATCTGCTAAGCTCCCAATCGAGACGTCAAGTGCAGCGGCGGCCTTGTCGATTTTCGGATGACTTGTCAGCACAACGAGCATCCCATTCGAAAGTTTTAGTGCACGGTAAACCCATGGGTCACTATCACTTTTCTTTATGTTATCAACAATCTGGACAATAGTGGATTCCGATGGTGAAATTTGTTTTTCAGATTCGATAGCCATGAAGAAAAACAGACTTTCAAATGAATAGACAAGTTATGTCGGCGGGAAAGATGTAAATGTAGAAAAAGAAATGAATAAGTGACAACAACAAAAAAATATCAATATCCAATGAACGGTCTTTACTGTGATGACCGTATAATTAAACTTCTTCGAATAAGATTCTAGCGCCACACTCCACATTCATACAATAGAGGGAGTGAATGGCGGTATTCTCCATACTGTCGAATATGGAGATGCTATTGGATGGTGCATTTCGCGAGTAAATCGTATGGTTGATGATGTATGTACGAGCATAATCAGTCAAATTGTCAAAGATAAAAACGCGTAAAATAAGCTGGACTTTGTCGGAATTTTCCATTGAGATGAGTCGAATGTTTTCCGATGATGGAGTGGAAAATCTAAAGAAAGAAATGATTTACTTGCTATCGACAAAAACGTTGTCCTTTTTCGCACGATAATATTAACAAATGACTGTAATAATTGGATGATTTTGTATTTGTATTTTCGAGAACATGACAATATCACATTCGATTGCACAAGTACAATCGAGAGGAGAACAGGATATATATGTAACATTCAATACTTTTCTTTTGATTTTCGACTAGATTAGTCGTGAAAAAAGACAATAAAACTTTAGAAACGAAGTTTTACGGTCGAAATACGATGATTATAACATTTAAGTAAATCTCTCAGATTATTTCATGGATAAATTTTCTTATCAGCGTCTCTCTCTTCACTTCTCGTGCTTATCTTTATTCGAAAGTACATTTGATAAAAGAAAAATATTGTAACTATGATTCTTACTCAGGTTTATTGTTTCCTTTTCCTGTTGGGAGCACTGATGATATATTTGGATCGCTAAGATTGTGCTCGTTTATGTGCGTTCATCGACATTCCAAACAACGATACCAAAGCTTGGAATGTATGTACAACGGAAGAACGAAATATATCGTAATGCTTTGTATCAATAAAAATCGATCATCAGAGAAGCGTTTCTTCAGGTAGTCTACGAATAGAAAAATGCACTGATGAACTTGTCTAACGTGCTCAACTAGTGTTACTACGAAATTATTCGTCATTATTACCAACATTTCAATATCATTGTCCGAAAGATAGCTGTGACTTTGAATTTCTTAATAAAGTACTTTCGTATGATAATTCTAAATACGACAGCACATAACTAATGAATATAGATATGACATTTTACAATAAAACAGCTCAATCAAATACGATATGTGGTAGCAGGAATTGTACAATGGGTGGTTTCTGCCAAGGAATATTCATCAACGATGAAAACAGTACAGCTGTCAAATTTATATTGCAGGGAGATTCTGATTGCATTGCTTCTGCAAAAGCGGATTATCTTTTATACATCCAACAAGAATATAAATCAGGTAAAGGTTATTTTTAAATAACCTTCCGATATAATATTGAACATCGTATGAGTGGAAGATCTGTAAATGAAATTTACACGCGTATTATTGAACTTGTCACAGTGCCAATACTTCTTTACTCATACTTTACAAGTATCCTAAACTGCCTAGCAACAAATTCGACTAGTTTTTCAACTGGAGTTCTATCGTTCAATATCCTAATTATTAGTATTTGTTTTCGTTGAACATTCTGCAAAGTATGAGTTCGTATATTTCTTACATAGATGCATATTATACCCCTTCATATCTTGATATTTATTCTCTAATAATAAAAAACAAAATCGATAAAAAATAGCACCGCATAAAACTGATAGAATATTGTAAAAAGATTCTTGAATATTCACTCTTGTGAAAGTAAGTCAAACGCTTTGATCATATTTTCTTCTCGAGATTTGATCCATTCGATATTCATATTCACTTGATCAATTGCCTGTTTACGTGGATATGTTCCAGCACCTGCATTTGGATGCAAGATGAAGAATTCATTCATCTAAACAAAACACTTGCAAGATGAATACTTAAATAATAAGTCTCACTTCATCAAGATATAACTGCTTTTCAAATGAATGTGAGATTGTACCAATAGCTGTACCTAATCGACGACTTTCGAGTGTATAACTAAACCGAAAAAGAAAATTTACAAAATGAGTTTCATTTTCCCTTCGGTAACTTACACATCAACAAGTCTTTGATAATTCTCCTTGTAAAACGTCCATACTACATCTCGGCCGACTGGGTTACGACTCATATAGGTAATCATTGAAAAAAAATCCTGTCGTTTGATCGTATGTGGTTCACCTTTAATACCATCTTCCAACAAACGATTCAATCGATCTCGATTCTCCGTCGAACTGATCGCTATTAAAGCTCGTGTTTGTTCTTGTGGTGACACGGCAATTTTGTAATAATTATACATCATTTCCCAGTCACTTGCATTGTCATAATTACTTATATGACAGATGTAGATCGTTGACAAGAAATCTGCACTGATGCTATAAAAAGAACAGAATTTCAGGGTAGAAATTGAATCGATGTTACTTTGTATCGACTTGACCACCGTTGAAGTATTCAACTGGAATCGATCGAAATAGTTCACTAGCGCGTTTGATAGCGTCTTTATGATCCATTCGACAGAGAAATGCAAATCGTATACCTTTTATTAATCTACATGAACCAATAAACTATTGAAATTTAATCGATGGAAAACATACCTGGTATTATGATCATCCGTCGAATTTGTTTCTAAAATATCGTCAATAGTTGACCTGGATAGGAAAATTTGTTTAATTGCGAACTCCTATTTCGAAAAGAAAACTTTTTTTTTCAAAAATAAGACTCTTCTAACTTTAAATTTCGGCCAAAGATTAGGTAAGAATTCAACTAAATCAGTTAAGACTTCCAAGTGCCATTGAAATGTACGCCAAATAACAAATTGTTTACTATCGATTTTCACTAACGATTGAATGATGCGCAATGGTTCAATGTAATCGACTAAACCTCTATAAGCAAGTAAAAATGTGTCTTGAATTAAATTAACTTTATCTTCATCTGAAAAGAACTAAAAAGCAGAAAATTCGAAGAAGATGATTTTCATTAATATGAATTCTTTACTGTTGGATGAGATTCCAAAATATCTGAGAGATGCTGCCAGTTTGATGGTATGGACGCATCCGATGAATAGTTTGTGACGTAGAAACCTTGAAAATCACGATTACACTTTATCCAAGTATAGAATTGTTCAGGCAAGTAGATGTTTTCTTCTTCAGTTTCAAGAAGAAAATTAATGGTACCATTTGCAATGACAACATCGGAAGAGTTTCCACCTAAAACACACTGAATATTGATCTTCCATCGATAATCACTAGTAAGATTCGATGAATCTAATGCATTAGAAATGATAAAACGTGATTGGTTAAATGTGACGTATGTTCCACTATCATTTGCACGCAAATGTACATTCAAAATCGGAAAATTTGCTTCTTCGAGCCAATTCTTCATAAATTCTTCTCCACTGATATTAGTAAATAATTTGTTATAGAAGACCGTTGGATCGCCCACATCCCACGCATTTGAATACAAATAATCGCGCAAACCATCACGAAATGTATCTGAACCGACAATTTTCTCTAACATACGTAGAACACTTGCGCCTTTTGAGTAAGTTATCGAGTCAAATATACTCGTAATATCAGCAGGACTCGTTACATTTCGAACAATAATAGCATGTGATGATGGTTTCGCATCATCCCACATAACAGGTATAACTTCTTCAGTCAACGCTTGTAATTCCTTTACAAAACAAGAAGAAGTTCATGGAGTATTCAACGAGATGCATTACCATGTTCCAATCAAGATATTTCGTAGTGAATGGCTTGTAGGAAAGCCATGTTGCCATCGCTTCATTCAACCATAAATCGTCCCACCATTTACATGTCACATAATTACCGAACCCTAGATGAATTCCAGATCGATTCATCGCTTGTCGGAGTGAAATGAGCTTACAGAAATGAGCGATTTCATGTGCCATTGTCTCGCCTAGTTGTTGTTTTTGAAGAATTGATGCGGATTTCTCATCGAAGATTATGCGATCCTCCCGAAATGAAATTAAACCCCAGTTTTCCATAGCACCCGAGGCAAAGTCAGGAACAGCCAAAAGATCTATTCGAATGATCGCCTTCCGAATGAAAAGTGAAGTAAAAGTTTATTTACCAATTTTTGAAGTAACAGGCTCTGATGTATTGAAATAATCCGTAAAATATGATACAGAATTGATTGCGATTTCCAATGCTAAGTCGGTATGACCTTTCTCTGTCGGTTCAGGACGAGCCCAGACAATTATCTATAAAATAAACAACGAAACGATTCATCTTTATCAGTATTCAGACACACCTCTGGTTCATTATGGGTGCTCGCTAGTTTTCCGTATGTATTTGGAAGAACAGCCCATGCAGCAAGGTAAGTACTCATGCGAAATGTGTCGGCAAATCTTGTTCGTCGTAGATCACCCTCCAAACTTTCTTCGATCTGTTAAAACCAAATGTTTAGTCTCAAAAGTGATCCAATGATTAACATACGCTGGGAAAATTTGCAATTGCAATTGTGTCAAGTGGATGAACAATAGTAATTTTGAAAATCGCTTTCAATTGTGGTTCATCAAAGCAAGGAAAAGCTTTTCGGGCATCAGTTGGCTGGAATTTCGAAGCTAGCAACTTTCTAAACCAAACATCAATGTTTACATCTTTTGAACGAGTGTTTCTTTACCCTGCCGTTCCATTGCTATCTTTATACACGCTTTGATAAAAGCCAATATTACCATCGACCAAACTAACCCTAAATCTTTGTTTCAAAGTATATCGATTTGGATTAAAACTTGAGTTTGTTGTCATTAAACGCAAACTGATGAAGTCATTGGGCGAATATACTCGCATTGATACCAAACGGTTCACACCATCTTCATACAGAACTGGTTCTTCAAGTTCTATGAAACGCTTCCCATGATAGATAAGTTGTTGAATAGGTTCTTTCAATGTGAAATGGATCGTCACTTCTCCTTGAATTACTGTTTGGTTTGTATTATTGTAAATATATTCTAATTCATAACTATGAACTTCGATTTTAGCTGCTAAGCGTGCATTACATTCATCATCAATGCATTTCGATGGATCAACTTTCGTCGTAGGAGCTGCCGCCGTTGTTATTGAAGTTTGTTCGAAAATCGTATGAAATTCCGTTGGTTCAGGTAGAAAATGAGCATTTATGAGTGATAGATAATAAAATATCACAATAAGAGTAATCAATGCCATTGAATATCCAGGAACTATCTTTCGTTGTGTTTAGTTACTTATCTACTTCAACGATATATAATAATCATTTACAGCTGTTCTTCTAATTGCCAATATATCGTTAAAACCTTTTAGGAAACAATATATATATATATATCCTTTTCCACACAATAGAAATGGGATAGATGAATAAAAAAAGGTCTTCTCGCTAGGTTGCGCGTCTCTTCGTATGACCTCTTGTGTTTCCCAGTCAACAAAAAAAGAGTTATCCCATTTAAAAGATTCAGAGCGAATAAGTACCAATTACTAATTGATTATCATTTTTTCCAAAACTTTTATTTGCTTCTATCAAAAAATGTGATGCAGAAAAAAATCAATTTAGTCTTTTCGGGCAATTCGATCACCTGCTGAGACGGCCCCGTCAAGACTCTCAGCCATTCCATCGAGCAACCAGAGGAAATTGATTATAATTTGATCACTTGCTAGTTTTTGATATTGCGATGAACTTGGAAATTCGCTGACAAAGTTTTGCATCTAAAAAGACAAGTTTTTACAAGCATTTTCAAGTAAAGATCAAGTACCTGAAAGTAATAGTATTCATTCTCGAATGTTTGTACAATATTCGTTATCAATTGATTAAATAAACGATTTGTTTCACCGTAGCTAGAAAAGATCACAAATTACACATTTTCTCTCACAAATTTCTGCTTACGTTGCCAGCAAATCTCGATAATTATGACGATAGAAATTCCAAACAATATCTCGTCCAACCGGATTTTGACTAATGGTGATAATTAAATCAAAGAACTCTTGTGTTTCAATTACATTTGATTTAGTATCAAAGCCTTGCTCCAAGATCCTAAGTGAATATCACACAAACTAAACTAACTTTGGCAGAGATGTGAAACTTACTTTTTCAATCGCCATGTTTCTTTCGAAGCACCAAGAGCTCGGAGGATTGTGCTTCGTTGCTGGCTCGTAGTCGCTTCATTTTCCGTAAAATAATACCAAAGGTTATCCCAATCATCCACATCGTTGGTATTCTGTATATGATAATAGATGACCGTTGCGAGCAAATTGGGATCAACACTGAAATTTAGACAAAACTATAGCTGACGATCAGAAATGAAAGAAACGCACTTGACAACACCAGTAGAATTCATGAAATAGCTTTCTGGAATGCGGTGAAAGAGTTCGGATGCTTTGTACAATGCATCTGGATTTTGAACACGACAGAGTAACTCGAACAGCATTGACTTGATCAATCTAAACAAAGGTTTGCCGAACTAAAAGGAAGACATGAAGTTGTTACTTGTCTTGGTGTGTTGTTCCAAGAGTAACGATGTTGTTGATATCACTACCGAATGGTGCTAATGTTTGATGAGTTGCAAACAACTACAACGCAAATAGTCTGGAAAAATATGTTCTTTGCTTCTAGTTTTTACTTTAAAATTCCAGAAGAATGAGGAATGTTCTTCCACGCCCATCAGATAATTCCAATGCCAAACAAACACTGACCAAGGTAAGTAATTTGCCGCTGGATCGTCAAACAGAAAACGAACTAAACTGATCGTTTGATCATAAGTAACAATTTCACCACCATGAGGAAGAATAAAAGCATCGTTGAGTAAATTCGCACGATCATTACCAGAGAAGATTTCATCCTATTGAAGAAACAAAACAGAAGAATTCTTTCGATTTGGTGTATTTCTTTTCATACATTTTTAAACAACAATTCTAAACGTTGCCAAATACCGTGTGGATCATCGTTCTCTAAGACGTATTCAGTAACTTGGTATGAATAGAAATCTTTATTACATTTAATCCAGAGATATTCTTTGTCTAAGATTTGAACGACTTCTGTTGATGATTCGAGGATAAATTTGATTTTTGATTTATCCACATCAGTTGTTAAATTGAAATTATCATTTTCATTCGAACCACCGAGATCACATTCAACAAACATTTTCCATTTATAGTTGATATCCAATGAACCGGAATCTAATTCTGCTGAACCAAAATATCGTGCTTGACGGAAAATCAAAGTCGTGTTTTTATCTGTGACATTATTGGGAATGACGTCGACGGTTAAAATCGGATAATTTCGTTCTTCCAACCAAGAACGAAGAAATTCTTCAGCAGTAACATTCGTATTTACTGTTGAACTCAGATTAAAATTCGAATAGAATGTTGGCAAAATGTCCGACACACTTGATACAGAGAGAAGGCTCGTAACAGCTGTTTGAAACACATCAGCTTCGCAGATATGTTCGAGTAAACGAAGAAGTGAAGCACCTTTGCTATAGATATGTGTCGATAAATAATCAAGAATTTGCTCATTATTTGTTAAATTCTGCTCAGAAACAGGCCAGGTACTTGGTTTGAAATCATCCATCATCAATGGCATCATTTCACGAATGGGAAATTGGTCCATCTAGTTGACAAAGTTGTTCCTTTAGTCATCGACGGATCAATAATTACTTACTAATTGAAAATCGGGATACTTTGCATCGATCGCTTTGTATGCGAGAAATATCGAGAGAGATTTACCAAACCAAATGTTGTCCCACCAATCTGCAGATGAAAACCACTAAATGAAACAGATTTGCTTTCTTTTTCGGAGTGAAATAGTCGAATTTAGTTGTTTACAGGTTGTAAAAGATGTTCAACAAGAATTTTCGTGGTTGTTTGTTGTCGTTCTGCCGAATTCAAGCTCACATCTGTGGTGAGAAGTTCTTCACGGAATGTTATTAAACCCCATGATGCCGAAGCTTTTTCATCAAGAATCAAATCGGGTACGCCAATCAAATCTGAAAGAGATTATTTATATGCATAAGTTTTTCCTCTATCGATTAAAACTACCAAGTTTAGTTATAAAGTCCGTGGTTGTCACATTTGTATACTCTTGAATGAATTGAAATGTTTTATTAACGACATCGAATGTCCAATCCAGGTTTGCATTGGATGCGCCGAGTAATTCTGGCCGAACACGAACATTGACCTGAACACGATTATTTATGTCTTTGCAACGAACGCTAAAAAGAGAAGAAAACCTACTGTAACACCTTGAATCATTTGCGTGACCACTGGAAATTCATCAATAGGCAGAATAGCCCAGGCTAAGGAATAAGTACTCATCAGATCTGTTTTGGCAAATGTTGTCACCGTCCCAGAAGTTGCCTGAGAATGCAGAACTGAACTTTTGCTTAAGTCTTAATTCAAAATCGTACTTGTGTGGGAAGATTCGATAGTGCAACGGTGGTATTGGGATGCTCAAGTGTCAAGGTGAAACTTGCTTGCATACTCGGTTCATCGAAGCATGGAAAAGCTGCAGAGAAATGAATTGCACAAAGATTTCATTTGATCTTCTTTCTTTTACCTTGTCGAGCATGAATTGGATGGAAATTGGAAGCTAATAAACTGTTAAATAGTTTTTAAAAAAGGATTAGGAGATGAAATGTTCATTCGTCCTCTTACTAGCTTATTTCACCAACTGATTTCCAGAACAGTTCGCGATAGAATCCGGTTTGATCTCGTTCGTTGATTTTTCCCGTATAAGTAATTTCCAAAGTAATCGAACCCACTGGAATTTGTGCAGGGAACAGCAAGTAAACCATATCCGTGTCTGACAAATACGTAACTGTTGCTGCGTTAGAGCCGGCACCTGTTAATTTCGCTTCGGTAATATTCAAATTTTTGGAATGAAGAACCAAGAAATTTGTTTGTTGACTTAGATTGATACTGATTGTCACTCGACCGGTGAATGTGATCGATGTTAAGTTAGAAAAAAGCGCAAAGCAATCCGGACAAGCGATATTCAATGTATAGTCGGTAGGTGTTGCAAATGGTGGTAAACGCCACGATGAATATGGCCGAGTGGTGTTTGCCCATGGATCTGGTGTTGTTGTTCGTTGTGTTGTTGGGTAAGTCGTGATCACTGGACGTGTTACTTTAGGCGTGCTTGGCGTAGATCTAGTAGTTGACACTGGTGAAGCAGTTGGTATTGTTGGTACGGTCGACGTGGCACTACACATGGGTGGAATTGCTGGGCATTGTTCTTGTCGATTGATATCACGAACATATCTTCGATGAGAATTGGATGTTGTTTGAGAAGTATTCGATTTTGGAGGCGTAACGACTTTCTCGATGTAGATAACATCGCATTTCGTTGATCGATATTGAAGAGTCAACGGCCCGAGAGCAATTACACAAGCACTAGCAGCAATGATCAACGCTAGAAATTGCCAGATTTTGAATTCAATTTGGTTCGTCGTATGTTTGCTTATTGTCTTCATCTCTTCGTAGCAAAACCGATGAAAAAACGAATAGATGTAGAGTTGTAGAAGGAAGAATGCTTTATGTACAGATGTTTAAGCAACTTAGCAATGTCGTAAAACTTGAAAATAGCTGATAAAACAGAAGGCTCTCTAGTCATTATTATCCCAAGAGAAATGGTTATAAAAGTAAAAGAAGCAATCTCATCGAAGTTATACAGCTTAACAATACGCTATAGAATGTTTGAAATCATGACATTGATGCTACGAATATCTTTCATTATTTAATTTTTTATGACAAGTTTGAGTAAGAGTTGTCACAGTAACTTGTCGATGATGTCCTCATCACTTTCGTTTCAAAAAAGAAGTATTATCTTGATGTAAGCGGTATTAGAGTTACCGACATCTTTTGACAAAATTCGATTTCACGATTTGTTCGTCGTAACTTACCAATGACTTTTTCTTAAAAAGAAAAACAATAGGTAGGAAAAGGAAGCTGGTTGAAGTTCAATAATTTCTTAATTGTTTTACATGAAAATCGGTTATTCTTAAGTGCTTGCTATATTCATGGATGATACGGTAACTGTAAATGACAATTCGTCCACTGCGATATCCCACCAACAACATTCAGATCCAAATGAAAACGTTCCGGATGTATGTTTTTCGTTACCAGAAAAGCAAACGCTCAAATTTCATCCTATCTTTAGCAGAATGTTCATCCGAAATTAGACTTCATATCAACATCTAATGGAAATATGGAATCAACGGAAACTTCAGTTCATACACCTACGAATACTCTCATTCCTGATCAAGCAGTAAAGTGCAATTATTCAAGAGACGTTCATTTGCTTCGTTCTATTTTCGTCTAGTTGAATCATACGGTGAATGGTATGTCAAGATTATCGATGAATAGTAACATGTTCTATCCGAATTCTGATCGGTTTCGTCCTCAAAATACTCCATCATATTATCCGTCGAATGTTAACACATCCGATCATCGGGCACAACTAGCAGCTTTCACGCCACCGTTGATGTCCATTCCTCTGCCATATCACGAATCGCAGTGGCAGCCACGAAACTATCAGTATTCACCGCGACCATACGTACCGAATCAGTCAAATGCAAAAACCTCTTCAATACCAAAAAAGAAACCGGAATCAATAGCACCGCCAGTTGAATATTATGTCGATTGTTTTGCATCAAATTTCTCGGATAAACCACTTTCAAATACAGCTAAATCGAAAACAAAACATGTGACTTTTCAAGAATCAGAGGCAACCAAGTTAGTTCTCTTGCTTTCTATTGACTCTCATACAGAAGCTTCATCCATATGTCATTTAGCGAATCCCTAAGATCAATTGCAAATAACAACCTATTCTCTCCGCCGCCACCTCTGTCAGTTCCGACATATCAATCTACACCTCATTTCAATACATATAATTATTCGCATCAACAATTTCCATACCATAACTTTTATTCATCTTATTCCGGTATGACCGCAAATCCACGGTATATGCCTCGTTCTCGTGGAATGTATATGATGTCGAGAGCACAGCGGTGGCCGTAAGTATTCACCCGCACATGAATAAGACATGTTTGTCCAACTGAACTCTCTCATTCAGACCTCGATTATACAATCCCAACTTTTATCAACAGCAACATCACACATCATACATGTATCCTACCTACGAACAACGGCAACTCTATGATCCTAATCAACCTAAACTAAACTCGATATCTGAATCTCAAAATTCATTTACAGTTATTCGAAATATTGCACCGAAACATAAGAAAAAATTCGATCAGACAAGTAGTAACGAGAGTTCCACACCTGACTCGATGCCGGCACGGCCCATTACAATACTTCGCAAACCGAGTGCAGATACTGGAAGTGTCGTCACCGAGGAACCATCTGCGTCTTCCGATATACCATCTAATACCGAACAAACCAGGCTCATTCCACCTGAAGCTTCCGAAATTCTTTCTCCTCCAGAAACTACCAATTTGCTGCAATCCTTGACAAGTCAAGCACTGTTATCCATTCTTCAGAGTGCAAACTGTATATCTGCATTGAATGAGTTCGCTCAGCAGAACAAATTAATAATCAATTATGAATTTTCGTCGGCATCTTCGTCGAAATTTACATGTACAATGACAATCAGCGGTCGTCAGTTTCCCTCATCATCTCCATGTTCAACAAAGAACGAGGCACAAAAGCTAGCATGTGATCAAGCACTACGTACACTCTACTATGAATCAAGTGTTGCTGAACGATCTCAACTCGAATTTTCTGATAAACACGATTACATTGCACATCGATCTTTAACCAAATTTCAAGATTTGAATGTCAATGAATTACTACACGGTCGGAAGACTTTAGCATGCATGTTGATGGTTACTGATGGACAATTCGAACAAGCATTTGTGATTAGCATTGGAACAGGGAACGCTTGTCTTGATGAAACCATTCTCAGCTACGCTAATGACGGAAAAGTGCTACACGATTGTCATGCGGAAGTGCTTGCACGTCGTGGTTTAATCCGATTTCTATTCGTACAGATTCAGCAATGTCAAGATAAGCAAACATCTATTTTCCAATATGATTCTACAACTAGTAAATATCAATTGCAAGAAAATATTACATTTCATATGTATATATCATCAACACCATGTGGCAATGCATCGTTAAGTACTTCTTCTAAAGTTATCCGCTACAAGCAAGGTCAAACGGAAGGTACTACACTTGCATCGGCAAGTTCATTAAAATATCCGATAAAGTCTTGCAGTGATAAAATATCCCGATGGAATATCATAGGTATTCAAGGTGGTCTTTTGATTCATTTATTGACAAAACCAATCTACCTCGAAACCATAACATTAGCGTGTGAATCAACATTTGATCGCAATCATGTGAAGTATTCTTTGAGTGAACACTTGAATGAACATGTTCAGTTATTACCAGAACCATTTATATATCATTCACCGGATATTGATTGTCCGAAGACGAAATCATTCCAACAAGAAAGACAAGTCGCTAAACTTCAGACAAGCGCATTTGCATGGAATATAACTCAACCGGATAGAAATGAACTATTGGAACCAATGATAGGAAAATTAAAGTAAGACAGATTAATTTTCGAAATCATTTTATCTGACTATAATTTTCCTTGCAGAGCCAATCGATCGATATCCTCGTTGAGCAAATATGAATTCTTTGTTGATTTTACAAATTTTCTACAAACAACATTACCCGAAGGTATAGATTTACCTTATAAAACTTATCAAGAAGCGAAACAACTTGATCCACTTTATCTCAAAGCAAAAAGTCGAATATCTGCTGCATTCCAAACAGAATCATCGGATGCGAATATTCCATGGCTAAGTAAAAGTGATCAACTGGAGCAATTTTCAATAGAATAATCGTCTGAACATGCAAATCTTTCACTTTTTTCGTTGTTTTTTTGATTTCTTCATTTTCAAAGTAATTCACGGTTCTATGCATTCACCATTTGATTTCTTTTCTAAAAACGAATACATGGATAGTGCATGTGGGTAAGCCGAGCTCGGTAAATGATACGCACAGGATGGCGCCACATGTGTAGATTCTATTTTCCCAATTATTATTGGCAATTTTCCAATGAAAGTAAAACTAATCTTCGGACGAAGTGTGGTTCCATCGGAACTCTAATAGAAGACTTCTGACTAAAGGTTGTTGGAGTAATAAAATTGTTTAAAGAGGTCACTGATGGTCATTTTTCATAACGATTGGGTGTACGCATGCCAAATCTTTCTTCTTCTGCCTTTGGTATGGTATAGCATGAAATATCTCGGCAGGACCAGGAATTATTAAATTTTATACCAGTAATCTTTCTTTCCCCTGTCATTTCAGATGATCCGAACGTTTCTACGACCTTTACAAGCTGTTCGAGTTGTTCAAATACCAGTTCGAGTACGAAGAAATCGACTACACGTTTCGCATACTCACGTTTTGTTTTCTTTAGACAACCGTGGTTGTCGAACGAGTAAATCCGTTGACAAAACTACGTCCATGGGAGAACATTTACGATTACAATAAATATAAATATGCTGACTTTCAATATCGTGTTGTTCGTAATACGGATGCAGACAAATGGGGAAACATCGATGTGATCCTTACTGAATATGTCGAAGGTAAAAGCAAAAGAAAAACTATCGAAGATTTCGTTATGCATATCTGATAATTAGGTGTGGGATATAAAGGCGAAATTGTGAATATTCCACGCGAAATGGCGTATACAGAATTGTTACCAGCACAATTAGCACTTTATCCAACACCGGACAATGTTGCCTTGTTTGAAGAGGAAAGAAAATTACTGGTAGATCGACCACAAATATCTCCGTTTGTTATGAAATGCCGTGATTATTTGACAACAATTCTTTTACAAATACCAATCAATATGAAAGTCAAAGATTGGTCATTAACGAGAGACAATGTTCGCATTGCACTTCGACGAATGGTACGTATCAACATTTCTTTCTACTTGATCAGATCTCTTTCTTTCTTTCGTCATTTCAGAATGTGATGTGCGATGAAGACGCTATTTTGTTAGAAGATGGTGCGATTAACAAAGATACTTATAAATTAGGAGAAGAATTTCAGGTTACATTGAAGATCAATCCACTCGTCGATGTTTCGATTAAATGTACACTCGTACCAGTGGACAAAGCGAAACTATGGGACGAATATCAATTATCGAAACGACGTGCCAAAACCTAATGTTTCATTTTTCTTCTTCGTAAATAGCAGATTTTGTTTAGAAAATAAAATAAATAAAAACTTTCATAATATCACTTATCAGTTTGTCGACATGAAACGATATGACAAGTAAGCATGTTTCTGCTTCTCATTGTGCGATAACAAGTGAGATCTCATAACAGATTTCAAGTTGACTAACTCTATGTCTAATTTCATGGCAACACCGATGAGTGCCTCACTAAGAGCTCGCCGTTATCGACAACAACCGAGAATAAATGAAATCGAAGATGAGGATGAACTTAGACAAAGAACACGAACAATTAAACATCGCGCTACAATTATCAATGTTCCACCAACACTTTCCCCATCACCTTCCTTAGAACAAACACCATCGACACACATCAGTCCAACCATTTATATCTATAACAGTGATTCATTCGAAACTCCCTCTTATACATCGATATCAAGCATTCGACCTATCCGTGCTGATGAACGTCTATGGATTGATGTACCTACTGTAAATAATTTGAAGTTCTTTTTATTATAAACGAAGTCAAAACTATGTGTTTGATGTCTGTAGATTCAAGATCACGATTTAATAACAAATATTGGCAAACGATTTGATATTCATTCGCTAGTTCTTCAAGATATTGCAACGGAAGACCAACGTGCAAAATTGGATACATTTGATAATGCTTTATTTCTCGTTGCTAAAGTTATTTTCATCAACAATGTTTCGGAGAAGACATGCGTTGATCAAATTTGTTTTTATTTAAAAGAAAATGTTTTGATCACGTTTCAACAGCAGCCCAAGGATATTTTCGATCCAGTCAAAAGTAATTGATTAAATGTCAACAATTTCGTTGAAAATTGCTTTTTCTAGATCGGATTTGTCTAGACAGAGGCCGTGTTCGTCGGTCCAACATCGATTATCTATTCTATCTCTTATGTGACACGATTGTTGATCGATACATGGACGTCTTAGATCAAGTTGGCAGAAAGATCGAAGATATCGAACATCATCTCATGCAAAAAACATCCCGTGATACACTCGAAACAATCTACGATCTCAAACGTGAGATGCTCTATTTTCGCGGTTCAATATATCCATTAAAAGAGATCATCACTCGTATTCAAAAAGAAGAAGAAACACAAATCATTCAAGAAAGCACCGTTATCTACTTGAAGGATCTATTCGACCATGTTGTGCAAGTTAACGACACGATCGATGCGTATCGTGAAATGCTTTCATCGTTCATTGATTTCTATATGATGCTCAATTCGAACGCAATGAATGAAGTTATGAAAACTTTGACAATTATATCGACGATATTTATTCCATTGACATTCATCGGAGGTCTTTATGGAATGAACTTCGACAATATGCCGGAGATTCATTGGAAATATGGATACCTGGCTGTGCTGACATGTATGGTGTGTATAACTGGCATCATGCTGTGTTGTTTCAAACGAAAGAAATGGTTTTAGCTTCGGAATGCTAGCGTGTACTCTTCGTATTTTACTTGATGAATATATGTTGATAAAGAAGGCAAATTTTTACTTTTGTAATCTATTCTTTTCTTCAAATAACAAAAAACTGATATAATAGAATATTTCTTTTATCTATTATCAGCTGTCTTCGTAAGAGAAATACTTACAGAAATTCAGAAGTAGTCTATTGTTTGCTTCGAATGCTGGCGCTTGCGAAATTATACATTTTCTCGGCTCGAAATACGACAAACAACGCTTATCATGACAGCCTCAGTACCTGAAAGCAATCCTGTTCGGTTGGAAAAAATTACTCGTCGTGCATCTACATCCGTTCACGAAATCTATACGGAAGAATATCTGTTCAATGAAGATAAAGTACGAGAGCGAACTTGTACAATCACTCGTCGTTCAGTATCTGAACATGATGGGTCAATGTCCAATTTACAATCACAGGAACTGATGCTGGTAACACATATCAAACCGACTGTGTACATTTACAGTAGAGATGCAGTCGAAGAAAGAGTCTACGAATGTATTGAAGATATTCGTCCGATTAGAAATGGTGAATGTCTATGGATTGATATCATTGGAGTGGGTAAAAATTGTAAAATTGAAGCATTTTATATACTGATTTTATTTAGAATAAAGATAAATCACTGCTAGCAAGTATTAGTCGACGATTTATGATTCATCCATTGTTCATCTTAGATATTGAAACAAATGAACAACGAACGAAGTTAGATGTTTTTGAAGATGCTTTGTTTTTAGTTATGAAAATGATCTATCCAGACAAGATTACTCAAGAAACATGTTTCGAACAGATAAGTTTCTATGTCAAAGAGAATATCCTTATCACAGTTCAAGAAAAACCCAAAGATATATTTGATAAAATTAGAAGTAAACCTACACGTTTCAAAACATTTGCTTTTCAATCAGTTCTGTCCGTATAGAAAAGATCGTTCACAACATCGGTAAAACTCGAAAATCAAAAATCGATTATCTTCTATATTCACTAATCGATACAATCGTGGATCAATATATGGATACACTCGATATCGTCAATACAAAAGTCGAAGCTATCGATCATCAGTTGATGAAGAACCTGTCTCGTGACACACTTGAAACAATCTACGATCTCAAACGGCAAATGCTTGATTATCGTCGTTTAGTATCTCCTTTGAAAGAGATCATCAATCGACTTCAGAAAGAAGAAGAGACACAAATCATTCAAGAAAGCACCGTTATCTACTTGAAAGATCTATTCGACCATGTTGCACAAGTGAATGATACCATTGATACATATCGAGAAACGCTTTCTTCATGTATTGATTTCTATATGATGCTCAATTCCAATGCTATGAATGAAGTCGTTAAAACCTTAACAATTATATCTACCATATTCATTCCATTGACGTTTATCGCGGGAGTGTATGGAATGAACTTTGATAATATGCCGGAGATACATTGGAAATATGGGTACTTTGTAGTACTTATAGGCATGGCAGCATTAGCCTCGGTAATGTTGATATTTTTTAAGCGCAAGAATTGGTTCTGACAGGCGGTTTTTTCCTTTTTCTTTTCGTGTACAATCAAAATAGCCATCGAATAAATAAGCTTTCTGATATTCAGATCAAGAAATCATTTACTGTTACGCGAAAAGCAATGACAAACATTAATCAAGCGAAATGTCTTTCTATAATGCAGATATGCTGCCGAACAGGACTTGATAATTGTTTTCTATCAACGATCGGCTAGGAAAATTGACATTTACGAGGTACAAGTCGTATCAACCTCTGTTCGGAGTCAGATGTCTGGAGAACTCAATAAACTATTTCTCTAAGTTTATTCATTTCATACTTGTTAATCACTGCAAAGAACAATCTAAGATAAAATAGGTGAAGGCCAAGAAAACACACACACGACAGGAAGTGATTTAAGTTCGTATAAATAATCAGAGAAAGCATAAGCAACAATTCGATATATGATCCGGATCATCCGTTTTTATGTAATCAAAAAACATCTTCTTCGCAACGCTTTCTTCCAGATTATCGCCGTGCGCTACTTGAGTGAATGATTGATCAGCGGTATCTTTGTCTACGCCAAAGAATTGGCAAGTTTTCACCCATTCGTCTCGGGCGATATGACCATCATGATTGAGATCGAGCATGTTAAATGTTGTGTTGATTCGTTGAGTTAATTGTGGTAATAAATCAGGATTAGCACCTGGTTTACGCAATTCGTTGGCAAGACGTCGATGAAAATCCAACCATTCTTCTACGAAAATGAATTTTTCCTCCGAAAATCGCTTTTAATCAACAAAGATTTGTTTACCTAATGTTACTTTACCATCTTGGTTTGCATCAGCACGCATGATTTCTTGGCAGAGTGCTTTTCGAGCTGTAGCATACTCTTCGCGACGTTTCTCATCATCTTGGCCAACAAGTGTCGACAGTTTATCCGCAAGAATTTCAAAATCTGCCGGAGTTATCGAACCATCTCTGTCAATATCTGTCATATAAGAAAACAAATGATACAAATGAACTTCACATTTCATTTCAACCTTTACCATAAAGATAGAAAAGACGTTTCATTTTTTCACTCCAGAATTCGTTCAAATTCTCAGCCTAAAGAACAAAGCGAAGTCAATCTCAATGTTAATCATTCCATCATCTTACCATTGCTAGCAAATAAAAGAGAACATCGCCGTCGTTCTTCGTACATTTATATATAACTCTAAAAATAGATGCGAATGGAGAAATTAACAATTGATTATTCGTCGTTTATCGATGTTGCTCTATCTGTTGGAAAGATTAATGAATTGCAGGATGATTACTGAATGTGAAAAACATCTTGCACATTCTTTGCAAAGTACATTCTTCTTCAAATGAGAAAGGTCGAATGGTGGCAATCAAACTGATTCAGTGAGGAAACCAACGAGCATCTTGGTTCTTCTATTTCGAATACACTTTGAATAGACATCAAGTTGATTAAACACGAGTCTGTAAAAGTAATTTGGTACAGATTGCGTAAAGTGCGAACTAATTAATACAAACATCGGCTTTCATAGATCTTCGATCGAATATAGCTTTGTTTTATGACTGATGATGATATTGATTGACCGATAGAGAAGGCAGTCAATATATTTGCCTATTTATAGATCCTGTTTTCTGCCTTGGGTGACATAATTTTACTTGGAAGTTAGATATTTCAGTGAATTAATTACAAATTTGATGTATCATCTAGGGAGAACGACTTATTTTTCTTTTTTGGGGCGTAGATTTTGTCATGTCAATCCCGAGACGATCCCTTCGATGAATGTCCTAATAATCATCACAACATGTGGGTGATTACTAACGAAACGTGTTGAACTGCTCAATCCATGAAATTCAAGATTATTGATCTTTGTTTATTTCGTCAAGAAAAAAAAATAAGTATATGTTTTGCACTAGGGATATATACATTCCAACATAACATTAATTAATCTAATCAGAATCATCTTCAACTTCTTCTTTACTTTTCGGTGCTTTCTTTTTTGGTGATTCTTTCGGTTTGGATTTCTTTTTCGATGATTCGTCCGACTTTTTCTTAGAACTTGTGGATGATTCTGTTTTCTTGCGTTTCTTCGGTGATGATGGACTCTTATTTCCATCTTCATCTTCATCTTCTGTTGAATGAATTGAAGCATTACTGTCATATTCGAGAGCATCGTCTTCCTCTTCGTCACCTAAAACATTTCAATCAATATCGTTCAATGCAATTTCGACAATTGTCCATACCTTCGAAATCTTCATCTTCTTCTTCATCATCGCTTTCCTCCTGGAAAAGTTTCGAAACTTGATGGTTACCTTTCAGAATCAATTCAAACTCACATCATCATCTTCTCGCTCTTGTCCTTCGTTCTGCACGTGTTCCAAATAAATGTCCCGATCCTTATCGACGCCGTAATTGACTTTTTTGTCCTAAACATCGGCAATAATTTCTATTCAGAGATCGAACTTATCATAGCTATTCTTACCCAATTACTAGCTGCATGAATACGAAGTTCTTTCGAACTAAGGAAATCTGACATCGGCTTCGCTTCCTCTCTAAATGAAACATTTGCCTTCGATACTGTCTGAAATCTACTAATCCTTGATCATACTTTTCGATATTACTGAAAACTTGTGATCCACCACTTTTCAGTTGAATTTCGAAGTCAAACGTTCGACCAGTGGCTGTATTGGAACGATTAAATCCACACGATGCCACATCATCATGATGAACGTATATCGGTGGTTTAGTTATATAAATAAAACCACGTTCCAGTGGATAAAGTAAACCAGCCGATGCTTTGTATGCGCAACTAACACATTTTGCTCCACTTTTACTAAACGAAGAAAACATTTGTTTCTACGAAGGAGAACATTTGTAAGAAAAATTTACCTTGTAAATGAACCGGGTACAGTAATACGTTGTTCCGTTATCGCACGAAAGAGACGCGAGACAATATCATGGTACGGACCATGCATTTCTTTTTGAAGATTATTACCATATTTTTCTTGAATAACTTCACTGAAAATGTGAACGTTTAGAATTAGTGAAAAGATCAAGAACAATTGGAAGCTTTTTTACGGCGTTAAGGACATTTCAACTGATGTTTCTTCTTCTTTTTTAAAGCCAAAGATGATGTATTGATACCGTGTTTGGCCATGTTTTATAGGTGGATCCAAGCTAAGCTAAATCGACACAATCATCGAAAATGGTAACACTTATCCGAACATGATCAATCCTACATACCACAAAGTACATTTGTCGATTATCTTTATGTGGAAGAAGAAATCCACGTGTAATTTGATTGTATGGAATCTTATAATCATATGATTTGCCATGTAAATCGAAAAATCCTGGATAGAATCGTAATTCATGTCGGCCACTAGAACACGAAAACATCAATACTATTCTAGACGCTTCTCGGAACATACCGTGGTACGATACAATTGATATCGGATAAGCTACAAATTGCATCACCAGCTTTCGCTGTTAATACAGCAGCACCTTTCATAACATTTTGATGGAAATCCTATCGATTGACAAAATCAATGGAATATTTCAATATGTAAGCGAAATTTACCTCAACTGCATCACTATCAACATCGCCAGGAGGAACATAGAATCGAACTTCCATTAGTGATACTTTGGCATCATCTGCTTGATGAAATTGAAGTGTAATTTCATTCTTGCCTTTGTTGGAGTTCGAAACATTTTTTAGTGGAACTTCAAATGCTTGTTTATGATCAACTTCAAACGCCAGATTTCCAGCTAAAGAGAATCAAAATGATTTATTTGATCTGCAACGACTACTTTCCACCTACCTCCAAACTTAACTTGACCCCAGTTCCAACCATTAACAGCCATCTTCTGTGTTTCGACATTTTTTCCAAAATTGCTGGTTATGAACTCTTTTAATCGTTCGATATCCTGCAGAATCATGAATTGTTTCTCAACAGATGTTATTCGTTGAAAGAAGAACATCACGTACCGTATCCTTGAATCCATCGTAACGTAATGATGTATCGTTCTTTGTAATAAACTTCAAACCATAACCACGCGCACGTTTCATCCACTTGACACTCTCAATTTCATCTTTAGTCAATGTTTCTAACTTGCCCGTGCGTAAATTTTTAAATACAATTGAGTTCGATGTGAGTTTCAAGCGACCAGGATTCTACAACGGTAGCAGAGAAGAGTTAATACTCAAAGATGATAATAACAACGATGAAAAAATCTTACGAGAACACCACGAATTTCTTCGTAGACTTCGTCGAACTCCACTGTCGCCATTTGTAATCGGTATGAAAACTAATGTATCTGCTATGAAGACTACTGTCGACCGACTGTCGGAACGTTGAGAAGTGAAATGAATCGAACCGATCCAAACGTTCTTTCTTCGTCTTTTTGTAATATTTTGACATAAATTGTCCATTTCATTGGATTACAATTTCTTTTCAAACACAAGTCATAGCACCGGGTGATAGAGGGCGCTGATTGCTTGGATAAATATAGACATTAATCTTGTCTTAATATGATCCGAGTCGTTTTACGACTATTTACCGTAAAGTTCATGCATGAAACGCTCGTCACGAAGGAAACTACATCTCTAGTTTTTAATTCTGAAAAGTAAATCTAAGTCTAATATCTTACCATTCGGAAACTACTCTTATGAAATCGCGTGGTATATTCTTCATTTTTCGAGGTCAACATTCTACTAATGCAGTGTGAAGAAGAAACATAGTCGTTTCGTAAACAAACTCATATCTCGATCGAAAAGTCACACTTCCTTTCGTTGATTGACGTGTTTTCTTGGGGAAGACCAATTGATTCAGTCAGTGTTTTCAAATGTCTCGACGATTTTATTGCTTTTATGGCTCGATACTCTCACGTAAATGTGTTATCATTGCAAAAAATTTATTATTAAATTGCTGACGTCGATTCCCAATGCAATAAACTTATCACTGACGTCAGCAACTCAAAGCAGGCCACAGAAAGCGAAAGAGAATCCTATCTAATATCTGACGTAGATAAAATTTCGAAAGATAAATACTCTTCTTCAAGTTTTATTTAACTAACTTGCTATATATGTCGACACTGGTGTTATTTAGCCTTTTTTTAACACAAAGTAAATAAGAAACAAAAAAACCTTCCTTTTCTCTTTTTTCCCTTCTATTTTGTTTCGTTAAAGTTCTTTTCTTCGACTTGAATTACTCGAGAATAACAGCTCGCTTACATAAATAGGTAAAGTGACAAAACAAAGAAAGAACAGCAATCAGGTTCGATTGTATGTGAGACAAAAGTTCGCTTTTCTTCACGACAGTCATGAACTTTTTCTTTTTCTAGAAAGATTTATATAAACAGATCCGATTCAGTCTCCATAGAGTTGCACTACGCATAATAACATAACGAGAAACGTGTTAAAGGAAGGCTAGTTCCTTGTTTTGTTTTGTAGAACATTCAACATGTCTGATCAAACACTGAATTTGACACAATTGCTCGATACATTTCAATTGTTTGACAAAAACAAAGATGGTTGCATTTGTGCGAATGAAGTATGAGATTTCTTGATGTCACGTTTGTAAATCACCGTTGATTTCGATCATTTCGTTTTAGCTTCGTGCTGCTTGTCAGAAGCTACAATTGACAATCGACGAGACTCGAATGAGAGATTTATTTCGCAATCGCGAAAGCATCACATTCGACGAGTTTCGGCAAATCATGCAAGAATTCGGTCAACATGCACCCGACGCTTATCTTCACGAAACATTCCGAGCATTCGATCACAACGCCGATGGATTCATTACAGCTAAAGAAATCAAAAAGACAATGAAACGTCTCGGCGAGCCGCTCACTGATAAACAAGCAAAAGATATGTTAAAAGCCGCTGATACCAACCAGGACGGAAAATTATCTTTAGAAGAATTTCGCACTTTATTCAACTATATCACTCAACAAGCAACAACGCCACCGCTATCACCAATAGCTCCGGCGCCAAACACTCCATCAAAGAAACGTTTCAGTAATCCATTTAAATCCCAAACTGATTGACTTTTATACAAATATACTTTCCACGCAGGTTATTATTTATTTCATAGTTGTGTGTAATCTTTTTCTTCTCTCTTTTGTTATACATACATATGTGTAGAATACAATCATGAAATGACTCGATATGCTTGATGATGGACTTGCCAAGGACACTTTTAAAAAGTGCAGTCAGTTATTGAAGAAAATGAAATATTAAGATGATGCAGAACATTTTCAATGCGAATTATAATGAATTTAGCTGAGCAAAACCAAACAATAGCACTGAGAGATATTCTAATGCTAAAGTAATGAAATACAAACACACGCACACGAATTTTGGAGAACGAACAAAACGTACAAAGACAGCGCTATTGCACAAGACGAAAAAAAAGAGAACTGGACGACACAGAATGAGGATTAACAGAGATCTTTATAACAAGAAGTAACAACGAATATTTTGCGTGCATAACATATAAATTGGAAAAGAAAACACATCTACCTTCTAATTTATATGTATGTATATATATATATATATATCTATATATATATATAAGTGAGATAAGAAAGAAGAGAAAAACGAGCCAACTCGACAACAAGAAAACAATTGAAATAACTAGAAAATACTCTAAAACCTAAATTAACCAAATAAAACAAAAGAGAAGGAAGAAAGAGGGAGAAAAGAAGCTTTGTGTCCGTATTACGGCATTGATCGCTGCTTCTTGAATATGCATAGCACCCGTTAACTTCGGATTAGATTTATTTTTGGTAAAAGACAAAACGAGAACGATTTTCATTGACAAAACATGATAATTAGCCATTGATACTTTGAATAATGAAACAAACATGTGCTCTCAACATCATCACCTACGACAACGATGCAGAATTTAATAAAAGTAATCGAATATGCATGTTTACACTTTACCTATGATTGTAGAACAAAATCTGACTTGGAAGACGATGAAATAGCACATTTACATGACACCATGATTTAGAAAATAGATCTGGATTTTTATAAGAATTTGTTTCTGAAGAGCAGACGCGTGATGTATGAAGAAAAATAAGTAAAGAACAAAGAGATATCTATTTGAAGAAAATAAAGAACAAAAAGATATGGAAGATATTCGATCAAATCTGTACATACATATTGTCATTCAGATCGATTGATCCAAATTGGGATTTCGCTTTCGGTTTCAAATCATCATCATCATCATCATCATCGAAAATCTAAATGAATCAAGTGAACAAACTGATAAATTTCTCGTCTATCGTTACCTGTACAATATATGGACAAGAATGATTGTGAGCAAAAACAATAGTGGACAAGAAGAAGAAAGTTTTGATGAATTATTGTTTAACAAAGCCTAGAACAGAAAGAAAACGTCCATTTGATTAATAAAACTATTCAAATTCAAGAACAAGCAAACCAAGTCGCATTATTAGTTCTTAACTCAGCGTCTAGTCAAAGCATGCTTAAGTTCAAGTAAATATTTACACACGCACACAACACGTTCGTTTATCAGTAGAATATATCTTATAAATACATATACATATATATTTATATATACATTAGAAAGGGTCAAAGGGGCTGTTGTGGTTTTTATCAAAACCGGGTAGATATCAGAGAAATTCATGAGATTAGAATAAATGTAATCTGTACAGTACAACATAGAAATACGATAATGGATGTATTTTAGCTAAGTTGTATGTACATAAAATGTAGCAAGAGTAGAAGTAAACACTTGAAATAGAGATGTTACCTCTTTGTACTTTGATTATAATCAAATACTAAATAACAATATAGTAAAGAAATCTAGAATGCATTCGAAAGAGCTTACAGAATCCATAACAATCAATACGTGTAACAGGTCTGCCAGGAGTACAAAATAAATCGTTAACCGGTAGAGATGACTGACGATTTTTACAATAAACCTGTCGAGTTTGTTCACCGCGATTACAATCCGATGAACACTAAAATGAATTTCAACAGGAAATAACCACACTTCTCCTTTGAAGTTCAATTCCATACTTTCGACCATGGTTCTACATGCCATAAGTATGGACTTTCACAATCGCCCATATTACACGAAATGCGAGTTGTTGGTGCGCGATATGGATCACATTTGTTCGAATAATTGTTTTTTAATAGATATCCATTATTGTTTACTTCATGACAAGATATACCTCGATATTCAATACCTGCACCACATGTGGATGTGCACTACAAGACGAAAAGCAATATATTATCTTTCTAGTTGGACTGTGTATTTGTTTTTTCAGATATACCAATGACCACGGGTGTGTTGTCCACATGGGTGAGCAAGCGACTTGAAAGCATTGTTGTACACGAGTAGGTTGTGATAAATGTCGACAAAAACGATCGGGAATTGTTCGATTGCGAAATATAGCAAAACATCGAACAGATCGATACTGTTCACCAACTCCACATGGTACATTACACNCTACCTGAGAAGACAATCATTGTTACAACTTTCCTTTTCATATGTATACTGTATTTTATATGCTATACAATAGGATGAATCATATTCTTTTCCATGAATAATACATTTCTGAACTTGTTTATAGCCTTGACAAGGTCGATCGCAATAGTAATCCGAAGATTGATCGCCATATTGTCGTGACACATCAGTTTCATCAAATGGCGAATAATACTCCCAAATAACCGATGTAGCCGGAGCGCCCGCTTGGTATATTGATATCACTTGAATTTCTAATGGAACTTTCAAACGACCCGTTATGATAACCGTTTCATTTCCGGAATCTGATCCTGTATACGAAAGTGTTGCAGTTCCAATACGAATTTTAACATTGTATAATTGAAGACTATGTATTCCATTCAAAACATACGTTCCATTGACGTGTTTTACCGCTAAATACAAGTCGAAACATAGTTTAAAATAATAAAAGTAGATAATCTTCTACCTAAATAGTAACGATCATTGCCCGACGATATTTGCACAACATGAACACGTGTTGTATTGACAGGAATATCCACGATATTGGTAATTCCTAGAAGTCAAGAATGAACAATATTTTTCTAGTAGAATTTTATGTTAAATACCGAAGTCTGACACTCGTTTTTGTCCACTCGATAATTTACAAGTACGATTTTGTCCATTACAAACTCCGCAAACATCTTCTGTTGCGTTTGATCCATATTTCTGATCACAACCCATCGGCATGCAGACACCATTGATGCAAATATCTCTTGTTTCTTCTTCTCGTCCACAGGGAGTGCCGTCCTCCACGCGATCGCCAAGGACAAATGATCGCTCGAGACGATCGTCCGATACTTTGCAGATTAATTTGCATCTTTCACTAGCCAAAACTAAGAATGATAAAAATGAATTTTCCTTCTCACTGAAAGACTAATTATTTCGATTAAATTTACCATTGTATTTCGGCTCAAATCTGGTACCAAATGGCAATGAAGGATCAATAGTGCGATTGTTAAAAACTGAACATTGACGTAAACGAAACATATCCACAGGATCTTTACAAGGCTAGATGGCAACACAGACATTTTGTTTTGAAGTTCATTCATCACAACTACTTACTGGATTGTCTTCACATGATCGTATCCGAGTTGATGTACCCGAGCAATACTTTCCGCCATTCTCTGGTCTACAATATAGGAATGAATTTTCAAACTGAATCTCTAACAAGCATCGACTAACTTTGGACTATCACAATAACGCTGCGATTTTTGTACAGCGCTGCCACATGTACGAGTACAGGGTGACCACGGCGACCAGTCTCCCCAATTTCCATCGATTGATTGAAGCTCACGTGTGCTTCGACAATCACCACGAAAACATCTCTACAAAATAAACGTGCGACGCTTTCAATCAAAGTCCTTGATATGTCATAATATGTCTTTTTTCTGCGTAGTTCTCGTCCTTGTCAAGTAAAAAAGTATATACGTGCGTGCTACTATATGCAGACAGACAAAAAAAAACATCGACGTGTATATGTTATTTGTTCTTTTCGGTGGCTGATGAAACGANCCACGAAAACATCTCTACAAAATAAACGTGCGACGCTTTCAATCAAAGTCCTTGATATGTCATAATATGTCTTTTTTCTGCGTAGTTCTCGTCCTTGTCAAGTAAAAAAGTATATACGTGCGTGCTACTATATGCAGACAGACAAAAAAAAACATCGACGTGTATATGTTATTTGTTCTTTTCGGTGGCTGATGAAACGATACATTCGAACGAACGTTGCTTTTCTCATCAATTCGCGACTCGAACATATTCATGATGATAGCTAAGGTACGTGATTTCGATTTCTACTTACTTTGATTTCTGTATGTGACACTGAACATTGCGTGCCATCAGACCAATGAGCATGATTTGTTATACACGATGCCAAATTTGAGAGTCTCTCTCGACAGTATAAACGATGACATTTCGGCTAGAAAGTTAAAGAAAAACTTGTTTTGCTTTGATAAGGTCGTTTTCCTAGTAGATAGTTACCCCATGACTTAAATCCCGACAGTATTCAAAAGTCACACCGAATGCTCGACGACATTGAGCATCAAGATCACTGAAACGACCGGGTAATTGACGTGCTGCTTGCTCAGCATTCAAATCTTTCCATGTTGCAGATTTGTAATCGGGTACATTGTTCAAACATTGATATCGATCCGATCTTAAGGAAAATAATAGAATAATAGTGGATTTGCACTTGGTTTAACAGTAAACAGAAAAATAGATTTCGACCTTGCTGTGTCATTCCTTTTCTGGGCATGATATTTATTTGCGACTGCTGAAAATCATTAGTAGAACAACAATAGTCTGAAATTTTCTTCATAATAATGAAGCATTCTACGCTTAGTTATGTAAGATTGTCCGTCTGGAATTCTTCAATTAAAATGTTGCTACGAAATGAGATTATTCATGTCTTGTTATTCAGAAGAAATGACACTGTGCGAAATAAGGGCAATTACGCAAATATACTTTGTACGTAGTGAATTAATTGCTTCAAATGTTAGAGAATATATCGAAAAGCAAGGTCATATATACTTTCTGATAACCATGTCGAAACAAGAAGGTCAACATCGTTCTATGATTAAATTAATCATTTCTATTGATCAGATAAGTGCGACCTTCTTCGGTCGTACAATCTGCAGTCACGCCCGAACATAATTCACTCAACATATCCGACTTAATGTTTTACGTATACTTGCTCACCTGATTGATGTTACTCTCTTGATACTCGATCGGTCATAGTTACATTAATTTGACGCAGATTAGTACTCAATGAAATCTTATCTGTTTGAATATAGGTTTCGATACATACTCGAGATATTGAGTGAAATAGTGTCGACTGCAATTCGACCACTTGTAGTGATTGTGATTGAATGTGAGCGATGTTGCCATGATATTCTGTTCTTTGGTGTGATCTAAGCATGCTTTGTCATTATCATGTCGAATACCGAATCTGTGTATTAGAAAAGGAAAACTGTTTTGTAATCTCTGAGAACAGTTTTGCCTTACAAGTGAGCAATTTCATGAGCAATTGTAAATGCAGTAGCAAATCCATTATCACGTACGACAGCACATTTCGATGTTTTATTACACAATGTACCTAATTCGGTTAATCCTAATGTGTCACATTTACTATCAGTTACATTTTTGGCTCGTTTATTGCATAGAGGCGTTCTAAATATTCATAGAAAATTGAATTTCTTCTAATTCAAAGACACACTCAAGTTTACCTTGTGAGAAGAACAGCGGTATCGTACGTATCCGCATCATTGTAATCTTTCTGCCATTTGCAAAATGTACCTAAGATGTCCGCGGCATCATCACTTGATGTTATATATCTCTAGAATAACGAACAATGAAATCTTCTCTTTTCCTTCTCTTCCAAATCGATCTTACAGTAAATGCGGCATCCAGATCGACTAATTTGACGAGCCATATCTTAATATTATTTCCGATGCTGGCGTCCGAATACAAGTATGATACCTAGAAAGCGAAAAGCGAGATTTTCGATTGAAGTTGTTCATGAAAGACTTGCGTAGCTAAAGAGAGTGAGAATGTAGGATTTGATATCAATATCTGAATGGAATTGTTTTATTGAGTCATCGTAAGCCACGAGTACTTCCACATGTTTGGCAGTAGGATCCAGTTCAGTTTGACGTTTAGCTCGACGTTTGAAATGATTTGTCTTGTAAGAAGAATGTGCCAAATCATCTTCAACAGAAGCAGGGAGTTGAGGAAAAGAGTTTTGCAATCGTTGCTTGTGGCTCCGTTCATAGTGAGGATAAGATTTGTCTTTTTCGAAATAAGGAACACCTAGAAGATTTCAATGAAGACAAGAAAACACATATCAAATAAAAGACTTACCGTCAACAGGACATCGTACTGTTTGCGCGCCATCCGTGATTGACTCTATGGATTCTTTATGTGTGTAAAACAGATGTTCAAAATTCCATTTCGTTTCATTCTCCTGACGCTTAGGCTCAATGAAATATTCTACGTCATTGTAAATAAATGTACCTAACTAAAAAAAAACAACACACGAACATCATCGAATAAGTTCGAATAATTAACTTTTTTTTATCGCGGAAACCTCTCGAAGTCCGCTCACGAAAGTTTCAAAGGTCTCTTCACAAATAGATTATCCTACGGCTTCGTACAAACGTGTTACATTTTCTTTTATAGACAACGCCTTCTCTTCTAATAATTCAATTGACGTCTTCGCATGACTACAAGGTTCATTATTAAATTAAGGACAAAGCAAATGACATCCACAGATTGTCTAATCATCCTTGTCAGTTAACACCGATAGCAGTCTGGTTTTTTTTTGACAACATAGTCTTACATATGTTTTGTTTCTCTAATCAAATGATACATACCAAACCGTGACATAAACTGATCGATACGGTTGACAAAGGATTTTGATTGATATGACCTTTATAGAAACAATGTTCAATATCTCTTGTTAACCATGTTCGATTTTCACTGTAATGTTGAGTAACAAACGATGGTGCGAGAAATGCTTCGTCTTCGATTAAACTTAAATCAAAGGTTTGATTGAAACCATAGATACGATAGTACAAAGTTGCATTTAGCTGATCATGGAACGAGGTCTGAGCACGTTTTTGACGATTTTGTTGTTTATCTCTGAGACGAGCTTTCCAATCAGGTAGAAATGAGATTGATCTTGAAGATCGTATCGATCGGGGAATGACAATTTCATAGTTAAATTGTTCTTGTTCGACCGTGTCTAAAAAGAAATTAGTTCTTAGATCAATCGTTCGTCATTGAAAACGATTTAACATGTTCTGCTTTTTCGAATATATTCCCTAGATTTTCTATCTTAATATGACATTTAATATCATACATTAGGACTAAAAATCGATCATCAATGCTCATACAAATTGTTTAGGCCTATACACATATTTCAATGTGTTAACAAATGTTGGATATTAGTATTTCAGATGAATATACATATACATATATAGTCGCCATAATGATCATTAATCATATTTAACCTTGTTCTTCTCCTTCTTCTTTTCCAATACAAACATCCTCTATCTATAAACGTTCTCATCGAACGTTCTTTCTTCTTCTATGTCGTAGTTCGATGTAATACGTCTTCGATGTTTTCTTTTATTTCGCCTGATTGCTTTTGCTTGCATATACGAAACCCGTTAAATCGCTTTTTTTTATCATTAATATATCTGATGAGAAAAAGAACGACTGACTTTCTATTGATACACAAAGACGTATATTTACTAATAGATATTTGCAGACAGTTAAAGATGCCAATGAAACAAAAAAAAACCATTTCTCTATATCTAAAACGCAAATATGTACATATACGTCTGTATGCATAAGGAGATGGAGGTGCGCTTGGGTACGATGTCCTTCGACATTTTATATATATCTTTGTCGATCCAAAGGATTAGGGGACGTGAAAGACGATCTTTTCTCTCGATTGATTTTTTTCGAGTAACTGTCTATTTTCTTAGTAATACCATCGTTAACGATGTCTTAACCATCTTGTACATATTGCTAATAATTATTTATTTGTGTTCTATGCGGACATTTGGCGAGAGTGTCATCGATTTCATGAGTGAGATTTATTCGAAAAGATCATTCGGCTGTTATCTTACAAAGCAACAAGTGTTCTATTTCGTCAAAAATAAGAACGAGAAAAAACCCTTTGTGAAGTGTCGGTGAAGAGATCAAATACTTTGCGCTATGTGATACTCAAAGGGCACGCTTGTCGCTTTCGACTAGAATCAGACTTGACTAACAATCTTTTTTTCCCACATTTTTTTGATATACAACATGATCGTGTCTTTGCCTGTCAACGTCTACGTATGTTATCTCTGGCACAGAAATAGAAGAGATTTTTAATGAAGGTTGCTGTTAAGTGTGATGCGTTTTTTTCGAAGACAGATGCAGCATAGATTTATTTGACCTTTGTGTTAAAACGAAGTAAGAGAAAGAGGAGAAAAAGATACGGTTTTGCCACTCGAAACTATTTATTTCGAGGTATAGTACAAGCTTAAAATATCATCTCATATGACCAGCAAATGCGTATATTGAAGAAAAAGACATTTCTTTGATGTTGACGCCGGTGAAATTGTACAGTTGTTGAGTAAGACATGAGCAATGAGAAAAGATTTATATAGAATAAGCAACAAGAAGACACACGCTGGCATCAAGGAAGAAAAGTTTGCAAGAGTTCAAGAAGATGATCGAAGCACTTGACGCATTAGTCTGCAGAGATGGAATCAATTTTGATCAACTCTGATTTGAACAAGCGCACGAAGCAATAGAAACTCATAGATAAATACACACACACAGCCGTACACACGTTTGTAAACGCCTATCCACTTCTCTTATCAAGTGATTGTGCCTGCATAGATTACATAATGCAAATCAAATAACATTACTATAATTGATTTTATCTCATTAATCGAGACTGTGAATGAGATTTTATTAATATGAATCGTCTTTCACACTTAATAACAGTCAACAACATTGATGGCAAGGTTTTCTTTTGCTTGTCAATCTCAACAATAAGGGTTTTAACGTCTCTTCGCGGCAATAGCCTTCATGCTATCACTCTCATTTAGTCAATAAAAGAAAGTGTGTGTGTGTATGTATGCAAGCATACCAAGAAAACATTGTCTTGTGAGATAACAGATGAGTAAACTAAATGTCGAGACATTCGACTGCTTCCGAACTGTATGCGTGCATATAGAAAGTAAAATCGTTGTCTTGAAAACATGTTTTTATTATCTATGATGGGCCGTTGACGATTATTATTAACTACGAAGAAATCAATCAAAATCGATCGAAAGCATTTTCTCTCTCGGGAGAATGAAACTTCTTCGAAAATATTATGTGAATGTATCTTATCAAGGTGACATAATCTTGATGAAGATTAAATGATAGAAGAAGAAGAAGAAGGAAGATGCCTATGTGCGCATGTATATATGTATGTCCGTATGTGGTTAGTTTTCTCCTCTTTCCTACTGTACGATAGCGGGTTTTTGACACGTTAGACGATTGTGGCTTATACGTCAATCAACTGCACATAGCAGTTGTGCAGATCGATCGATTGATCGATATACATTCAATATACAGATAAACAGAAAACTTGAGATCAATTTCTCTTTGGATCTCATTATCATGCGTCCAATTTTATGCAAGAGAAATAAACAGCAAAAATACCTGACGTGTAACCGAAAACAAGAATTTGTAATGCGAATTCTCTATGCGTGTGTGCGTGCATATGTTTTTTTCTATTCTTCTACCGTCTATTAGTATTGTTGCGCGCGAATGAGTGTCATTAACCACCATTTAGCTGACGTTGTTTTCCTACATGAAAACAACATCACGGCGGCGACGTAACGTCTCTCACCAGTGTAAAAAAACAGAAGCAAATAAGGCACAGAGACACATTGATGTCGTATCATTACCTAACTCCCTAGATTCCTCCAAGGTTGCCTGTCGTGTTAATTCGTGTATATTTATATATGTATATGTACATTAATACACGTATCTATAACTATATATCAAATTTAATCGTGAGTCGGCAATAACGGGACTTTAAGAAAAACAAAATACGAAGGAAAGCAACACTCAATAATTACTGAGCTGATATAGATTAGATATTGAATTACATCATCATATCATCTTAAAGTATACCGCTATTGAAATCGAACGTAGTGTACGTCTACGTTTACTCATAGGCTGGGAAATTAATAGAAACTATTCATGACAATTTTGCCACACATTTAACGAAATAATTAAATTTGTTCAGAAAAACATCGCTCACTTGTTGTGATGATTGAACTGGTTTGGGTGGTGATCACGTTTGACAAGGATGGCGGTAATGAGCAGAGGAGCGTAGTAACGATTGCGGTAAAAACCATGTATATGTCGAAATGCATCTCGAGAGCACCGGTTCAGTTTGAATACCAAAGGCGTTCTGACGTGTCGTCGTAGCGACCGTGACGAGCAAAACGGAACGTCAACAGAATACAATATAGGTGTTGTGGCGATTTCGACAGACCGTTGACATCCATTAGAGACTCTGGAAACACATCAGTGCTTCTCGATTGAAGAAGATAGGACACAAAGACGGTCGCACTGTGAGAGTGAGAGAGAGAGAGGGAGAGGGAGAGAGAGAAGAAAAAAAGAAAACAACCACAAGAGGGCGACCACAAGAGCTGAGGAGAAGGGAGAGACACAGAGAGAGAGAGACAGAGAGAGACAGAGCAAAACAGCCGATGTAGCGGAAACACGACAGCGTAAAAAAAGACGAAGAACGAATAAAGGAAAGGCGGAGACAGTGAGAGAAAAAAAGAACCTCTTCTTTTTTTTTAATGTACAGATACTAAAACACATTTTTGGTTCTTTTCTCTATTTTTTTATCGCTCTTTTTTTCTTTCTTCTAGTGCATTTCGGGTCTTTTTTTCACACTTATTTCTCTGTCTCGTTTTTGCTTATTCGCTGTCTGTAGCCACATAACCAACATAAAACAAGCTGCATGCCGACGTCAGGAAGGCAGTGTAACACAGATGTGAAAATCTGACAAGAAAACGAAAGGGGTTAAAATGAAACAAAAAAACAGAAAAAAGAAAATAAAAACGGACCTATAATACACGGATTGACATAGACACATTCAATGATTATGTCCTTGCTGTGATTATTATTACTTTAATTTTTTCGAACTTATTTAGGTTTGTTCGTTCTCATTGTACGCGTGTTTTTTCGCATTACCCATCCTTTATTGAAGCGTCACTTCACCTTTCTGAGCGTACACTTAAAAGATTTATGATAAACAGCTGGCTTCGTTTTTTTTCTGATGCACAATTATATTTCCAATTTATTACATTTAGCAAAAGTCGTATAACCTCCAGTTTATGAATGAGAATCCAGGGTATGATGATTATTATTATTGTTATTATTATCAAGTCTTTGGGTGCACAAGAAAAAATATGTATATAAGTATTGACATGGACATTCGACTGACAAATCTTCTATATATATGTAGATATACATGACATAAAAAGAGGAGAAAGAAATGGAACAATATCCTTATGGCGAGAAATGAGAGATGTTCCAATCGTTGTTACTTTAGTACGAATGATTTTGTTGGATAAAAAGCAAACGTTCCTTCTTCTTTTTCTACATATCTCGATGACAGCAGACTGTTGTATAGCATAGTTCGGCCAAGACTGTCAGATGTTTTCTATTAAGATTGACTTCTTCGTATGTACGCTTGTTGGAGGCGACTAACTACAAGGACAAAAGCGGCTGGGAAAGAAAAACTCTCGCCCTCTCTGATGGCCAGAAAGCAAATCGAGCAGAAGAAAAATAAGAAAGAGAAATCTGCTAGTATAACTGATGAAGATCGATAAAGAACTACGGAATTCATGGATTAGTATCCGAAGAGGAAGAAGAAAGATAAAAAAAAACTTCGTTATATCATAATCAAGAAAAATGAACCATATTAGATATTCATCGTATATATGATGAAGATTATTTATTTATAAAAGCAAAATGTCATTTTCCTTTCTTTTTGGCTTTTCCTCCTTTCTTGGCTTTCTTCTTCGGTAATTCAACCGGTGTATTCAACATCTTTTGTAAATCTAAAAATAGAAAGAAACATCAATAGTAGTAGAGAATCTCAGAAGATCCTTCTCCTCTTACCGTCAATAATAAAATATCCATCGGCACAACTCAGTTGTGAGAGAAGCAAATCGATATCATCTTCAGGCCAATCACAATTTTTAAGTAAATATGTAAAATTATCCACCATTAACTTCGATTTGTTCTCGGGATCGAGAATATCGAATGCTTCTTGTAATTGTTGCTTGTCATCATCGGTCGTCACGTAAAATTCATGAACAATCGTTAGAAAATCCGCAAAGGATAAACGATCGTCAGCTTTTTCATCTATTTAACAACGAACTCGTAAGAAAAACACTTTTCAATAAGAACAAAAAACTCGAAAAACTTTTTAAGTGCATCGCTCGAACAAAGGAATGAATAAAATTAATGTTGATTTCTGACTTAAGTATGTTATGTCTACTAACCTGGATCGACCTCTTGTTGATGAGTTTCTTTTAAAGATTTCGCCTTTTCAATCATGTCTTTCACTGTATCTTCACTTGGATTTTGACCAGAATGTCGAAATGCATCGCCAATGCTCTCAATTCGAATGTAGTCATTCTTTTTTGCGATCTTCTTGAAACCGAATTTGAGTACTAAAACAAAAGATTGATTAATATTCTAATGTGCTAATCGTTTATCGAAACATCTGTCTATATTTGCATTTATGATTAACATAGTATCTTTTATGCCTTAAGATAAAGTTAATTTTAACGTAAGGGCTGCAGCTGGCCGAGTTCAGACGTGTTTAGTCTTGATAGAGTTTTCTCTTCGGAAGATGGATCGGAAGATATGAAAATAAGAATCTTCTATTGAAGTAACACTTACATTCTCGAGATGTTTCATCTAATATTTCTTCATAGCTAACTGTTGTTTGACCGTATTCATTTCCTGGTCCCTAAAGAAATAGAAAACGAGACGAAGTTGAGGAAATTTCATTTTAGTTATCCTTGATCATGTTATTACAAGAAAATCAATCGTATTATTCAACGGCGCGGTCAAGGTTTGTTCCATTGACATAGACCCATACTGTCGTCCGATATCACTTCGTTCATCGGAGTCCATTGTCAATATTTTGCGTTAATTGTGCAATTGTGTTTCTTTTTGACAATGTTACACTAATAGCAATACTGTAACTCGAATGTTGCCAAGGTGAGTTGCCGTTGTTATTGAGAAAAGAAAGAACGAACGAATCATATCTTCACTCAGCTTTTTTTCTCTTCTCGATCGTTCCTGTTGACTGTTGTTATTGTTGTTGTAGTGGTGGCGGTTGTTTTTATCGCCGTCGACTTTTCCTCTTGATTTTACCGTTAAAAGCAGAAAAAAAAACAATTTTTAGTTTGTAAGAAACAATGGACTCGTATTTAGTTTTGATTTCTTTTTAAGAAACATGGAATTACCATCAACACCCCGGATCGCCTATCCTCTTATTTATTCAATTTTGTTTTCATCATCCATTAGTTTACACTTTCTTCTACTTCCATGGGTGTCGTCATCTTTATTACGTCTTTGTATTATTGATTTCTATGCCACATGTGTTCTGTTTCTTATCGGAAATTTTCTTTATTCATCAAATAATGTTTATGATATTCATTGGCCGTTGATTCCACTGATATCTTCCGTTTATTTTTATTTTTACTCCAATTCAAGTGAATTACCATGGAAAAAGTGTCTTCTATTAACTCTCCTCATACTTTTGTGGTCGAGTCATTTAATATGGCAAACAGTAACATCATCATCGGATATCAAACATGAAGATTGGCGCTATCATATGATGCGCGGACAATTTGGAAACAATTTCATTCTCTTTGCCTTCTTTGTTCTGCATATAATACCAATGATAGAAGTCCTGATCGGCTCCTCGTCAATCTATTACATCTTTAATGATACGAATACTCATGAACAGTTTACCATAGGTAGCAGTCTTTCGTTAGGCGTTATAGCGGTCGGCGTTCTACTGGAAAACATTGCTGATAGACAATTAGCAAGATTTCGATGTCAGAGAAAACAGTCACGTGAATACAGGTTTGCTGTATTGTCAAGCGGCTTATGGAAGTATAGTCGTCATCCAAATTATCTCGGTGAAATTTTGTTTTGGTGTGGATTATTCTGTTTAGGTCGAGCTTCTCACGCCCCATGGTGGTGTGCAATCGGACCATTGCTGATCACATTAATGATGATTTTTGGATCAATTCCAATAAGTGAAGAACGATTATATCGCAAGTATCCGGAGTATAAGTTCGTTCAACGACGGATACCCATACTGATTCCAACATTTGGCTTATTTCGATAAACTCTAGGCTTTTCTTTCTGTTTGTATTTGTTCGATTTTCCGTAATGTTTGTTCAGATAAGGTTCGAAATCGGGCGGGTTTTTTGTTGCCTTATATTTTACGCAACTCGTACGTACATTTGTAAAAATATAGGAATTTTAATTATAAAAAGAAAGTAAACATGCATATATTTCAAAGCTCAGCACTGTTATCGCTTTGACCACTGTAAATCTGTGCTAATCTTGAAAATTTCGGTCCTAACGAAGATAAATATCGATAGTCAATTTCATCCGGGACTGACGAAGATGCGATTGAACTCAAATCTCCCGCTATTGATCCGACGCCTTCATCATGAAAACGTAATTGAGTATCGTAGACATAGCCAACCGTTCGTTCATCTAATTTCTCTTCAATATAAGTGCCGAGCGAAGGTCGAGCAGTAAATATTCGATCATTATTATCTAAACAAACATGGAAATGTGTTTTTCACTGACGCATTTATTTTGATTATTCGTACTTAGCCGATCGCGATTTACCATAATATTACCATCTGTCAAAGCATACATCGGTTTTTTTAAGACATGAAGATTATATGTTGAGTGATCCTCCTCACCAGCCGTTTCTCTACATAAACAAAAGACAAATAAGTCGGTCGAAAGTATTCCTGTTAGAACTTACTTATAATCGATAATGTTTTCTCGTGTATCGTCAACGTAAATTCCATTGACTGTTCTGAAAATTTCTTTTGCTCTTATGAATGATAACAAAACTAAGATGATCACTATCGCTAATAATAATAGAACAAGTGCTATTATTAACCAGGTATACCAAGGAATGACGAGACTACGTTGGTCAGCAATTCTCGGTTCTTGACATTCGCCGGCATATGAATAATTTGAGTGAAGATAATTTGACATATTTAGATAATATCCGTTGGATAAAACATTACGTATGCAACCACGAAAACCACTGGTTACAATTGAGGATTGATTGAAAGAAGATACTGGCAGATGATCTGGTAAACTTCCAAGATGTAGATACTGGATCGTAGATGGATCGAACCAATTGAAGTTTTCAGACAATGAATAGGTATGTTGGCAATCATTTATCGAAAAGAGAATGTTTTCCCGGAGAATCTGAAGAAGAGAATGTCTTACGAAGAGAAGAACATCAAATTTTACTCACTTGACATTCCACATGATACCATACCGATGCATTCAAAGTAATATCGTTAATATTACGTACAACATTTGGAAAATGGAACCTGAGTATTGCATTAGATACATCAATTGCCATCCAAAATGGCCCATTTGTTTTAGTAGTGTTTGGTGCATACAAGAAAATCAAACAGTTTTCCAAGGGAGTTTGCAAAAGGAAATCGAATGAAAGTCGTGCAGAACGGAAATTAGAAAATATCCATTTGTCATAGATTGCGTATCCTTGTCCATTTCGATCAAAAGTTCGTCCAAGTACTTCTCCACAAGGTCCCACTGGACCATTCGATGAAGACTGCGATAATAGTGAGCCGCTCAAACTGTCAAATGTGGTTATTTTACAACGATCTGCCATCATCGGTCCCGTTGGATCGTAAAATTTATTCACGCAGTCCGCTGAATCAAGAATGTTGACACCTAAGAACGATGTTTGATTCGAATCGATAACTTCGGGTTTCACTGCAATAGTTCGTGCTGGCCGACAGATTGTATCGGAAAGGCAATTGTAATTATGACACGGATTAGGACCACTTGCACTCGCTGTAAAACCGTAAGATTGAAATCTTGACAGATCTCCACTAAGTGTTTGTTCAACATTAACTCGATCTCGTCCGCGTACGTAAAATACTACATCGGTTAATGTTTTAGCTTGCTGTTCTTCGACGGTTTGGGGTTTATCGTATTGATTTCGATATTGAAAAGCCGAACGAATAGCAAAAATTTGTATAAAATATCGATTAACATTTAGTATTTGAGCGAGTGCAGTGATAAGTTGATCTTTGACAGATGGAATAATTAAGTCATGGGGATATTTACCTTGAATACGAATCGTTGATGCTTCGCGAACCTTTTCGCTTTTCACACTTGCAACATTAATTGTTAGAGTGACCGGAATTGATTGATCTACGATAGCTTCGACTGTTGAAATGCCTGGTTCCAAAGATTTCGACGAAGTTCGCAAAGAGCAGTTGAGAAACATGAACTTCTGTTGATCGTTTCTGTCCTTGAGTGAGCAGCTCGGATTGGGTTTATTCGAATTATCGAAATGAATCGAGCCGAGGTCAGTGTCAAGGATAGAATTTTGATATCCTTCAACATAGATAATCTCAATTGTTTTACTATTCAGAGTAGAACCCATCGTCTGACAGCCTCGAACGTTGATTGTTATTGTTGTTCTCTCAAAATGATTTTGAGCATCGCTGGCGTTGAAAGTGACATTAAATCTTTTTGTCGTCGCACAACTCAAAAGGCCATTGTATGTTAGAATGAAAAAAGACATGTTATATGGAACCAATTTTACATTAGCATCAGTTGATTCAACAATTGCTACATTAAAAGGAACTGTGTGATTCAGATTTTCATCATCGTAATCTTTGAATCCGATAGAGATTGAAGGATTAGTGCCTTCCTCGATGTACCATGGGCCACCCTAAATTGAAAAACAGGAGAACTATACGCAAACTCTAAAAAAAACCATGTTTACTATTGGTACAGGACCATTGTTATTGATATCATGCACTCTGAGAGTTACTGGAATAAAACTGGATACACCTGTTCCATTTTCGTCCGTTGCACGAATAGCAAATTTATAAACAGAGTTACCAAAAGGCAAATCACGTGAGAGTCCACTTGAGTTTATACTAATAATAGCTTCGTTGCCAAATGTACCGACAAAAATATTTCGAAGATTCAATTGATGATTTTGATCATAGATTTCATAACGAAGCTGAGTTGATGGTGTGTCTGGATCAATAGCGATGATCTAAATAAAACACGCACATATTACATACAGTATAAACATATCATAGTTTACCGGAGCTCCAGAAAGTAGGGAATATGGCTTGAGTTCTGTTACATTGTATTCGTAACTATCGAAGCCAGGCATTAGTTTGAAATACGGTGCATTTGTATTTTCCGGTAATATCGTAATTTGTACATCAATTTCGACGATATTGCTGGAATCAAATGCGAATAATTTCAGCGAATACTGAGGTATAGATTTGTAATCTAGTTGTCCAACAATTGTAAGTTCTGCAGTTGCTTCATAATGTGTTGACTTCTCATCATTTGAATTATCTGATGAAAGGCTAAATTTAAAAGCATTATTTATATTTCCACTCGATATTCCCACATTCAGTCTCGTATCGATGTTGTCATCAGTAATATTTAGTGTAAGAATAGGCACATTCCTCGATGTCGTGCCTTTTATTGATATGTTCTTATTTGCTTCGATATTCTGAAAGACTAGAGCAATAGATGAAATTTCGTTTTTCATTTTTATCTTTGAAAGATATCAATTTTTACCCGGACGTTGTTGATTAGCACTAATAACTTGAATATCGATTTGAAAATCTTCGGATGCATCATTTTGCGTGTCCCATAATGGTTTGGAATTCGCAGCTGTCACAAACAATCGATAGGATGATTTGTTATTACTGTCTGGTCCGAATACAGCATTTGTCCATATTGTGCCATCGGGTTCAACGCTAAAAAGTGCAGTTACTTCTGCCGAATTTAGATGGTCGCTTGAATAGTATCGAATTGCATTGTTTTCTGGTAGGACATCGAGATCATAGGCTTGAATTTTGCCGATAGTACGATTCCCTTGTTGGTTTTCTAGCACACTCAACGTAATTGAACGAATATCAAATGTTGGGATCTGATCATTCTCATCGCGTAGATCGATTTGAACTACTCCAATCAATGGTGGATTGGTAAGCACGCGTGTGTAAAGCAAATAACTATCTTGAATTTCTGCGTGAAGGCCTCTGAAAAAATGTATACATTCGTTTGTTTTTCAACGTGATAAAGAATGTGAATAAAATCGTTTTATAGTTACCGAAGAACTACAATACCACTTGTGTATTTTAATTGATTCCTCGTCACCTGTTTGTCGCGAAATGGTAAATGCGCATTGCTGGCAAATGGACTTGAAACTGCCATAAAGGATGGCATCGATGGTCTTAAACTAAAGCTAATTGTTCCATTGAATGTTTCATCTCGTACTATACGATCAGTGGAAGTTTCATAAAATTTCTCCGATATGACGATATGTAAGTTTTCATACGATGTGTCTAGCCATTGGATCGGCTGTTCTTCAGCGTTATTTTGAAAATGAATTGTTACTGTAGCATCGTTTTCACTCAAACATTCTGGTTCGCCGCGATCTTTAGCGTACACTTGGAATTTTACTGGAAACAAACTTGCATTTAAACTTTGAATTCCATTTATCCCGGTGCGAAGAACAATATATCCTGTCGTCTGATTGATTGCGAAATATGGTACATTTAATGTTCTAATGTAATATTTGATCATTCCATTCATACCAGAATCAGCATCGAATGCAATGATACGGAATGGGAGAGTGTTACTTTGAATACTAGTCGACTGAAAAATCGTAAAATTCCAGTCAGCCATTATGAACTCTGAATGCAAAATATCTCTCTCGATAGATCATCGAAACCACTGAAAAACATACTAACTTGGTTTATTATCATTAACATCCACAAGATTGATACGTAAAGTGCATGCTGTTTGACGGCCTGGTGTGCCGCGATCAGTAGCCAATATAGATAGAAACCAAACACGAGGAGTGCCTGTAAATGATGACATCACGATACGTATTGAAGTCGTGTAAGATGCGTACCTGGCTCGTCGTAATCAAGTGTTATATTCGTTTTTATCCATGCTTCGCGAATCATTCCACTTTGATTTTCCTGCTCAATGTGAAACGAAGGATACGCAGTATTTCTTACACCGCTCACTACAAGGAAACGATTTCTTGTAAATGTAGTGCCTGATTTTCCTATTTACTTGAAGTTCTTGATTGTTCAGGTGGAAACATAATGTCAACTTCACCGTTTGTTCCTCGATCCATGTCTATGACGCGCAACTTCGTAACATTTCCTCCAAGTGGTATATCCTCTCTCAGCGAGATATTCCCACCGCATATCGAACCAGAAAAGCTGGGTGAGTGTCTATTAACCGTTGTTATCCTGATAGTAAATGTACCGTGTTCCTCATTTAACGAATCTGAAATTGAGATGTTCACCGTAATACTAGTTTCTGTCGGCGAGATTTCAATTGATCGATCAAGTCGTAAGACACCTGTATTTGAATCGATGGAAAATAATACATTCGGGGATATTGAATACGTTATCGTATCATTATCGTCATCGACAGCATAAACTGTTGCAAATTTTGTGCCAGGTAATGCTGTTTCACTGATGTAGAACACTTTTACGTCGTCGACAAACCTTGGAATGTTGATATTAGCATTCTTCAAATCGATCTGAACAAGAGCAGTGGAAATGGCTGGTGGGCGATTATCATATGACTGTCTTGCAATCAATTCAAATACATATCGATGGAAAGGTCGAAAATAATTCAGTTTACTAAATCAGATCTTTTGTAGTGAAAACAATCTAGAACGATTCCTATAATACTTACGCATTGCTTACCGAAAGATTGTAACCACTACTATCATTGTTATTCGATAGTAGTGTTACAGCAAAATTTGTATCATTTGTTGTAACGTTAAGGCGATTAGTTTCGCTTTTGAGACTACGACTAGTGAAATTTGTGGAAGTATAACTAGGTCGATCATTTTCATTTCGTTTTCGAACAGTAAAATAAAATAAAAACGCATTTGGCTTTGTTACAGAATGTTTAGAATTTATATAATAAACGGGTTGATCGAAAACAGGCCCAGCAAAATTGACGTTGTACTGAAATTCCCATAATAACACAATGCAGCGAATATTCCTTTAAAAAAGACAACTTACAAAGAAATCTGTTATATCATTTCGACACGGTTCACCAAAAATCGTATGTAGTTGAATCACAACAATTAGTAATATACATCGACATCGACGATATGATTCAATCATTGCGGATCTTTTGGATTAATCAGATTCATACAAATAATTCCATTCAAATAAGAAAAAAGGACAATATTATCTTCATATCTGCTTCGTTCATGATTGTTCTTTGAATCACAAGTGTCGGTAGAAGTGACGACGGAGAAAGAACAAAAAAAAGAAGAGAAGAGAAAAAACGTACAAAGATTAGATGCAAATAAAAATCTGTAACAGACAAGAATGATTGGTTCAATCCTTGATAAGCATAAATATTCATTTTACAACAATCTGAATCAAGATCATCTGATAAAAGATTAGAAAAGAGTTCTTGGACAGAATTTTGTTTTTTTATCTTCGCTCGCTCTTTTGTATTCTCGTAAGATGCGAATCTTAACATCGCTGAAATCTCCTCCATGAGAACTCTTCTCTTTTTACTTACAGACAATGCATGATGCAATAAAGCCATAAGTTTTTAAGTTCTGAAAAATGATCATGTCAACAAATGATAAGAGAAATGACGCAATAATCATAAATCAAGAATTTGAATTCAATATCCAAACGATGAACACTATGTACACAAGCAGATTTTCATTTTCCATTATCCACTCCGATATGGTGAATACAATCGATGTACCACCTAACCATTCTTTCATACTCATTTTCAACAAAAAGTGCCACTCCTGTCGTTGTCGACGCCATTCATGTGAATTTGCTAACAAAGAAAAGTGTCGCAAACTTAAATTCTTCTCCTACCTATGAATCGTCTAATATGATCATGCTATTCTGTTCATATATGGCAATAATGGGCTAGAATATCTAAGTAAATATCATCTCGGATGTCAAAGAACGAGTAGTATTGCATGATCAACATTCATACCAATGAACACGGCAATTTAAGATATTACACATTCAGATATACGAACAATCCGGATTCCACAGCGTGTTGTCAACGCAACAGTACAAATCTCCTTTTATATATTTGATAAAAAAACTTACGTCAACATTCCCTAACTATATTCATCGAAGACCTCAATCCACCTGCTCTTCTACAAATACAGACAATGGTGTGTGTTAGATACAAAACGACGATTAATATATTCATGGTCCTACAAATAGTATTTGTTTCTTTTTATATGCTAAACTAAAACTAACGACTATCAGGGCTGCCCGTACAAGGCCCTTTTACCAATGATATACTCCTCATCTGGAGAGGTCATTGAACAAGAAACAGTCCATGACAATATTTGCTCTATGATCTATGCCGATAGTCTCGTTCCTATATTCAACTTCGTCCAAACATATAGAACGAGAGAGAACACACCACGATAATTGTACAATGTCTTCTAATCTGAACATTATTCATTCACCATTTTTAAACAAGGTAACTCAATCTCGTCCCTGAAGCATCACGTTCCAAGCGTATAAATTAACTACGACACTCAGTATATTTATCATTATTTCCCACGATTATTCCTCATCACACCTTTTCATTTTGTAATCAAATACATTTTACGAGAAAAATGTTTTATTTCAAAATATGCACAATTGCTTTAAAAAGAAAAATCAAAAAGAAAGATGTCCAGATAGCGATGCATCTTGTTGTTGTTGGAGAAGAGCAACTTGATTGTTTAACGAATCAATTCGTTGCTTGAGAACCTTTTGCGCTAGTTTTGGATTCGTATCACCTCGACGAGAACGTGCGTTGTTGAACCATGTGTTCACTTGTGCCACTGAGATGTTGCATTCCATTGCTAGACGATCTTTTTCCGCTTCAGTTGGACGTTTCTTCACGGCGTAGAAAGCATTCAAATGTTCGATTGCTTCGTCACTGATACGCTTGCGAGCCTACAAAACAGTATCGTATGCACAGTGGTTTACAGGCATAAAGCAACTTACTAGGCATAGCGATGGAGATGATGTCGTTGGTTGTGCACGGCGACGTTTCGGTTGAACATTCTAAAATGAGATCAAAGTAAGCAAATTCGTCTTAGTAACTTGTCACTAAACTTCCATAAAGAAGAACTCACGGATCTTTGCTACTCGTGACAAAGAGACAATATGATGAAAGCTTACCTTCGTCGATGGAACAAGACATACATTACTCGGTTGAACAGGTGTACTTGCAGCGAATGGTTCTGAATATTGAGGCAACGAATATGATGCTGGACTGTAATAAGATGAATCTAAATTCAGAGGTTATACTTGTCAGAAGAATGAATTTGCTGATAAGATCGACTTACAATGTTGTGATGGCATATAGTATGAATCGTTGGAATATGGGCACGATGAAAAATGAAATGGCGACGGTGCCGGTGAAGCATAACCAAAGGATGAGTAAGCTGAATCATAAAATGGTACATTTGATGTTGGAGATGATGGATACATGTAGGGTGTTGATGATTGCGATGGTTGCATGTTTATTGGTGATTGGAGTGGGTGATTGTAGAAGATGTTTAACAACTGTGAATGATATTCGTTGGAGACACGTTTGGAATATATATTATTGAAGTAGTAAGATCGATTCGCATCAATTAATAATGGATATTGATTGATGCAAGAGAGAGAAAGGAGGAGAAGAGAGAAGTTGATTTAATTGATGCGATAGGTAATGCATCAATTAACTCTCTGATAATCAAACTCTGTCGGTCAGTGAGTAATGGTAGAGAGAGAGAGAAACAGAGAGAAAGTAAATTATATGTAGATGTCTATATTTGAAAAGTTGGAATAAAAATGGAAATGTACAAAGGCAAGATTAAAAAGAAAAGAAATAGATAAGATCAGTTAGAGATAAACAGCTTGATGATCGCGTAAGAAACTGGGTGATAGAGTATTTCGTTCAAAATATCGATAATCGCTCGTGTCAGGTTCTTCCATGTGAGTGGGCGATGGTTGTGGATATGGTTTCGACGTTGCAGATGCCGTGCGAGTTGACGGATGGGTCATTTCGTTTGTCTCGAGATGAATTTTCAAAGAAGTGCGAAAGCGTCCCGGTTCGACTTCGTCGTTGTTCAATGGGAAATGATTTGACTCGTGATAACGGGGAGGCGATGGAGAACGATGATGAATCGGCTTCGCTGTACAGCGAATTTTCACTTGCGTTGTTGGACTAGCAGCATGTTGTCGGTCTGATTGTTCACGTGTGTCACATGTAGATAACCATTCTTGAATGCGTTCAGCTCTCTTTGGTGATGTGGCTGGAAAGAAAATGTGATAGTTTGAAAAAAGATTTCGAGAGATTTACCGGATAGTTGTTCGTCGTTGGAATGTTTCAGCGTTTGAGTTGGAGTAACATCGTAGACAAAAATATGCCCATCATCATCACATGATGCTGCAAGATTGTATGCTGGAGATGAGACTCTTTCTGTTAGGCTAATTTGATTAGAAGTTTTGTCCTTATGAGACTGAATTTGAATTGGAATAATAGTCTCTTGGCTGAGTTTTGTCGTTGCATCGTTGACATCCGCTGAGGATAAGGTAAACATAGGCTGCAAGGAAAAATTTTTATATTGTTTTACGAGTGTATGTATGAGGAAGAGAGTTTTATGATTTCTGTAAAGTATGTTTCGTCATTTCTTCATAAAAAGCTTGAGATACTTACAGGAGTTTTTGAATGATGCTCATTGTTTTGAGATATATGTGGGGCAGTAGGTGCTCGACGTTTAATCGAACTTTTACGACTACTGATACTACCGTTACCATCCACATTCATTTCAAAAATTCGACTTGGTATTGTTTTATTCGTATCTATGATATCGATAAAGAATGAAGAGTTCTTGAACTGATTTTATGCGAGTTTTACCGGGTTTATTCGATGACACCGATGGATAGGAATGATCGATCATTTCTTCTTTGTGCTTTTCAAATGAATAACGTTTTTGCGTAATATTTTCTGATTTGGAGATCTGCGGATTGGCTGATGTTCGATTAGATTCAATATTCAATTTCTCGTAGATTGTTTCAAGAAGTGTTAATCGCTCGAAATAGCGGCGAATCGATTCATGATTGTGCTGATTTGTTTCTTTGGATGAATCTGGCGGAGTTACATCTGTTCGAACAGATCGAGAAATGCCAAAATATCTTTTTCTAGTGAAGCTTACCCGTTTCATCATGAAATGGATTCAAATGCTGTGGATACGAAGGATCAAAATTTGAACTCGATGGATTGCTACTAGCATTATTTTCAATTACGCAAGGTTTTGCTTTAGCTGCAACCAAGAGTGACGCTGGAATGGTTTTATGTCCACTCTTCTGTTCGTGTAATGCTTCGTAAACGAGGGGCGTTTTTTCGAGAATTGTTGAGCATCGTTGAGCTGTATGATGTGTCAGTGTTGATAATTTTGATCGCCGTTTAATTTGATTCGGAGCATGAAGAGACTTTGTACCTGAAAGTTTGGAGTCTAGACAATTGATCGGATTGTTGAAGTCTGATGCTGCTGTTGACGTTGACTCGTCAGTTGGCCAGATTTTGGCGAGAATTTTACGTAAAACGAGTAATTCATCGATATTTAGTGTATCCTGTTCGAGTAGTTTGATAAGATTTTCATAAAATTGAATTTTTCGATGTGGAGATTGTTGCTCTTTGAGAGAATCGATCCATGAAATACTAAAATCCCATGGATCATGTGTTTCATCAATTCCATTATTATCATGACCATTCACAATGAATGATAAATCACTTGTGATATCGTCATTTTCATCTCTGTCACTATTCATATGGTTAGGATTATCTTCCGAGGGTGATAAGGACATATTTTCTTGATCATTGGTCAACGGTGATCCTAGAAGACAAAACGAAGATATTTGATTCAACGATAATGTGTTATTTACGCGATTGTGAAAAACCAAGTGAAGATATTTCACGAAAATCGAGGATAGCCGATGGATTCATTTCATTGTTCGATTGTCTCTGTGTTGGATAATGCCCGTTGAGGAAGTGCGTCGATGATGATTGCTTTTGAATAGTTAATGCTGGACTACGTGTTATATTAGGTATTGAAGCAGCCGATTTTCGATGAATACCCATACTATGCATTACGCGATTGGTAATCGTTTCAATACTTCGATTAGGTGAAGGAGCACGTTGATGTTTTATTTTTGAACCATTCGAATTGGCTAACATATTCTCCTTTGAATTTTTATCAGCTAAATTCTCTACACTACGTGATCGAGATTGACTAGAACTATTAAGAGAGAATGAGAAAAGATTGATCAGTATATTGAATTGTATTTTGTAAGTGTTAAATACAAACTTTGATATTGTTCGGACTTTCTGTGCAAAGACTTTCCCTTTCCACCCGTCGAGTGTTTCCATTGATCGAAATAACCATCGTTTGTTAGCATTCAATTGTGATGAATAACGACGGTTTTTATAATCTTTCCCGTTCTTCATGGGTAAGCGAATAATCTCGTCATTGTCATGTGCTGAAGCATTGTTTACCAGTGAACTATCACTAGACAGACCAATTCGATAAGGAATTATATTGATCGCTTTCGTTGATGATTGTTCCGTTTTGGGAATGTGGTACGAGAATGGTCGATTGTATCGATGATGATCATGATTGTCCGAGGATCTTTCCAGTGGTTTGCGAACGGGTGAAGTCGATTCACGTGTATCGTGGTGATGGTGATGATGATGACGACGAAATATTTTCGTCAGATTCATTGAAGAAATATATGCTAAAGAACACAATTGATAAAAACAAATCAATAAATGTATCGTCGAGTTTCTTTTTCAATACAATGCCAATGCCCTATCAGTGAACCGCTTATTAATATGCATATAGAGGGAGAAAAAGAGAGAGAATATTGTCTTCAATTACTCGTCTATACAACTTTCTATATGAATTACATATAGAAATTGTTCTTCTTCATTTTTCAATAGCTTAGGTGTTAAAACTAGTCCAATTGATTCAGATATCGAATGTATAGTATATGTGTACACATCTATTCTTATTCATCGTTCGGTACTCACTTATTCAATCGTTATGAGGTTTTTTCTTTGTTTGTAAGAATTAGATACCTACACTACTTTATTTGTCGGCACAACAAGTGAGCGTCGTCCTCGATTGCGAACAAATAGGCACAGAGAAGAAGGAGAAGAAGAAGAAGAAGGAAAGTTGAAAGGAAATTCGATCCTCACGTACGCGTGTGTGCTCGACCGATCTCTTCGTTTTTATTCTTCAACATTTCTTTTTGTTCATGTGCTATGCCCTTGCGCAGCTCAAATCAGCCAGATGATAAAATAGTCTTATATACACATATACATGAACCATTCCCATATCATAAAACTTATCCTATTAGAAAAAAAAAGAAGAGCGTATCTTTCGAGTGGTAATGTCAAACTTAAGTTAAGAACAATTATGGTATCTTCGCGGTGCAGACATACATCTCGGTGTGTATGTATTCGTCTATGATTGATTTTTTGAAGACTATTACTAATCACCTTGGCTTTGAGAAACAATTGATCTGTCAATTAGTAGGAACTTACTTGCTATACGTCTTGATAAGGATACTTTTGCTTGATTTTCAACATAGGTTTGAACAACAGTCATCGTTTTTCTTTCTTTTTTTGTTCTTTCACTTGTCTTGACTCTGTTCAAGTGATCATCTATATAAAATTAGTTAGTCGTCGAGCAAGTACACATGGTCTCCCCCTTTTCTCCTGTACGTATGCAGATTTCCATCTTCGATAAATCTGTAACTAAAATCTGACTACATCGTTTGCGCCAGTATACACACAAGAGATGCATACGAACGATATCGAGTTGTATTTAGAAAAAAGGCCGTTCGCACATTGACATCGACGTCTGATAACTTCCTTCAGAAACAAGCTGTTCGCGATGTTATCTATTTATAGAATAAAATGTGGGGATAATTACAGTGTCCATGTATATTAGTTGTCTAAAATGATACGAATCGTCCTTGTTTGTAATGAGTATGAGCAATCAATAGTAGAACAATTGTTAAATAAACATTAAATGTAAGAATGATCGTACTGTGAAGAAATTTGTTTTTTGCACAAAATAAATATTATTCATCGATTGATTGAATATTTTTCTCTCTTGTTTGATATGCTTCGATGATTTCTCATCGTATAAACATGATAAAAACAAACGAGCTTGCTCATCATTTCCTGTATTTCTATCTGCCATGCGAGTCTTTCGACGCCGTAAGAAGTTTGGAAATTTCGGAGGTTCTGTAAGAGATGCTGAACCATTACCCGATATTGTTTACCAAATGGGTGCTGAGCAAGCAGTACGATTAGTAGCATTGCAAGCACGAGGACAAAGTCCCGACTTGTCGAGACATGGTCGTTATGCACCATACATAGTTGACGACGATCCTTATGGTGGTGGCGAAGATGCGGGCGAACAGCGTTCCTCATCTCCACTTAATTTTATTGCTAATGCATTAGGCATCAATCGATCGAGATCTCGCCGAAGAGTTCCTGATGGACAGGGAGAAAATTTCGCTCGGCCTGGTTCACCCGCACATTTTGCTCATTCGCTGCCTGGCACTCCCGTACAATATCGTCGTCGAGCCATGTCCCCCGAACTGGTTAGATCTCGTCCTTCATCTCCATTCCAATTTGCACAGCCGGAACGTGTTTCTTCACCTCTGCATTTCGCCCACCATTCACGCCCAGCTTCACCCGTTATTACTCGTCGACTTCAACGTGCACAGTTATCTCAACAACTTCAACAAGCTGAACGTGAACAACGAGAACAAGAAGAAATGATGATGATGATGAACAACAACTATTCCGGTCAATTTATGGCTCAGTATCCTCAAATGCAGCAGCCATACTATCCGCTAATAAATTCCATGGCGCATCAACCTCAAATGTACACATTTTATTGACCTATTTTCTCGATAACTTATTCTAACCATTACTAATCACATTTCTACTCTTTCAGCCTCGACATATAGAAGATTATGAATCAGAAACAAACATCTCGGTGCTTTTTCTTTGACTCTAATGTAAACACATTGTATACTCATGAATATTTGGAAACTAAAATAATACGATTATGTACGATCTTTAAATTCAGAATTCCCTCAGACGACAAGCACATCAATTTAGTGTTTTTATTCTTCATTCAAGGCGTCAGATGATAGTATAAAAAAGTGAGTAGAGTGAAGAAATGTAAAGAATCAACAATGAAGCAACTACAAGAGAAAACAAACGCTAAAACAACAGAAAACACCCAAGAATGATAATAATATTTTGTTTATATGTTTATTGTCTTCACTAGCATCCCTTTTTCATTCTTAACCAATAAAATTAACGACAACTAAATGTAAGATAATATGTGCGAAGACGAAATCGGCGAAAGCACGTTCTGGTGAAACATTAAATACCGACTGGTTCGCTTTATTTAGTTGAATACGTAAACTTGCTGAAAGTGAATAGCAGACAAATTAAATTTGGGAAGGAGAGGGGAAGAAAAACAAACAATCTTACCAGCGAGAACAAAGCAACCAACAGTTGATATGAAACCCGAGAGGAACGAATTGAATGGAAATGTTCCAACAAGAAGACAATAAGCGAATTGAACGATACCGGTCAAGAGCACATAAACTAGATAAGCATCAATGAGCTTTAGTTTTTTTGGTGTGCTCGATTGATATTCTTCATTAAGTTTACGTAAAATACCAACAACTTGTCCGACTTGACTCATGCTTGACTTTTGGTTTGGTCAATTTAACAAAAAAAAAACAAATCTAGAAGATATTCTCTACAAATTCAGATTTGATACGATTCGTTTTCTCTTTGCGTTTGAGATGACGTGTGTGTTTCTTTCTACGATTAGAGATGTCGACCAATTACAAAGCGGCCCGCAAGAGGTCGAAAGAGAAAAGGTGATTGGTTTGATACGAAAAGCAAAATCAAAAAAATCGAATGATTCGATTCAAGGTGTTATTATTCTATTTATTAGAAAAAGAAGAAGAAGATTAATATCTAGTGAACGATGAGTTATAGAAATTCATCCAATTTCCGTCATGATAAATACGGAGACAATCAAGATAAGACAAGTTTGAATAAGCTACGCTCGAAGTATTGGACGACTAAGCAACTTGTGATTAAGAAACTAGGTCGAGAACAGGATGAATTTGTCATCGCTTCCGATTCTGATGTGGATGCTAAACTTGAATTACTTGGTACAATTAAACAATCATGTAACGATCTTATTCGTGTATGTTCATTTCCTTGTTACTAAGGATAAAAGCAAACGATGGTCTCTTTTCAATTTAGATTATGAATCGTTATCAAACCAACGTTCTTCTTCTTTCTCATGAAGAAACCGACATGGCTCGATTTTTGAAAGATTACGCTCAAGCAGATAAAAATCGAGCAGGAAAAATCATGGCAAGTGTCTCGAAAGTACTTGCATACACTGCTCAGCAGCGCTTAGCCTTACGACAACCATTATTTCGATTGCATAATGAAATTGAAACATTTCGTCTTCGAGCTGTGACGGATACATTAGCAACAGTGAATCGTATGGAAACAGCACGAACGGAATATCGGGGAAGTATTCTATGGTTAAAAGATGCATCGGTACAACTTGACCCCGAGAAACAATTGGAAAAATTTCGTCGAGTGCAGAGTCAGGTGAAAACATCGAAACAAGAATATGACAAATTGAAATCAGATGTTATCCAAAAGATTGATCTATTGACAGCTAGTCGATGGTAAGTTACGAGAAAAGTAAAGATGTTTCTTGGATGCAATGATGGACTGTTTTAGTAATATGTATTCACATGTGTTAGCTCCGTATCAGAAGACTTTACTTGCTTTCTGGGCGAAAACATCGAAAGTAATGTCCGCAGTTGCTGAATCTTTCAAAGGTTACGAGTATTACGAATTTACTGTGATTAAAGAACTTGCCATACCAAATCATTTGTCGGCAGAAATGGCATCGAGTTCGTTTATGGAGAGGAAATTAGAAGAAACCGATAAGGACGAAAAGAATGCAGAAAAAGATGACACACTTATTGACCTTGCTGATTCACGTACAAATGAACAGAAAGCGTTAAGTAATTCAATTCGAAAAGGTATAGAAATGTTTCCGAAAAGGATTTAATTGACATAACAAATGTCTATTTAGATGAAAATCATGACATAAGCGAACCCATCAATGCTTTGATTGATATCTCTGATGCTCAGCTAGATGATCAACTTATCGAATTAGAAAAGCTTACTACTATCGAATCAACAGCAACGAATGGTGCTGCTGCTAATCACACAAAAGCGATTTCGAACACATCTACTGATAATGATAATCTCGTTGAATTAACGGATTCGTCTGTTGAGCACGACAAGCTTTTCTCCGATCTTCTCTCGCCAAGTTCATCATCAGACTCCAATCTTAATGATCTCCTCGGTACTCATGAAACTAATAATTTCGATGCTGATTGGACATCAATGTTCGGTAACAATACATCCAATCAACAAGTGCCAGCATCTACGAATCCGGCAAATGCTGCTCAAACGAATAGTACATTTCTTCCATCGTCTCTTCTCAGTGAATTATTGACTTCTAATAATAAAACTTCAACGTCGAACATTCCGTCTTCAACAAATCCAAAAGCGAAACCAACAATGACAGGCAAGCCTGCTGCTGCTGATAAATCAAACTGGTTTGATTTGTTCGCCGAATTGGATCCACTTCAAGATCCGGATGCCATCGGAAAATCTGCTGGTGCTGAAGCCAATCGTAATTGTTAATTTCTGTTTTAGTTTTCACTCTCTTCGAAATTCTATCTGCAATATTTTATCGGTGTTGTTCCTTTTTATTTTTTTTCTCGTCTCAATCTCCTAGTCACAAAGATCAATCAGTTTTGTTGAACATTCCAATCGTCATCTGACCAATGTGCTTATTCCAAGATAAACAGACAAACTGTATATTTTCTGTTTGGTTATGAAGGAAAACCTATCGTTTACGTCTTTCTCATCCGTACTAATCTTTTGTTTTCATTTAACCATTCATTTTGCCTTTTTTTCTAACGCTACAAAATATACATCTCTATTTATGACAAGAATCTTGCGTTGTTTAAGGCATATATTGTCAAAAACATATACATATATATGCAGAAAAACAATCAAAATATTTTGATCTCAATTAAATACTGTTGAAAAAGATAGACAATGGAACGAAATTCGTTTAAAAAAGATAAAAATTAATGTCGAGGATAAATCTGACAATTCTTCTTACGACAATCACACTTAGGCCTAAAAGAAAAAAAATAATTGATCATCGACCAGGCTCAATTGAATATTACCCGGTAGCATTGTTACCGAATATTAATGCTTTGATGTCGTGTTCTGGAAATTAAAAGAGATCTTTCAGAACTATATGATTGCGTAGGATATTCTTACTTTTATGGCAAACAGTTGCACATGATTTACAGATCCCTAAAGAAAAAGATAAAGTTAATCTCTCTCCAAGAAAAAACGATTGTCTTACATCTTAATGGTTTCCCATCAGTTAAACAAGTATAACATTGAAAATAATCGACTTGGTGTGGTTGACTCGGATGTTCTTGGAATACTTGTCTGAAGCATGTCTTCGGAACTTCACTTTCTAATACAACATCACCATGAATGACAACGAGTGTGCCACGTAACTGATGCGGAGAATTCAATTACAGAAGAAAAATATGAATCATCACTTACTAATTTATGTTCTAATATCGGTCGACAATTGGTTGACACAGTGAGTAAATCATCATCATCATCATCTTCGGTCTCCATTCTCTGCAGTCGTCGGATTACTGCTTGGTCAGAAAGATCATCAAGAGGACTAGGAACACTCGAAAGTTTGCATTTTTAAATAAATCAATACTCGTTTTTACTTGATACAGGTAAACATTATCAAATTGCCTAATTTCGCTATAGAATCAGATTTTAATTGAACGAGCTCATGCAGTACAGGTAATAATACTTCCATCCTAGATACGATTACTGAATACAATTTCCTGTATTAATTCCAAATTGCTTACGAATCTTCCGGACGCATTAATTTCACAGCAAATTGTTTATCTTTGTTTTTATATAAGAAATCTTCTTTCCATAAAGTCACACGAACTTGTGTGGAAACAGCACCAAAGTTAGATATATGTTCATTGAGATGACTAAATTCATTCAAAAAATAATTTGTATTTTTGTCCCAGTTGAATCAAATGTACTTTTTATATGCTTCAATAAAGAGAATTTGAACATTATGGATTTCTTCGTCAAGTGCATTAATTTCCCGTTTGAACTGTTCAGTTTTCTGGTCCAACTCTTTCTTGTATTCTACGAAAAGAATATTCAAACAAAAAGAACTCGTTCATGTTCGTCTTACCATCTTTCGGCAATCTCTTTTCTTGTAATTCAACTACAGCTCGATTGAATGCTTGTTCAATATCCATTTTCTTACGTTTATACCGACTATTCATATCATTTTCACTAGTTAGATGGTTTGCCAATGATGTTACCAATGTATCTACAAATCACAATTCACAAAAAGCAATACTAGATCATCGTTATTTTACCACGAAAAAGTTCCTCAAGAATTGTTCGGATGGAAGTATTACCGATTTGATTAACGACTGAAACGGAAAAAAGAACTGTTTATTCACCTAAGAAACAACAAAGAATTACCTTGAGTAGCAAATGATTTCGCCTTCTGTGCCTCAGCTTCTTGAATAGATTTGTCGATGGTTTCTGAAAGACTAAATGATTATTTCGAAAAACAAAATCAAATGAAACATCAAACCAAGTAGACTGTTTCCAAGAGCATCACGTTGAATATCTTCTTGTTGTAAATTCTTATTACACAATGGACATCGATGAGCAGCATTGACAGATTCTATCGATGAAGAACAGAAAACATCGGAAATTTCCTTATTTCATCTTTTCGAAGTTTTACCTTTGATACAATTCTCACAAAAACGATGAAGACAACTCGTTACCCAAACGTCTTTCATAGTGTTCAGGCATATTGGACAATTGAATTGCTCTAACAATGGCTCAGGCTGAAGAAGAAAAGACTAAGAACCCGGTAGTTTTGTTAATTGTCACATACGGATATCAAACAATTTGTGGACATGGCAGTTGCCATTCTTTGCTGTTTCTTTATCTTAAACAGAACAAAAATATTCAAAGATTTTTCCATGAAAAAAGCAAACATCCTTCATTTTCTTTTCTTCCGATAAAAAGTAACTCGCTCTTATTTGTCGTGCAATAAAATAACATCAACACGTGCGTCTGCGACCGACAGTTTTGATTTTATTCAGAGGGCAGTAGTTCACTACCACACATATACACATATTAAAAAAAAGACAAATTTCAATTAAGCAACAACGATTTCGATATTTGTACTTTGACTTGTTATACGATAATAACATAACTTGTGTCGATGGCTGGAATACACAAATGGAATTTCGTATTTAGGTAAAACACATCTCTGACACGTGCTTTGACGAAAGCTACAGTTCGATTATCGCTTTCATTTATATTCATGAACATCGGCTTGCCATCGGATCTACATATGATCTCAAGAAGAAGATGTTTGTATATACATATATATGTATAATGTGTTTAAAATTAACAAATGACGAAGAAGAAAAAAAACCCTATTCGTTAGATGTATGTCATCATCGAAATCAAACGCACATCAGCGTCTGTTAAAAGAGAAACAAAACTTTATTTTTTCATCAGGTATTACTATTTCGTACGTTTGAAAGTGAATGTACACACAGAAAGAGAACTTTCAATTATCTGAACGTGGAGATTTGAGCATGAGACTTGTACGTTTTGCTGAAGGTTGATCTATCGATACAAAATTCATAAGAAATATTGCATGAAGATCATTTCGAGAAGTCTTCCAACGAAACTCTTCGTACTTACCCTCTTCGCCTGCCGACTCATCAGCTGATCGTTTCGAAGCATTGCGTCTAGACATGAGCAAACGAGAAAATTAGATCATATTCATAGAAATACGAACGATGTTGGAGTAGATGTATCATCTCCATTCGATGTCATTTCGTTGAATACATCTTCGTTATTACAGTATCGTTTGAGTAAATGACGCTGTTTCACTGCTAGATCTATTTAAAAGTGTAATTCGGATTACGATAGAATTAAAATTCTGGTATTTACCAGGTGCAATATCGTGAACGAATTTCAATAATAAACTAATGATTTCTTTCGATGGTCCTTCTGACGATTGAACAAGCTGTTGAAGTGTATCTGAAGAATATATGAGTGAATAGGGAATGTAATCGTTGATATCCTACTGAAAACTTGATTTATATGACATTCAATGACAATTGCTTTATATGAAGCATAGAATTCTTGTCGAATGGTTGTTCGTAGTTTGGATTTGATATAGACGACATCCTTAGATATGGAAAACTAGTTTTGGACAAAACAAAAGCAACAAATGGACTAACGAGATAATGCTAAAGGAAAAAACAAATGAGAAGAGTTCGTTTTGAAAAAATTTCTCTTACGAAAAAAGGAATAATAAGTTCAATTGCTCGATGAAATTGTCGTGCATGATCAATGAATTGAAGAATATAACAGTTCATCAATCTAGTCGAACGCTCGTCAATCATTTTCTTCATCTAATGAAATTATGCTCGTCTATATGCGATGAAGATAAATCGAAACTTTACGCTTTCGTCTAGTTGGACTTTTGCATTTTGACAGTGTTCACTGATCACTTTTTTTATATCTGTAAAAAGCCGTTCTTTGTATCCTTTACACGTAGTTGTGTAAATATGACTAAATATACAATCGAAAAACTTCTTAGAAATGGTTCGTTGAAAATAATTTACTGATAAATCGTTTCGTATGACGTTGATTCGAAATTCTCCATTGTATTCTGAAGACGCTGTCGGAGAAATCCACTAATAGGCGTCCAAGCTTCATTTATATATTCTTCTTCGGTATATTTCCTATGTACTACGAAAGTATCAGAGTTAAAAAGAAATGAAAGCTCGTTTACATACAAAATCGAAGAAAATTATAACCTTCGGTCATGGTTTACACGTTCAATAAACTCTTAAATGAATTCGAATGATTCGAAGTCAGAATGTTGATTATGATCAAAGTTACTACTGCATTGTCGTAGAAATGACATGAATACAATTCGTTTCAATAGGAAACGTAACAAGTAGAGGGCGTCAGTTGTCATAGAACTTTCTTTTCATCATGATCCAAACAACAATCATTTTATTTCGTGAATAGAAATTGAAATCAGCAGAGAAAAACGATCAATCGCAAGTCTATCTTAATGATTAATGAGCATTTCTCAAGTAGTTGATCAGCCAACAATAGGTGTGTGTGTAACAATTCCTTTATTATTAACGATCACTCGAACACGACTTGTACTGTAGTCCAGTGTAACTGGTGAACCTTCGAGTATAGTCACAACATTAGTAAGACCTAAGAAATTGATTAATAATGAATTTATTCACACATCGATGCAATCTTTACCTGTTTCCTTTTTAATTACTTTCACGGCATGTTCACCCTTCTGACCAACCAATTCCGGCCACTGAGTTTTGTTCGCTGTTGGTTTATTCTCTAAAATATGTATTCCATTTTTCCTATCGATTCAGCGTTCTGTTTACTTTACTTTTCACACGAATAACTGGTACACTGATGAATTTAGTCCGTTGAGCGCCCAAAGGTATTATTGGTATATGCACATCATTGATATATAACAGTTCGTTTTGTTTATTTCGAATCGCTACATTGATAGAATATGTATAACCTTTGGTAATTTGAGATGGAAGATATTTAATTGCAAATGCAATTGGAAATCGAGAAGCTTTTTCTGTTCCTTTGGCAATAACTTTAGCGGGAGCATCAAGTAAAGACACATCTTGTAATTCTACCGTTACTTTAGCACCGCGTTCAATTTGTACTCTCGAATTCTCAGGAAATAACACCCGACCACGAATAACAAGTTTTTCTTCCGCTTTAGATGTTGGTGCTGCATCTAAACGAAATCAACACACATGCAATTGAATCGCACAGAAGACAAACAAAATGTTTGACATACCGGTCAATGCCAGTACACAAACAATACAAATAAAGAAACCGATTCGACGTAGTGATTTCATGCGTGAAACTAAAAGAGAACAATAGATCTTAATAAAGATTCGATGCTAACCAATTCGCGTTTTATACCGTCTCGTGAAATCTAATAGTGTGTTAAGATAAGATTATCTATTGGGGCGAAAAGACACTTATTAAAGAGAAACAACAAAGTGATGAGTATATATTTCTCTATTTAGGTTATTATTGAAGCAAAGAAACGTGATAGATCATTTGCCAACGAGTAACTACCGAAATGTCTTATATTTGAGAGTATTAATCGAAAAATACCATTTTTAACTTATCATGTCTCTTAGCCCGACTAAAATCAAAGATTTTGACACAATATCAAATACAATTAGTAATATACTATTGATGTGATAGATCAAGTATGTGTTATAATATATATAATTTCTTTTTATTTATATTGACATGCGATTACATTGAACTATTCGATTTCCTGTATGATAATCGTTTCTTTCCGTTGTTCTTGGTATAATTCTATGTTTTATATATTTTGAAACATGATCAGATCCTAATCGACTTTAATCGTCTATCAAAAACTGTCCTATCCGATGTTACAATATCACACGTGACTCCGAGTTCACTATAAGTCACATCTGTTCCACCGTACTTTCTGTAACATTTATGTCGAACTATTTATAAAGAAGAAAAAAAGAACACTGTCGTTCTTTGAGTAATAAATCAAATTGTTTCGATGTTTTGATTGTGTGATTGATAATCGTTTCTTTTTCATCGCTATAAATAATAATCCTTAAGATAGAACCTTCACATCTGCTATGATATATCGTGACAGTTTCAAACAACACTCGGTTAATACTATCCGAGCTCATTAAAGTCACTCGTTCAAGAAAGAAAGAAAGAAAGAGCCAGCATTTATCATGATCAAAACATGGATGAACCAATTAGAAACAACATGTGGTAGGGATTCGTTGACAAAGATAGAAAATATAACAAACGTAGTATGTCTTAAGCCATCATTTGACGCCATCTTCTGATCATAGTTCTATTAGGAAAAAAAATTAATCATCGTCTTTTAGAAATCGGTTGGTTCCATCTGTCGCACTCTATCATCATCCTGATTGCTACTTTCTGCCTGTTCAAGACCGAACGAGACTTAGCCCAGCTAGACGCCAAACCTTTATCATCCGTCTATTTGTTAAGGATGCGTCAATCAAATCGCTAAAAATACAACCTGTATTTGTTGTTCGTCAGCGCTTTCAGTTTTAATATCGACGAAGAACATGTTGATATGATGAATATTTTTCGTAAATAAAAGAAAAACACAAATTCATCCTATATGAAGCAATTGAATGATTTTAGGCTCGTATTTATCTGGTGAAAGTCCAGCAACAGTGTCTGATCTTGAATCAAAAGGTAAAATTAGGTCTTGTGTTCGATAGAGAATGGAGAAAAAAAGATTCTTCTTTTCTCTTCATGTGTTCTTTCCAGAGTTAAGCAGACAGGATGCTCTTGAACATCGTGATTCATGTGAATCTTTCTATTCCTGCCGTTCTCTCCCGGGTATTTTACTTTTCTTCACCTATTAAATCATTTCACCACTATTCCTCTACCACCTAATTATGATTTGCTTAATCTTTTCAATTAATTTTCAATACAGAATTAAATCTCATTCTGTTTTTCTAGAAACTCATCGAGATAATGATTCATTTTTAATGAAAAACAGTATCAGATCCAATGGATACGCTAGTAAGTTCTTAGAAATTAATAATATATGTTTATCTCTGTGATTTACATATTTATTAAACATTTAAAAGGCAATGTCTTTCGTTCCGTACGTCATTTTTTTCTTATATAATTAGCAGATGATATTTGTAACGGCAAAGCAAACGTACTCAATATGAAATGTTAAAAGACCGGAAGAAATATGTAAAGAGTCATTCATTCATCACTCAGTCTTTTCGACTGAAATATTTGCGAGAGAGAGAGAAAAAGAGAAACTAGTCCGATGGAATGATGATTATTTGTTTGTATGCTTTTTCTTTTTCTTATCATATTACTTCTTAGGTTTTTTTTCTATTCAACGGTATAGAATGGGGTTTTGTTGATGAATCCATTCTTTATCTTGGTGTTCCTTTATAAAACATTCGAACGAGAGGATCGTGGGGAAATTTAGTTGTATCTTTTCGACTACAAAATAATGCTGTTTCTCAAGAGACGAACAAGGCGAGCTTTTTCTTTTCTTTTTCAATAAAGAGAGCTAATCAGTCAGAATATATCGTTCAGTCATTTCCTTGATAGTCGAACATCTGATGCTCGAAGGAAAAAAGAGAAAAACATTGATCAATGTGAGTTTTAGGTGATCGACAAGCAATGAATGCAAATCGAAATCAAAAACAGCATGACATAATCGTTGATTCAGTAAGTTGACGAAAATGATTTGCTAATCTGAGCATTGATTTTAGAATTATGTTCATAAGAAAGTACCGATCGTGCCTGTTGATCGCTCAAAATATATCTACTATTATGGAAAACTTCTTCCTGTCGATTATATTCTTGTTTATACGCGTTACCATTCGAATCACTTTCGACGAAGAGCTCATCGATCCAAGCGCCAACATGAAGAGTATCGAGAGTTTTTTCAAGATCGTCTTAGAAAATTAGGTTTCATTGTTGTTGAAGAGCGACTAACTGACGAAGTTTGTAAAGCCAACTTTGTTTCTCTGTCGAGAAACGCATTTTCAACATTCTATTCTTAGGAAAATGATCTTCTAAATCTGCGACAAGCTGAAAACTCCGCTGATATTTCTGATAACAACAATAATACAAATGCAGAAAGTAATCACGTACTTGCTCGTGGCTTTTCAACGTTACAGCGACATGTGTCAATACGTTTACAAAATATCAGTTCACATTTAAAAAAAGATTCCACCGATAATCGCAATAAGGCTATTGATGAAGAAGAATCTGTTCAATTAGAAGATTCCAAAGAGAATATCAATCGAGAGAATGGTTGTCGAGTATGTGATGTTTACACAAATCGATTAGGAATGTCATTGTTGTTTAGAATAAAAGAACATTTTCGAGCGAACGTGATGATGAATTGAAACAAGATGAAAGATATTTTGTCAAAATCCATGCACCTTTCGAAGCTTTATTAGTATTAGTAAGAAGCGATTGTAATCAATCGAATGATGTTTTATCACCTGATTTTGCATTTCTAGGCTGAGAAATTGAAAGTTAAATTACCTTTTAGTGAAAATAAAGCACCATTGAGACCGGGATTATTTGATCATGGTCTACCTTGTCAATTTACTCGTCTTAATCCAGCTGAGTTTCCTCCACCACATAATGGAAAAACATACTTTACTGCTTGTTATCAAAAGAGCCTTCACTACAGGTAGGTTTTAATGTGAATGTACAACGAAGAGAATTTCCGATATCGAAATCTTCTAGATTTTCGGAACATTTCGGTGATGTTAATCAAGTATTTCGTCCGGCCGAACGAAGTCGTTTAGTCTATGAAATTCTTCTCCGTTGTCCGTATAGATCGCCTGAGCCATTACTAACTGGTAAGTAGGAATGAACTCAGAATCGTTTTTCTTTTATGCTACAACGGCAAACCTTGTTAGCATTCGATGAGAAGAGAACAATACTTGATCTTTTTAGACAGAATGCTTGTTTTATTATTTAACGATCACGATCGTAAGTAGCTTGCAACTCGAACTTGTAATACTTGCCTGCGACCACTAATCTCATTTGATTGTTTTAACACTGATTTGAAGAACTAGATTTTTAGATTCATTTGTTCTTCTTTTATAATTGTAGCGATTGATGAAATTGAAAGTGAACCACCGGAAAAGGATTCCACTGCACCAAATCCAGTTATGAATAGCCGACAATCACAAGCGAGTGAAAAGCAAACATTAAAGATCGAAGAAGCTTTCACATCGAGTACACGAAGATCAGGTAAAACTAGATTTGGTAAATGAGGAAATATTTATCTTTACATTCGTTTTCTAGGCATGAAAGATACAGGTAAAGAGTAATACAACATGCGATCTTTTATTTCATGGTGTTTTTCTCATAGGCATCGAAGTTTTACTTGAAGAAGGTGTTTACGAAGCAGCATTTCCATTACATGATCAGCTAATTCAGGAAGAAGATGCTGGCGAACCTGAAACATGGAACGATCGAACGGTATATCATGAAACTTGGCACTCATCTATGATTTCTTGTTTTATTGATTAGAAATTATATCATCGTTGGGCAAGGTTCAGTAATATATTTCGCGTTCAGCCTATTCGAGCCATTCGAGACTATTACGGTGAACGTTTAGCATTCTATTTCGCTTGGCTTGGATGGTATAATTCACTATTGACGGTTCCGTCGATTCTCGGAGTCTTTGTTCTTCTATGGGGCCTCTTGTCAGTTAAATATGACCAACCAACATTAGATATATGTAATCCTACTTCCAGTTATTTAATGTGTCCAAAAATTGTAATGAAAGACGATATGTTATTCTCGCTCAATTTCATTTATTATTTCAGGATCGGCAAGCATATTGGTTTTTAAATGAGACATGTTTTAATGCTAAAGTATGATGAAGAGAAACAATTTTATATTTACTTCATTTCTTTGTTAGATATCCTATATTTTTGATAATTCGGCTTCGGTGGCTTTTGCTATTATCATCAGTATCTTTGCCGTTAGCGTGAATTTTCTCTGGCAAAGACAAGAGTATCGATTACAATTTGAATGGGATATGGTAAAGAAAATAGACGAAACTAGAGTAAACTATTTTTACTTTATTAGACGGATATTACTGAAGATACCGAAACTTTGCGACCGGATTTTGAACGGCGTGTAGAAAAAACAATTATCAACAAAGTTACAGATAAATTTGAACCTTATGTACCGTTTTATAAACGTCTTATCAGTTATATGTACGTGGAGAATCATCGTATTGTCAAATTGAATGAATAACTTTCTTTAGGTCATCATTCTCAGTTGTATTATTTATGGTATTACTTGTTCTAGCTGTTGTTGCTGGCATTGTTGTCTATCGGTAATGAAAAAATGGAGTATTTTTGGTAATAGTCAATAATTTCTATTGATTAGATTAAGTGTTTCGGCAGCATTTAATACAATTGATCGAGGAATGTGGATTTATCGTTGGAAGCCAATCATTGTCCCAATCACTGGAGGTTAGAACGTAAAATCTTTATTAATATTTCATATATCGAGTTCTTCGTGTAGGTCATCGAGACCTAAAAATATGAAACTAAGATGCTTTTCCTTATATTTTTCTTCTATTTCCCTTTCAGCTTTAATCAATTTGGTCATTATTTTAATTTTACAATATTTCTATGAAATTCTGGCTATATGGTTAACGAATGCAGAATTACATCGCACTGATAAGACTTATGAAGCGAGTCTAACAATAAAGATGTTTCTCTTTCAATTTGTGAACTATTACGCCAGTATATTCTATATTGCTTTGATAAAACCGTTGATTATCTACAAACCAACGCATCTTGATCATCATTCGAGACCGTTTCGTCTAGAAGAATGTGATGTCAGCGGTTGCGTATGGGAGTTATCGATCCAATTGATCATTATCATGGTCGGTAAACAACTGATATCGAACATATGGGAATTTTATTTTTCGAGATTATGGAACATGTGTCGAAAACGTATTAAATTTCGTCAAACCGTTCGTCAAATCAACAAACGGAATGCTAAAATGAAGCAAATGCATGACCAATCTTTAAACATGAATTTGACACGTTCCTACGAAGAAGACTTTCTTTTACAACCATTTGAACTAACAACACTTTTTTATGAATATTTGGAGATTATTTTACAATTCGGTTTTGTCACATTCTTTTGTTTATCATTTCCTCTGGCACCATTATTTGCATTCATTAATAATATTTTCGAAATACGTATCGATGCATTGAAAGTTGTCAAAGAATTCCGTCGACCTGTTGCACGTCCCGCGGCGGGCATTGGAACATGGAATTCGATTTTAGCCATCATGGCAAAAGTAACTGTTCTATCCAATGCATTTTTGATTGCGATCACATCGGAATATATTCCTCGACATGTTTACTATTGGACAATCGGAAATTATTCATTAAATGGTTTCCTTCATCATACATTAGCACCGTTTCATCCAAGTGATTTTCCTCCCGCAATCAATCGCACATCACTCGAGTGTCGATTTATTGAATTTCGTTTGATTGATTTATCAAAACAATCAACGTTTTTCTTACCATTTGCACAATCATATCATCTATCACATTTTGATTGCAATTCATCGTTAGCAAATGAAATACGCTCACAGATTGATTTTTCTACCTGTTATTATAAAGATTATCGACTTGTAAGTCGTATTATCGAACGAGCCAACTATTTTTCTATTTTATTCGTTTTCCGTCATAGGATCATACACATAATTATGCACGGTCGTATATGTTTTACTACGTTATGGTAGCAAGATTAGCATTTGTCATTATATTCGAGGTAAAATCATAGTTTATTACACGACTGTGTCAGAATAAGTCTTCTCGTCTCGGCGGCGTTTTTTGCTTTAGCACTTTGTATACAGTATCCTGTTTCTTATTCGAAACTTTATACCACGTGGTCCGCGAAGCATTCGAGCTCAACTGGAACGATGCCGTTATTTAGTTCAACAAATGTATTGGTATGTCTGACAGATCATCATTTATTGCATAACCGAGAATGTGTATTTCTTAGGGGTGCCGAATTATACGCCCAGAATCCAAATCTGATAAAAAAGGATGAAAACCGCGTTCGAGTTGACGAAGCTGATCATGATCAACGTCGGCAGAGTATTCTTCCTCCATTGATGACACCTACGAATGATTTAACTTTCACTGGAACTGCTGGTTTGGATGTGTAATATCAATTCGATTTCATTCTGCTCAATGGTACATGTTGACAATCATCTGATTAGGTTTATTTCACTTTCGTGATACAGTTCTGAACTCAGTATGTTGATGTTGTTAATCTAATTTTGTTTCGAAATATACATATCTCTTAGTTGACATAAGAATTTTATTCGGCATTTTGTGTACAGAAAAAAGATACAGATGAATCATTCGTTTTAGACATACGATATGTTTTGTGAAAGGAAATCTGCAAGATATTTTGTTAGATCTAACTGTTGGAAATTATGTTGACTGGGAATATCTAAGTTTTTGCGAATAATTTTTCGAGCGATTTCGGACAATTTCAATGGTGTTGATTGCAATTTGTTGATTCGTGTTTTAAGCAGAACTGTATCGTCATTTGATTGCTCCGCAGTAAATTGTGAAAGAAATTTCTGATTAATTATGGAATAAAATTGCTCAATGTCATAAAAATAGCGAATCAATTGAATAACATTGAAAAAGTATTCGCACACGGTGATGTATTCTTTGTCTTTTCGGTTGACTAACACAATCGTATCTGGATAAATGGAAATGGTATTCAATAAATCGATGATGAATTCCGTTTTATCAGTTATTGGTGAACAATTGTATTCAAGTAAAGTTAAGTAAAATAATGGACAATCATTGACCAACGTACCCGGAAATATAGGCAATTTCGAGTCGTGCAAACGCGCACCTTTCTCTAATAATTGACGAAGATGTTGAACATCAAGATCATGATGATGATATTGTGCACGTTGATAGAGAAGATCGAGTAACGTCGATCCACAATGTAATTCATTGATATCTGGATTTGTTTTCTAAATAAAAGAAGACAAAAATAATGATGAAGAGAAGTTTGTCTTATTCAAATGAACTTACCAGCCAGTAATCAATAAAATATCGAGCAGCATGTTGATCGCCATGTCGAACAACTGTGTGCAAAAAAGTGCCTTTGGGTTCATCAACTTGCTCATAAGTACATCCATTTTGCATTAGAAATTCGATTATATCTAATGATTTTTTACTTTTTACCAAGCAAGCATAATGCAAAGCTGTATATCCATGAAGACATCGTGCTAGTATATCAACTCTATAATTTGAAATTAAGTATTTCACCACTTCTAGTTTGCCTTGCATGCATGCGATTAATAATGGTGATATCTTCGATGGATTACTCTGATCATTCAGTAAATCTTCATGTTCACCTTTATACAAATCGATCAAATCGAATTTATAATCTTCATCGATTTTTGATAATAATAAACCAGTATGAATAGGTAAATAATTCTCACTATCGCGCACATCGATTCGAGCATTGCATAGAAGAAGATACTGAACAAGATCGTAGTCATTGCTTGTAAATGCGTAAAACAATGGTGTTTGTTGATAAAAATCGAGTACGTCAATGCTCAAACCACCGACTTCAATTAAATAGAACGCACATGTCATAGAGCCGCTTTTACATGCTAAATGCAGTGCTGTCTGTTGTTCATTATTCACACCGTTAATATCAGCACCGTTCTTTAATAAAAGGTAAACAATATCTGCTTGTTGAAAATTCGCTGCTAATAGTAATGGTTTCATTCCATCAGCTGCCGATTCATTGATGATTTCTTTACTTTCTGGTTTCGAAAGAAGACACTTCGTTAACTGACAAGCATTTGTAGGATGTTGAACAGCCAAATGCAATGGTGTATCACCGATAACGTCCTGAATATTAATCTTCACGTTATTGTCGATCAAAAGCTGAACAAGTTTGTCATTTCCGGAACTTAAGGCATAGAAAAGACAATTTCGATTATTGGCATCCAATGCATTGATATCGATTTTTGATGACTTGAGCAATAAGGAAACTAGTTCATGATTGCCCAATTGACATGCAACATGGAGAGATTGTCGAGAAAAAATATCCTGTTTGCTTAAAATAACATCTTTTTCAATCAACAAACGACATAGATCGTTGGCTTGATAGACTGTACATAACATAAATGGGTCAATTAGCTGTTCAGTTCGTTTTTCGAAATCGAAAATGCCATTTTTATCATTGAGTAACAATTTTAACATATCTGAACGTTTAGTTGTGTTTCTTGACATACAAATATAATGCACAGCGGTATTGCCATTCATATCGCATCCATCTCGTTCTAAATTTCGATATTGTAACAAATATTCAATACCATCGAGAAAACACTCATCAATGGCAATCATTAACGGTGTTCGTCCGATGATTGTGGCCTTATTTAATAGATCAGGTTGATGTTCGAGAAGAAGTTGCATCAGACTGAGATTATGACTTAAACACGCATACGTTAATAAAGTGCGACCTTGATGATCCGATTGAGTTAAATCAATTGAATAGAAATTTTTTTCACAATAATTTAGCAAGTATTTCATCAGGTCATATTGTCCTTGTTGATCATCCTGCGTTATCTCTTCTATATAGGCTGGCATGCAAAGAAAATGAATCGATGTTCGGCCAAAGTCATCTTGAGCCGTAAGCTGGATACCTTTAGAAAGAAATAGATCAACTAAGGTGCGATTTCGTGTCCAACAAGCATAATGAATCGGCTGAATGTTGAATTTATCACATGCATTCACACATGCACCATGCTCAATTAAATCTTGTGCTAATTGTGTTGTATGCTTTGCTCGGCATGTCCAATGTAGTGGCGTGGATAATTCCGTTGATATCATATTGACTCTCGCACCATGATTTAACAAGAGTCGAAGCGTATGTGCATACGAAACGAGTCTTTTGGGAAAATATTTTGACCAAAGACAAACTAATTGAAGGCCTGTGAGGTTACGAATCAATTCTTGTTTGTTTGTTTTAATGTTTTCATATACTAATGAAAATGTTTCATTGATATCTTGCTCATTTTGAAGGTATAATAAGCAAACTTGACTAAAACCATAGACACATGCTTCATGAAATCCGCTCATTGTTGATGAAACACGTTTGTCTTGCTTGTAATGGTGAACATTTTTTTCTAAAAGATATTTCACCAATTCATACAACTGAATATCATAGAGAAATCGTAAGAGTGTATCAACTTTATCACTCGATGTTCTATCATTTAATAATGTCATGTAAAAGTCATCTAGTTCAGTAAATAATTCTTGCTCCCATAGTTTGACGAGATAAAGAAGATCCGGAATCCAATCTTGAATGTATTTTGCTAGAAAGAAAACGACAAAAGTAGTTAACATGTCATGTGAAATCATTACACTTACCGTCGATAATATCTGATTCAGTTAGCTTACGTGACAGCTCAGTCGCATCTTGTAAATAATTGTCTTCTGTACTTAATTTCCAAAAGTCATAAATTAACGAGATTTTATTCGTATTGAGTAACATTATTTTTTATTCGTTTTTTTTTTAATATAACGGTCAAACGACATATTGATTTGATATATTTTGGTAGGGAATATTTATATTCCAAAACGAAATAAACGACGTCATTTACATTATTTTAGTTAATTGTTAATTGAATGAAGCACGTGAACACATGTTTTTTTTACATACCTTTAGTTAACGAAACATATGACTGGTGAAGACACGCGTTTACATTTGTCGAAATTTTGCGCAATTCGAATACGGGCCTATTCATGACGTGCTTTTCTTTCCGATGTGCATGAAGTAACAGTCGAACACAAAAATAACGGCAAAATTAGTTGCTCATTCAGTACAACAGAGGAAACGAAACAGGAATTTTTCGCTCGACATTCTTGTTTCTTTCTCTATTTATCATAGTAATCATGTCATAGACACTGATTTGTCTGGTAAACGTAATTTATGGCAGGGCAATGCGTTTTCTATGTCTTGATCACAATTAAGAGAAATTTCTATCGCTAATTGTTTGAAAAAAAAACCAAAGAAAATGTGTGAATATTCTCACACATTCATATAACAATATTTTTAAAGGGCAATACGAGTCCCGATCTACATGAAATGCGCTATAAAGAAAGAGAAAGCTGCTTTCAAATCATCAATTTAACAATAACAAGAAAACCAAACAGACAGGTTTTTTAGTATCAGCGTTCGCTACAACAGACTTCATAGTTGTATGATATGAGCGTTACCAATCAAGTTTTCCTTTCGCTACCCATCAGTAGGCTTTCCATTCCAGTGTAACAAATAAGTTTTTCAGTTATCGAACCGCTTGCTTTGCTGTTAAAAGTGACCTTTCTCAATGGACTGTACTCTAGTGAAGAGCAAGTTTTACATGACATTTCTCAAAATTCAACATGAAAGTAGTGATATTGATTGTCAAGTTGTCTCGATTTTAATTAACCAAGCGAGAAAAAACAAAGAAACGAACGAACAAAAAAAGGAGAAGACACAATAAAAGAATATGGGCGAAACAAGTCAACATTTTTCTTACACAAATATACATAAAAAAGTAGCATGTCCCAATCTAAACAAGTCAATTTGATTTGACTCAACAAATATGTAAGGTCAAAATACCCGTAACTGAAAACTGTGACCGAAAACGAAAAATCAAAGTCGAAACTGACAGCAAGGCAGTAGTGTCAAACTTGAATTCAACTATTCAATTTTCGAGTTATACACGCATGATTATTCTATGACATATCGAAAGAGTGGTTGTCGTCGGTTAATACGAAGGGCTTACTTCGTTAGCGCACTGCTGGTACATTTTCCATTTCCAGAGGAGTTACCATTCTAGAATGGAAGACAAGATTGTGTAAATTACGATTTTGAAGAAAAATTTTTGTTCTCAAGAAATCTATTTTTGTGGCCGCTTTCGACAATAGATGTGTATTTGGCTTACGGTTTTTGATTTTACAGAAAAGAAGTGAATGCAATGGGTGAGGCATACTAGTGTTCACGCTTTTCGTTTGCGTTGACCTTCTGGTCGTTGAACAATGACTGAGATTCTGATTCATCTTTGTTATTCACGTTTCTAAGTATGTTTATTACAGTAGTTCAATTCAGAATTTAATTCTATATCGTCGAATAGTGACATTTTCATGGGCGGGATTTATTTAGTACAAAACTTTTTAGCTAAATTTTGTTTCATCGTGCTCCTCACAATTGTTACCTTCGACTAGACTAGACCAAACAGAAAACAACAGAATGAGCGTATTAAGAACGCACCTCTAACTTATTGGGAACTTTTCCAATTGACTGCTCTACTTTGCCGACGAAACAGAATCCTTCAGATTATCTTTCACAAAATTCATACTGCATCGACGATCACGAGGAGCTAATTTCTTACTTGATTTTCGTCGAAAACACGGCATCTAAAGAATGGATTAATCAGATGAAGGCTTTTATGCAATATATTATCACAACTACGTCGAATATATAATGGTTTTTGTGTAAATGACCTGACGACTGGGTGACGCGGATGATTATTCAATAGATGTCAGTAATCATCAGTATTCTACAGACCAATCCAATTCGAGATAGCGGTAGAGGTCCATGAAGTTATTCTTCAATGGTACGAACAGAAGAACTTTTGGTTACCGTTCATTTGTCTACGTTCGTTTCATCTTTAGTAAACCGATACTATCATTTGAATGTGTTTTTAGATGACTTCTGTGGTGGAGTCGTCTACCACAATAGATGATGAATCAATGTCGACTACATTAAAACGACGTCGATCATCAACTACAATTCCAAATGAGACAGACACGGACGAAATGCCGTTTAAACGCGTTCGTTCTTCATCTTCTTCGACTAATCAGTTACCATCCGATACAAATACCCTTCCATCCATGTTCACATGTCTTAATAACATAGTTCAATGTCATCGGAATTTAGTTCGCGAATATGTAGATTTACAAATGTGTGATCGTCCTGATTTATCATTAGATGAACAACGTTTTATTCAAGCCGAAGAAGATCTTATTGAGAAAGTTGAAAAGAATCTCCATGATATTAATCACCTACCATCGACGCCACCATCACGAAACGGTAAACGTCAACGATACCAATCGATGAATTCCACAAGTCAATCTGTTGATCGTGTTAAACATGAAACACTTATATTAAAGCGAATAGATGAATTAAAAGCTGATGGTAAATGGACGAATCAGCGTTTAGCGAAATGTTTAGAGCCAAACAAACGCAAAACACATTGGGATTACCTACTCGATGAAATGCGTTGGTTAGCTGAAGATTTCGAACTAGAGAAACGTTGGAAACAAGCAATGGCAAAGAAACTTTCCCTAGCGGTTCTCAAATATTTTCGTGATAAACAAAACCTTGAAGAGCAACAACAACACGATGAAATCAAACATTTACGTCAACATGCACAATTTGCATGCCGGGAAGTAATGCATTTCTGGAAAAATATCCATAACATCGCTGAATATAAAACAATAACACGTACTCAACAACTAAGAAAATATCAATTAGATTTACCTTTGAATAGCAGTGTCGATCAACCAGAGAAATATTCTGATTGGCTGGTACAATCATTGAGAAATTCGTCTGTATCACATTTAAACAATGAAATCGATGTGGATGAAGAAACCGATGACGAAGAAACTATTGAACGTGAGGAACAAAACGAACCAGATGAATATGATTTGAATGAATTACAAGAATTAAAAGATGATCAACAAGAATCACTTGACACTCTATTGAAACGTCACTATGGAATTGATCTATTAGATTTATCAACGGAAAATGCAGAAAACAATTCCGATGATGGTCAATTGTGTGAAGTATTCGCTGATGAACTCGATGAGCAAGATCCTTCGTCAAATCAAGAACCAATTACAACCGAGAAACAAGTGGAGGATCTTGCGACAGCAGCTGAATCATTTCAACCAACAGGTCTCACGCTCCAGACAACTTCAGTTAACATACCGGTGCCTTTTCTACTTAAACATTCGTTGAGAGAATATCAACATGTGGGTCTCAATTGGCTAGTTACATTCTATGAACATAAACTCAATTGTATATTAGCTGATGAAATGGGTTTAGGCAAAACAATTCAAACCATTGCCTTGCTTGCACATTTAGCGTGTAAGAAAGGTGTTTGGGGTCCACATTTAATCGTTGTTCCGACGAATATTATGCTTAATTGGGAATTAGAATTGAAGAAATGGTGTCCAGCATTTAAAATTTTCACTTATCATGGTTTCATAGAAGAACGTCAAGAATGGTCAAATGTGAATGCATTTCATATTTGTATTACATCATATAAACTTCTCCTGCAAGATACAACACTTTTTCAACGCAAGCAATGGAAATATCTCATTCTAGACGAAGCGCAAAACATTAAAAATTTCGAATCACCACGATGGCAAACATTGTTAAACATTCATTCCCAACGTCGATTATTATTGACTGGCACACCCTTACCAAATTCATCAGTAGAGTTGTGGTCGCTGATGCATTTTCTAATACCAAATTTAATTGCATCACATGAACATTTTCGTGAATGGTTTCCAGATCCTTCAACAGAAACGAATGATTCAATAATAAAGCGTTCGCACAAGATCTTACGTGCATTTGTTTTACGTCGTTTGACAAATGATGTGGAAGAACAATTGCCGAATAAGCATGAACATATTCTAATGTGCCGTTTATCGGAAAGACAAAGAGAATTGTACGAAAATTTCATTCAATGTCAGTCAACACGTGATACTATTCAACAGGGATCTTATGTGTCTATGATGAATATACTTATGCAATTAAGGAATGTTTGTAATCATCCAGATCTATTTGAACCAAGACCAATTATTTCACCATTTGTATGTCAAAAGCATTCGATTACCTGTGATGTACCAACATTAGTTACTGATATTCGATTAAAAAATCCACATCTAGCCTTGAATTCTTCGCGTACTGATGCATTCTTTAGTTATCGAATCCAGTTTGCTTTACAAGCAACTAGAGAGATGATTATGAACGCGATCAACCACTTGCATACGAATGATATGGATGATGATCATCATCCTCCGCGGATCCAATTAACAACAGATATTATCGAACGATATAGAGATGAATCAGTATGGTTTCAGACCAATGGCAATCTAAGAAATCTTCGCACTCGTTCTGGGATAAAACCAAGACTGTTAATTGAAAGGCAATTTCCATTGGATGAGATTTACGATGAGATTTGTAAACAACGTGAAGAAGAACGTTTAACTCGTTACGAACTCTTATGTGAAATAAATGCAGAACGATGTCAAAATCGTCCATTATATGGTTCTGATCTTCTTCAACAAATTGAATCAGCCATGCATCCATGCCATTCCTCAAATCGAACGATATTCAATGGTTATGCATTATGCCAACAAGTTCATCGAAGCTTAACAACGATGAAAGATTATATGTCAATGACAAATGCACTTCGAGCATTAATCAAACCGAATCGAGATAGATTAGATGAATTGAAAGATATACTCGATCGATTTATCCTGTGTACAGCACGTGTATTAGCATTTCCCGTTGAGTTGTCTCGATTGAATGGATTTTATCTAACAACAGAAGCGAGAACTGAAAAACCTTTAATTGAAGTTCTATCTTCGACTGATTTCGATGTTCTCTCATCAATGAGCCATATACAACAAAATATGCTACTACAATTTCCCGAACGACAATTAATTGAGTATGATTGTGGAAAATTACACACACTTCATCAGTTACTTTCTGATTTCAAACAAAATGAACATCGTTGTTTGATTTTTACTCAAATGACCAAAATGCTCGATATTCTCGAAAGATTTTTGAACTACCATGCTTATACATACGTACGATTAGATGGAACAACGCCTGTCCTACAGAGACAATTATTGATAGAACGATTCAATAGTGATGACAAGATCTTCGTTTGCATTCTATCAACACGTGCAGGAGGGATTGGCGTGAATTTAACCGGTGCTGATACAGTTATTTTTTATGATTCGGACTGGAATCCGATAATGAACGCTCAAGCACAGAATCGATGTCATCGAATTCGACAGGTGAAAGACGTTCATATTTATCGGTAAGGATCTTCGTCTTATATGAAATATCTTGAATATCTAAATTATCTATTCTATAGACTCATCAGTGAAAACACAGTGGAAGAAAACATCTTGAAAAATGCCAATCAGAATCATTTCCATGGTGATTTCGCTGTTGATGATCGTAGTTTCGATATGAGCTATTTTCAAAAGGTATGAATTAACCGTATTTTACATACATGTGATTTGCTGTTTTTCCTCTTGAATTACTAGAGTCATATTCGTCAATTATTCCATCAATCACTTGACACTAGTCGATCGCTGAGCACAATTGATGATGATCTAACTGCGACACAGTTTGAAGAGGCTATTGCTTCAGTCGAAGATGACTCAGATCGTCAAGCTGCTGATGAATTAATCAATGAAATGATAAACAATATGCATGAATTCAACGAAGAAGAAACAAATGAAGAACAAATAACTAGCAAACAACATCAACGACAAATGGACGAAGTTGAAGAAGAATTACAAACACTCGATGATCAAGTATGATCTATCGATATTTTGTTCAATCGAACCGAATAAATGCTTTCTTTTTGTCATATTCTAGCTTCGACCAATTGAACGATATGTGTTACGTTGTGTGGAAACCAATCGTGACGAATATGATTTGCCACAAATGAATTTTAATAGCCATGTAATTCGTGTTATCCAATTACTTATTGTAATCTTGAGTTTTATTCATACTTCTAGTTTGACACGGATCAAATTCGAAAAGATTGGTATTCATCACGTTTGAAAGCATTGAAGGAAGAGGAAGACAAGCAACTTGAACAAGCAGATGATGAAAGGATGTATACATATGCACGAGACAACGAAAGAAAGGTGAAATATAAATATACATATACGTTTGCAAAGATAGTTCGGCAGAGAAGAAAGAACTACAATTAGACTTCTGGAAGAAACGATAATTAAAACACCAAATGACAAACAACTAATTTGTTTTTCGTTTGTTTAGATTTGGGTTACGGAAGATGGGCAGATGTTTGAGGTTTGTATAACTACATTTAGAACGAGTGTTTGAATATTCGGATTTTATTAGATATGGTGTGGTATTATAATGAAATGTTCAGCAGATGGAGAACAAGAATTCTACAATGATGATGAGCTTGATATTGGTTATGAACCTGAAGCAATGCTCATCGAGTCAGAAGAATACATTCGATTCCCATTACCAAAAGGTAAAAGCGAATTACCATCAGTTCAGTTTTTTTTAACAATAGTATCTCTTTTAGCACTTGCTGATGCAACGAATGTGTCCAAAATGGATACGAATATTCTTGTACCACGTTCGCTGTTCGATCGATCGAATTTACTACTGAATACTCAGTCATCTTCGTTATCAACGAATACATTAAACAAATTAAAACAAACGCCAACAAATAATAAAATCTTTCCAGCAAATGTTACCACTCCAACAACACCACAAGCAAATACTAAAGCTCGTCAATTGTATGTTAACAATGGTACAACCACAACTCCACTGCCAAATACTTCGAATTCGAACGTGATTGTTTCGGCATCAGCATCAAATACGCCACGACCTGTCAAACTAGAAGAAATCCTTTCAAAAGATAACCTTCAAGGTTTATTAGAAATCGACAACAGCGATTGGCTTATATCCGAAGATTACAAAGTTTTGGACACCATTCAAAATATTCAGCAATTACCATTATCATCCATGTCATTCTCGAGTACCACCAATGCTAACAAACCACAATCGATGGCGTCCAACACATCTCTATCGTCATCACCATTATTACCATCAACACTGCCATCATCTTCAGCATCTTCATCAATGGTAAACAATACCACAAATGCACTGACGCAGAATTGGGATTTTATTTCTGATAACGTGAATCGTTATTCGCGTGTATTACGTACGCCAAAACAGTGTAAACACCGTTTTGAACAAGTTATCGGTCCACGAGAAGAAGGTCGGGTCGTCTACGATCTCATCAAAAAGAAGAAACATGTCATAAAAGGAGCTGTCAAAGTAAGATCAATGCTAAGAAAGAAGAATCTATTTTCTACTCCGTAAATTTGAATTTGAAGATGTCAGATGACAACTGGCAAATGCTACGTACAAATCAACTATTTGTTCATGACAACTGTCAAAAATTAGCCCAAATCTATCATCAAAAGTTCGAAAGTATTTCTCAATTTGATCAGCAGCTATCATCATTAGTCTATTTAAATAAATTTAAACAAATTCAAGCTGCTCAAGTTGCACATCATCATATGCGAGGTTTGAAGCCGAGCTCACTGCTGCAAGAGAACAGTAAGTAAACTTTTTCTTCGGAGAAGATGTTTTGAATTGTGTTGTTCAGATATCAATATTGATCTCCCATTGGCACCTGGTGACGTTTCATATCAACGGTCAGAACGAGAGAAAGAATTAAAACAACAACAGCAGCAACAGCAACAACAGCAACAACAACAACTGCAGCAACAGCAACAACAACAACAACAACAACAACAACAACAACAACTGCAGCAGCAACAGCAACAACAACAACAACAACAACAACAGCAGCAGCAACATCAGCAGATCACTCAACTTATTACTGGCACTGTTCCTGCACAACAACAAATTCCCACTACGCCCACTAGTATTGAAGCGATCAAACAGCAACAGCTTTCATCTGCAAGTGCCGTACTGACACCCTCAATGAATTCTCGAGTAAGTCGATTTCTTTTTGTTCTTTCTCGCTCAACAACACCCTATTTAGATCCGTCCATCACTATCACAAAATACTCCAACATCAGTCAATGCACCGCCTTCAACACCTTTATCGCTCATTCAAACATCCTCTTCATCCAATCCACCTACACTTCAACGAACTGTTTCAAATAATATCATTGTTACTAGTAACAACCATCCTAATATCGCTTCAACTCGTTCTCAAAGCACCACTTTACCACCTCGATCGGGTGTACGTACTAGAAACTTACTATTTCCATGGGTATAATACGTCTGCTTTTCTAATTTTGTAGCTTCCATCTTCGACGCCTATCAATTCCACGTCTTCATCATCGCAATCATTGATCCCGACTACTACTATTGTTGGACAAAGGCCAATGCAAGTTTTACCACCCAATAATTTGCCTACAAATGATACAAATACATCACAACCAAAACAAACTGGAACAGGTATGAATATATGTGGGTTTTATCATCTTCACGGACTATGTTTTTTCGTAGTTCAAATTTCCGCGAATGACTACCGTAACGTCCGTGGTATTTCACAACAACACCAGCAGCAGCAGCAGCAGCAAACAGGCATAAATGCAACACCAACTACGAATCTTCAAGTTCGTGCACAAAATAGTTTTACTCGAAATCAAACTCAAGTATGTTAAAACTCAACTATTCAAAAAGAAAAGCATCCTGTTTACAATACAATCATTTCCACTTTAGACACCTACGTTAACTACTCTCGAAGGCCGTTCTCAAACTCCATCGTCTCCAAAATCTCAGCCGACACAACCACAACAGCGGCCATCATCAACCACGCCACGTCCACCATCTATCACACAATCTCAGGTTGACTACTCTGTTCAGCAGCAAGTTAAACCTCTCACATCGTCAACTGTAATTCTAATCAGAAAGACTGTTATATCGTACTCTATCTATTCACATTCTAGTCTCAATCAACTCTTCCGATTGCTGTCGTTCGTCCGGCGCAACATCCGCCGACATCAAATACTCCACCAGTGTCAAATTCTCCAACATCACCTTCGAACCTTCCTTCTGTCAATCTCACCCTACCTTCAACAAGTAAGTCCAGTTAGTTATTGACAAATTTCATTGTCTTCATTTGTTTCTACATAGACAAATTAGCTACATCAGTAAATACAACAGGAGGCGCAACAACTATAACAAATAATTCTCCTCAACAACTACGTACGACAACAACAACGTTTCTGCCTAATCAACAACAACCTACATCTCAAACCCAATCAATTCCAACACAAATTCGACAGTTAATTACAAATACGGCTAACAACCCTCTGCAAACACAATCGACAACGAATGCGCAGCGATTAACAGAAGGTCCACAACGTTCACCAACGAATGTAAGTATCGAAAAGCTACCTTCGAATATCTCATCATTGTTGTTCTAGTTTAAACAATTGCTTACATCACGTGCACCCACTCTATCCGGCCAAGTCCGTAATGTGCGTATTGTAACATTTACCCCTGGAACTGCTCCAACAACAGGCATTGCTGATACAACATCGACAACAACAATAAATCCATCCCCAACAACCTTGCAACCAACAAATATTACTTATAATCGCGCAAATTCAACGTCAACATTAATACCACGTTCAACAATTAATATCGAACAAGACATTTCACCTCATATAGCAGCACAAATACAACGTCTTAAATCATTCGAAGTCACAACCACAGATGCTAACGATCCAACCCAAGCACCACGTGCAGTACTTGTTCCAGCACGAACAATATCTGGTGCATCAACACCGTCGACAACAACTGTAGGTCCAACGGCCAAGATCAAATCTACATCGTTAATTGATCCAGCAGCGCTCGGCTTGACAGGCAAAACCTCTCAAGCTAATTTTGTCCTTCAATTACCATCAATAACAACCACACCGGGAGGAGATGATCAAGCAACAACAAATGCGTCTGGATTACTTCGACAAAGTCTAATGCAACAGTTAAATTTAAGGCCAACAAACATAAATCAACGCGCTCAATCACCAACAACAATTTCTACCGCGACAAATTCAATGACTTTGAATCGATTTGTTCCCCAATTTCATATTCGCACCACAGCTGCGCTCAGTTCTTCACTTTCAACGACACAACTGTCAGCTGGACAAGTTATGAACGAACAAATAGCGTCATCATCCCCTCCACCTACCTCATCTTCATCTTCTACGACTTGATAATTGCTTTCTTTCTGTCTTTTTTTTCCTATATCTTCAATGTACAGTTAGTCAGCTTGACCGTTTATTTTTTTTTCTAGTCGAAACCAGAAACAGAAAACTTATTTTTTATTGTGCACGCTAGAGAACGTGTTCTTCATCTTTATATACATGTGTACTTATATATATATATATATTATTGCAAAGAAATTCAAGAAGAAAGAAAAAGATCTTCTCAGGGATATATATGTCTACGTTCTCATTTGTTCGTTTTTTTTCCCAAGAAGATCGACAAATAAACGAAAACTCCAATAATTCATGTTTTTTTTTCTCTTTGATTATTATTAGATTAATATGAAAGAAGACAAATTAATTGAATATTTGTTTCCATCGAAGAAGAAAAGAAAATCAACAAGTGAAAGTTTGGAAGATAAGCAAAAATATGATGCACGTCTATTGGCATTTCTATCCTCAAATAAGGTAATGTGTATGCATATAACAAATTCGGGTGAGATAACATAAAAGTATCAGTTTCAAGACCGAATTCCACAAATACTTTGAGCCAATACGAAAAAGATCTTCGGGAGAAAAGGTGTCCTACTCCTTTAAAGTACACTCTTATTACTTTTAGTTGGATGCAACGTTGTACCGTCGGATTTTATTACAAATGCCTACAAAAATAATCCCACGCATGGCCAATCCATTACTTCTAGCTGATTTCTTGACAAGCTCATATGAGACCCAAAACAATGCATCAAAAATTCTTGCACTACATGGTCTTTACGTATTGTTGACCCAATACAATCTGGAATATCCATTCTTCTTTGGTAAACTCTATGCATTATTAACTGTGGATTTGTTCAGTGCGAAATATAAAGCGAGATTTTTCTACCTACTCGATATATTTCTTCAATCCTCGTATGTTAATCTTCGTTTTCATAGAAAATGAGTTTACTAAATATTCTATTTAGACATTTGCCAGCAAATTTAGTAGCTAGTTTTGCTAAACGTCTTGCTCGATTAGCTTTATTGATTCCACAACATGATCAATGTTTAATCATAACATTTATTTACAATTTAATTGTGCGACATCCGACCATTCGAGTGATGATCGATCGACAATCGACTTCATCAGTCAAAGATGACACGTATGCACCGGAAGAACGAGATCCAAACAAATCAAATGCCATCGATAGTTCATTATGGGAAATCGAAGTAAAATCACGAACCTCTCACCGGACACCTTTGAAAATCGATCGAAATTTCTAGTCACTAACTCATCACCATCATCCCGATGTGGCTACTTGTGCTCTGGCATTGATGTCTCTACGAAAAACGAATCATGAACGAGAGATTCATCCGTTGTTGGAAATCGATTACGATGAAGTTCGTATTTTGAAGACTTCTTTGTCTTTCCTTTACGTTCTTTTCTGTTTAGATGTTTGAACATGATTGCAATCGATCCAATCGGTCTCGGAAGAAAAAAAATAAAACAAAAACAACACCCACTACCGATTGTCCAATCAATTATAATACAGCGATTAGCTTATTTGATTGATAATAATTTCGTTGTTTTCTTTTTATTGCAAAAAGAATAAAGATAAAAACATTCTCTCAAAACGAAGCACCTTGCATTGCACGGAATGGGATGTTTAATAAAAAGAACAAAAAATGAGGTAGCGTATTAGTTCAGATCTGACAGTTAATCAAAGCAAGAAAAAAGCAAGAAGGCAGAAGTTTTAGCTTTAAGGTTTCGGACGTCGATGCACTTGCATAAACTTGGCTTTCTTTGTAACAGGCTTCTGAGGGTTTCCGAACAGTTTATGATATTCCAATAATAATTCTTTCCAGTAAAGTTCGACATTCTCCATTGTGAGCGCATTCCAGATAAAATCGCGTCCTTGTCGAGCAATCTTTGCAACCAAACGGTCATTGTTTTGTGCGAATAATAGAATATCTTTGACTTCATGTAAATCGGTCGAAATTGGAATGTAATGATACCATGGTTCAAGACGTTCATAGAAGAATTCAATCCAATCAGATCCAACATGTAAAACAAGTGAGCCACATAAAAACAAATGACGTAAGCGAAACGATGCAGCTACACCACGAAAATTGAATAAATATTTGAACTGACAGAAATCTTCATGTTTTAATTCACTCGCTGGTGGGTAACCCAATGTGTCTTCGTCCGATTTCCACGCTTGGTTCTTTGTATACTGCGCATCGAGTAATTCAGGACTGTTGCGAGATAATAAAACAAGTGGATCACGTTCCGGCGACGTTCGCGAACCACGAAAGAAACCACGAGATTCTTTTTTCGACCATGGGTAAGTTTGGCGAGCTTTGTTTAGTGTTTGTCTCATAACATCCCATCGACCGATACCTGTTGGATAGACACTACCCAATGCTGGTCCGCCATCCCAGAACGCCCAAGCTGGATAGAGAATGTCTGTATCATGAGAATCTAATGATTTGCTGAATGAAAAGATTGGGATAGTGGGTTGATTTTGTGGCCAATCGTAAGTATTCAATAAAAACTCCATATCAGGTAAGGAGTCGATGATGTTGAGAAGAAAGTGTTCGATACCATGATTTCGCGCTGGAAAAATCAATTGATCTTCTGTTTGACGGTATAAACGATGATTGATGATCTGATAGAGCGTAAGACGATGAGCATGTGCAGTAGCTTCGCTTACAGTTAGCTGTTGTCGTATGCCGTCAATCGATTGATTTTTCCAGTAGGAAAAATCTCGGTCGATTTGCTGATGAAACACTGTCAGATCTGGATCGTCTGTTCGATTCAAATGATCTTTTTCGGCTTGCTCAATCAATTTAATATATTTCTCCCACTGTGCATCCGTGGGCGATAACAATGGCTGATTTTCATCACGAAAATACTTCGTTTTCTCATGATTAATGTCGCCTGATTCATACTCAGGTGAAGTATCTATTTTTGCACACAAGAAGAGATAAATGATAATAATAAGATGCACACCGTGAAATGACATTCTTTTATTCACAAGCAAGCTATTCGAAATGAGTATTTTTTATTCGTTCTTCGGATTGTAACTGCGTTGTATAAATAAGAGATTAATAAATCATTAAAGCGACATCTATCGAAAAACAAATATTGTTGTTGTGTTTTTTTTCTTTTTCATTACAGTTTATTTTCGCTGACTGAAAAGTAAAATAAGTTTTTTTTTGCTCGAGAAAATTGACTTGATTATCTTTTAAAGAAAATTATTCCCATTTGAAGACTGATTGTTTTTTTTCTGGATTTTTTATTCCGTCTTTATGTTGTTTTTGTATCCGAATATATTTGTTTATTTGTTTATGAAAAAATTCCAAGATAAAACGCGTTAGGTCACCATACGATCTATCTCTGCTATCTGCATGGCTTTTACGCAAACAATCTACGACTTTTCTCCTGTTATTTTCTTTCATCATTGTCTTTCTTCTCGATTTCACACATAATGTATTCATTTCAGATTTGTTTTTTTATTATTTAATTTTGTAAATTGAATTTTCAATGCAAGCAGACGAAGCAGAATTCGAAGGAGTATCAAATACATTAGATACTCCATCAATAATGACACCAAATATTGTTCTGCCACTCCAGACATACAAACCGTCATTTCTTTCAATGGATTCCACACCTACAGCTGACAATAATAACACGAATCATAAACCGTCGAATTTGTCTTCTATGGATACGAAGACAAACGGTGAAATGCCATTAACGTCGGCCGATGTGAAAGTATCGAGAATCGAAGATGAACTGAAGCAAAGTTTAAGTGAACCACGTAAGCCAACACCGTCGCCATTTCAAAAAATGTCATCAACGCCCGTTTTCAACTTGGATAAACCAGTTCCTGTCATAGTTACCGATGATGGAATAGCAGTTGAAGTACCATCAACAGCAGATGTATGATACGAGCTTTTAATGAGTCATCAATCACTTTGTATTTGTGTATAGGTTGTTAAAGAACTAGAAGCATTGACAAATGTAAATCCGTTAACGCTTCAAGAGAAATCATTAACCAATGAATCAACTGAACGTGAAGCAAGTACAATGAATGGTGATAATATTCGTTATGATTCTCCGCCAACAACAAATATGGGCAATATTGTCTCTCCGAAGAAGAAATTCCTTATTCGAAGTCAATCCCATACCGAGCCGACGTCATCAATACAGAATAATAATAATATTAATTCTCAATCTCAAAAAAGTGATAATAGTATTTCAAATACACAAAATGGTTTCGATGACGAAAATTCAATGGATGATTCTATGAATAACACTTTTGCACGTATACCAGATCTACACACAGGAACACATTCAAGTGACACTCATGTGAATAATAATCATCAGTTCAAATCTACCATAGATAATTCCAATGATCCAAATATACAACTAAGATTAGATCAAAATAGTTTATCACATTCGCTGAATAAACAACAAACTATTATTATGAACAGTATTAACCAGAATAAACGACCGTATCCACAAGCTAATCTTGGTAGAACATAGATTGTTCGAGTTTAACCGTATATATCTGTTTCTCTCTCTCTCTTATTTTAGGTACGGGTAATCCGGCAATGACAAAAACAGGTACAATAATCATTCCACAGTCATCATTAAATGAGGTGTCATCAAGTGATTTATCAACGAATGTGAAACGTCAAAGAACAGTTCCAATACCAATGAATGCAACAAGTATGAGTTTTCGTTCACCATTTCTATCCTCATCAACATCTGGTAATGCATCGCACGCAATACCATCGACAACAAACAATTCGAATACAAATGTGGGTACAGAGGATCAACGAAAGAAACAAATTCGTGATAGCAATCGTGAAGCAGCACGCCGTTGTCGAGAACGTCGCCGGCAGTACATTGAACAGCTCGAAGGAAACTTAGAACAGTATAAATTACAAATAAAACAATTGAGTGACAAATTAGCACGTGTTGAACGCGAAAATACTCAATTACGAGCAATTCTATCTGAAACGAAAATTCTCCATCCATCCTCACATCTTGCCATCAGTGACTCCCATGTTGAATATACAAATGTTATTGCAGCGAATTCGATTGACCACATTTCCGATTCGAACCATCACGCGGAGAGTGGAGTTATTCAAAGGAACTATATTAATAGAAATAATCTTTAGTCTTCCAGTAATTTTCTTTTTTTTTTAACCATATATGTCCATCAGTAAGAGGATACTGTTTATTTTATTTTATTTTTTTTGAAAAAAACAAATCCATATAGAAAAGGGATATCACAGTGTTAAGCCGGTTTATTCTTTCTTTCTTTCTTCATGTACATTCTGTCTCCGCAGAAAAACCTATTTTCTTTCTTGCAGTGACTTGTTTTTCTTTTTCTTTGTAGTGCTATATTGTCATTGTATATAAACGTAGTAAAACAACTTTCTATCTACTACTACCACTAACTTTCCCCCTTCATTTTATGTGTGGAGCAAAATCAAAGTTTCTATATTTTTCTTGTTTCTGTTTGTCCTGATAGATCTTATTGTATCGCTTGAGCATAGGTGTATATGCGATGATAATTTTTATTTATCTTTTATGCTCTTGGTTATTTGACTGTCATATGTCTTTATATATTTATGTACTCACTTTGCCATCAATATCCTTCATGTTATAAGTATGTTTTTATTTTTTTTTCTGCTCTTGTTTAAAAATATATTGTTTTGTGTATGGAAAAAAAACTGAATTTAAAAATAAAAAAACAATATTAATTGATTGAAAAGTTTGTTTTATTTTTTAGATGAATATGCGATTTCTCATCTTTATTTGTTTCATAGCAAGCGTTTCTTCATCTGTCGATAGATGTAAGTTCGCTTTTTTTATTCTGTTTTGGTTGATTTCATTCGATTATTCTAGTTCTAATCCATTCTATCGATGATTGCTGGGCAATCGAGACAAATAATACCATCACAGATGCACATAGCGCACTGATTAGTTTCTCACCCATACTTGCTGAAAAGATCGATCCTTGTTCAGTGCATATAACTAATCCATGGATATCAGAAATACAAAATGGTTTTGGAGTCTATCTTCCCCATGGTATGGATTGCTCATCGATTATAACTATCGAATGTCTACCGGGCAGCGCTCTCTTTCAACACGTATGTTTTAACATGAGAGAAGCGGAGGAAAGTCACTTGTGAATCTCATTTCAGACAATGCCTTCATCTGTTCAATATACATGTCGAACGAATGCAAGCGGTATCGTTATGCCATGCAATTCGATTTCATTGACATCGAAACGGAATGTCTCTTATCAAGGATCTAGACGGGTCGTCGATGTTCAACTTGTTGCGTTAGCAAAAGGTCCGCTACGAAGATTTGTTTTGCTCAATTTAGTTATCAATGTAATTTGCTATTTAGAACCATGCATGAATAAAGATCTATTCTTTCAATGTCCCAAAGATTATCCTCGTTCATGTATTGCTCGAAAACTTCGATGTAATGGACGGACCGAATGTTTCAGTGGAGATGATGAATATCACTGTGAACGTAAGGTGAAAAGATCGAATAGTTTGTCGAAATTTTCTTGCTTTTAATTTAGATTCTTACGGAGAAGGTTACCTTCCACTGGGACTAATCATTCTTCTGATAATAGGATTTCTCTTTGTCGTTTGTATTGTGTCAACAAGTGAGTTCTTTTTTTCGTATACACTATCCTATCTATTTCTTTTATTTGTTAGTTTTTGCATGTTGTTTCTGTCGGGCTGCATGCCACGCAATTATTCGTCGTTTTCATCCATCGAAAAAACAGAAACTGTTTCAAAGTACATAAATATTCAACTGTCTCCGACTTTTATTCATTGTTTTCAAATATTTAGAAAACGATACGACGATGGTTACGGGTGAAGATGCTGGTCTAATGAGAGGTCTTACCACATCGCATGTCGTCGAGGCTCTACCTCAACAACATGCTGAACCGGCACCATTAATTATCGATTCAACAAAACCTGTTTATCCTCATCTCTCATGATGTCAAACATCTCAACATACATATGTACGAATACATCTAATTAATCAATTTAATGTGGATCTTCTCTTGTCGGATACATATTCATAATCTCGCTGATACTTTTTTTTCTTCTTTTTCCTTTCTCTTTCTTCCAAGTCAGATAATGTTCGACTACTTTTGTGAATATCATTTCTTGATATGTTTTGGCTGAGGGCATTTTTTTTGCTTCCTATTGAATGAATCTTTCACTGAAATGAAATGTAAATGTTTGTCATATCATGAATAAAATCTCTCTCATCTGTCATATAAATAACATATTCTCATGATCTATTTCAGATGTTAGTTTATAGTTTTCTTATCCCTTTTCTATTATTATCACCATTATCGGCTAAAGTCACATATTGTAAGAAGAAAAATTTCTAATCAAGACCAGCGTACATCTTACACTTTCATTTAGTTAATCTCGAGAATATTTATGGACCTTATTGCAACGCACAGAATACATTCACACTTGATGCCGGTGTTGTTCGATATGCTGGGTATGTTATCCAAGAAAGGATTCTCTTGATATGAATATCTGCGGGATTTAGAACACCATGGCTTGGTAAATGTGAACTAAACCTACAAAGTTGCTGTTTACCAATGTTGAACAGTTCATCTCTTGCTGCTAATTTATCAGTCTCAACGAGATTTTATATTCACTTGTTGAAACCACCTACGTGTCGAACAGAATTTGTAATTATTGAAGCTGAAACCGGTGAAATGGTAATAAATCTACTATGATTGAGGAAGAAGCATAAACATTGACTATCTTTACAGATTTCTATTGATTGTAATACGACAGAAGGTGCTGAATACTATTTGGACACGGAACGACTAAAAATAATCTATCATCGATTAGAAAAATTTCCAATCTCGAAGTTTTCAATGGTTGTCACACCATTGAAATTCAAAACACGTAAATATCTTCGAAGAAAGAATAAGACGAGCATTGACTTGCAAATTTCCATTTTTAGGAATGTTTACACCGTGCGGTTTCGATTGTTTTACAGATACGTTTTGTATCGATCGTAGTCTCGTATGTGATCGATATCAAAACTGTCCGAATCGCGTTGATGAATCCCATTGTGAATACAGTACGTTTTACTTTATGACTTCCAACTTTATTGTATCATTTGCATATCTAGGTCATAATCGGCCATCGTTATCGTTTCATGGGAAAGTGGCTCTTTTTGCCGTTCTCTTGATTATCATATCAGTCGATGTTTCATCGATATTGATTTGTTATTTCTGTTGTGGAATCTCCAATCGAAATCGTTCGGGTTCAAAAGATCGAAAGGCCGGTACGTAGAGTCAAACGGCGTTCGTCTTTTATGACATCTTTCTTTTTTTTTCTTCTAGCTCCAACAACTATAGAAGAAGGTGCTGCTCCTGGAACCCCTCTTTTGCAATCAACCACACCTGACGATAATAATTAATCTCATTTTTTAAAAATACTTGGTGCTTATTTTTACCATATCTTTTTCTACCTTTATATTTTCTATCCGACATCTACGCTTTGTCGTCTTTGACCGTGCAGATAAAATAGATTTTGTTCTTTCTCTTTTTTTTTCTACAAATCAGTCAGCCTAGTTTTTATTCATTTCAATTCTGCTTGTTTTCGATGATTCATTTATGACTTGAATGCATTGAATAGACATAAATGACTCGAAAAGCGAATCTCATCCGACTTATTCATCCAGAACTGGTTTCTGAACAAGTCATCATCGGACAGAACGAAATGAATAAAAACAAATGCGCCTCTATTTTTCTGTTTACTTTTCGAAATATTTTTTCATCTGGAGAAGTTTTTCAATAAATTGTCGAATGAATAGTGGTTCAGCATCACTATCGAATCTCATTATTGGATGTCCATTGAAATCAATAAGAAACTTCTCGAAATTCCATCGAATATCATCGGAATGATGTGGTTCGTAGAATATCGCCGTATGATCTTCGAAATCCTTTCTCGGCGATGGTATACATGACTTGAGATATTCGTACAAAGGGTGTTGTTTCTTTCCGTTGACATCCACAAGCCAAAAGAGAGGAAATTTCGGAGTAAAATCATTTCCGGGTCGTACATATTTTAGACCATTTAACAGTTCAAGTTTGCTTTCAGCTGGTTCTTGATAACCGAATTGATTACATGGAATAGCGAGAATGGTAAATAGATTCGTCGAAGCGAACTCTTCTTGTAATGCATTCAATTGAAGATATTGAAATGTAACACGTCAGAATGTCGCGACATTCACAATTAAACATAATTGATTTCTATATTTTGATAGAGATTGTTTGCTCAAATCAAGATCTTCTAGCTCAAAATCGTAGATCGTTCGAGTATGTAGACATGTACGACAACGTGCGAATGGTATACGATTATTTTTGTCTTGAACTAAGGAGAAGAAAATACGATTGTTTTCCTTCGATTAGAAAAACCATTTACAGTATTTCATATCAAGCGTAACGGTTGAGTAGTGTTTAAGAAGATCTGTGATCATATCTCGTTGTAGATACTGGGTTTTTTTCCGTTCGTTGTCGTCAGTTGAATCTTTGCCCTTGACCGCAGTGATAGGTAACATCGACATTTTTTTTTCTCGTCTTTCTCCTTGCGTTTTAATATGTAAGGAAGAAAGAGAACAAAAAGGGAATTTGTATAAAAATGAAAGAGGCTCGTAGCAACGTAATGATTATTTATTTGTTTTTCAGATCACAATGTCTTATCCGCCATTTGAATTAGGAAAAAGTAGATATGACCTCGTAAGACTGGAATTTGTCGATGTTTTTAATGAATTTCTTTATGATTGGTTTATTATTAGAATACTTATTGGGGACGGTTTACACATTTTATGAATATTATCGATCCTCGAACATTGTTTGTTAGCGATGTAAATTCTATTCGGAATATTCTGTAAACGATTGAATTATCATAAATTATTTTCTATTTAGGCTAAATTAAACGAATGTCGTCAATTGCTGGAGCAGTTTCAATCGAAAACTTTACCAGCAGGTGTCACTGATAAAGATTTATGGGAAGCACAGAAAACCGTTCAAGTAACTCTTCATATTCGAAAGATTTGATTACTTGATCAGTTTCGTCATAGGCAATTGTTCATCCTGATACGGGAAAGAAAATTTTCATGCCATTTCGAATGGCAGGTAAGATTGATGTTTATCGCATTTCTCTATGATATTCAGCAGAAAAAATCGAAATATTCCCTTCCAACGCATATCTTCAATAACATTAATGTTATTCTATATGTAATAAACAAATAACAGTTGATTGTTTTCTCGAGAGAATTGATTGACTTTATTAGATTTTCTTGTTTATCAAAGGTTACGTTCCATTTGGTACACCGATTGTCGTTGGTCTTCTCATGCCGAATCCAACGTTAAAACAAATAATCTTCTGGCAATGGTTGAATCAAAGGTATCGATACAGCTGAAGTTTCATTAGAAATGCAATATCCTCTATTATTATTCGTAGTCATAATGCTGGTGTTAATTATGCAAATCGCAATGCAACTCAACATACACCAACATCAAAGTTTGCTATTGGTTATTTGAGCGCTGTGACTGTTTCAGTCTCGATCGCTGTAAATCCACTATTGTTCTCATTGGGTCGTTATATGAAAGGATTACTCGTAGGTTGGTTTAACAATGATTATTCGTCGCGCAAAGGCTCTTCCACCAAGGTGGAAGACCATCGTTGAGAGATTTGTTCCATTACCTGCTGTTGGTATGGTGAGACTACTTTCATCTAGTTAGTTACTATTCATATTTAATTTAGCGTGTGCAAGTACCTGCAATGTTCTGTTCATGCGTTTTCATGAATTATCTGAGGGCATTCAAGTCATCGACGAACAAAACAAACCTATAGGTGTGTCTCAAATAGCAGCGAAAAAGGTTAGCTTCATAAAAAATATCAATTTTATGTCTTGCTTTTCGTACTTAGGCCTTGACCGAGATGGCAATGACACGTGCCTTTCTACCCGTGCCCATACTCTCTATACCGCCTATTATTATGCTAGCATTTGAAAAGTAGGATCGAAGAATTGCTATGTAATTCAATTGAAGTCATTGTTTTTTTGTGCAGAAATATACTTCGTCGTTTTCCACGTTTAAACATACCGTTGAATACGGTTGCATGTACTTTTTCATTTGGCTTAGCATTACCAATGTCAATAGCTTTATTCCCACAGAAATCCAAAGTAAATATTGTAAATTTCTGCTCAATGTACATCCTTAGATATTTTATTTTAACAGGTGGCGACTAGTGAACTCGAAAAAGAGATCCAAGCCAAAACGGCTCAACCTTATGTTTATTACAACAAAGGACTTTAATTAAAAGATTTTTACATCTAAAATTGTCTTTCAATTTCTTCCCGACGATGGAAGAGGTAGTTGCTAAAAAGCTTTTGCTTTCATTTTAGATAGAAATTTTTCTTTCCATTCATACGATTACATTTTTACGAATCATTATAAACGTATTTTTCTCTCCTCGAAGTGTCTCCCATATAATTGACATCCAGAAAAATGATCTCATTCATAACAAATAAAATGAGAAGAATAAGGCATATGACAGACTTTTGTCTATTCTAGATTAAATCATGTCATTTTTCAACTTGACGTTGATGGGCTATGACGATCGGTTCAAATCTCTGAAACATTTGGAGCCAAGAAGTACTGATGCTGGTTCATCCGAATTACGAAAAGTGCCAACAGGAGGCCAGACAAAAAGCGCACTTGAAAAACAACTAGCACGTGAAATGACTGGAGACTTACAATCACGAGAATGGACAACACCGGCCGTATCGAACTTGTGAGCGTCCTGAAATAATCACTAGAGATAATTACTTGTTTTCTATATCAGAAATTACCATACTCTTCGTACGATGCATGTACGTGGCGATCAAACTCCATACCAAGCATCACGACGTCCGATGACTGCTGCTCAGGATAGTAAGAAAAGCTGATTTGTTTCATCAAACATCAACATGTATGTGTTCGATTACTAGTTGGATGGTGGAATAAAGATGCGCCATTGAAAACAAGAGAACCATGGACTCATGTAAAGCGTCACGTTCATGCTCAATCCGAAATGACAAAGTAAAATCGTCATCTGTGTTGTTGTCACTCTAATTGGTTATTTTGATGTGAATATTTTAGATTTGTCGATGATATGGTCCTCACAGATCGCTACTTTCGTCTTTTCTGAACACTTTTTTTTATTTACTGCTTTTCACTTTTGCTATGCTTCACTCCGTCCATAATCGATCACAAATAATGTAGTTTGTTTTTCTGAATAAATCAATACATTTTGAAATATAATTTAACAAAATAATTCTGTAATCTCCTTTGCTTTCTTTCTAGCTGTCATTATGAAAGTAATCATATTCGGTGCCACCGGTGGAATCGGTTCCGAATGTGTTCGACAAGCCATCGAAGACAAAGCCATTGAACTTATCACAGTTGTTACACGTCGGCCATTTGACAATAGTATTACTTCAGACAAACTTCAAGTCGTACTTCATACAGATTTTCTTGATTACACTCCACTACTAAATTTATTTGAAACTCATCAGATATGTATTTGGGCATTAGGCATATCACAAAATGCTGTGAGTGAACGCGAATACATAGAAATTACTCATGATTACACTATTGCGGCAGTGAAAGCTATCGCAAGTGTTAATCAGGCCATGAGATTTGTATTTATCAGCGGAATGGGCGCCGATTCAACTGAACAAAGTCGATTTTTATTCGGCCGTATCAAAGGTAAAACTGAAAATGATCTAGTCAACGAAGGTGGTCTCAGCGAAGTTTACACTGTTCGTCCAGCCAGCATTTTATTTTCTCAACCACTCTCAAACAAAGCTTGGTACGAACGAGCTGTTCAACCTCTCGCTCATATAATCACACTGGTGAAACCATCATGGACTATAACATCGACTGCATTAGCACGTGCAATTTTATACATTGGGAAAAATGGGCATCATGCAACATTGTTTGAAAATGAAGATCTGAAACATGTTGTTAGTCAGAACAATCTGGTAGAATGAAATACTTTATTTATTTAGTCAGCATATCTTTTTTCTTATTTACTGAATAAAATACAGGGTACTATTGATTTATTTAATAATCGAATGTTTTCCGTATATAATAGATACTAATCAGAATAGTGTATGCTTGGGAACATTGAATAGAAGATATTCTCAACAATAATGATCACTAAAATGAGTTAGAGATGCTGGTCTACCGAATGTGTGTGATAATCTGGACAGAATTGATAAATTCGTTATTTAAATGACACGATTGGTTTATTATATTTATAAATATGTATATATTTATTTCATTTCTCTGTTGACAATAAGAAAACAGAGTATTATTAATTCTAGTTAACAATCGAGCATTGTAAAACATATTTGTTGCATTGAATTAGTAACATAAATGTAGTATTTTTTATGTAAGAAGAGAAAACAGAACAAAGTAGTAATTTCAGATAGAGTCAAAGAAAACCCAACAAACAAAACAGAATTCAACTGTTCAATGAACAAAAAAAAAATAGTTAGGGAATGTGTGCACAGAGAAAGAGAAGATTGGACGAAATATAGAGGAATCAAGAAGAAGAAAAATGCAGATTGATGGTATTTAACTGAACAACTAAATCGTTTTCTATGAATTGTACAATGATTAATTTTGTCTGTTAATAATTATAAATAAAGAATAAATAAGTCAATAAAGCTTCTCGCTGAAAATAAATACACAAGCTCTACACAACATACAGATTTAATAGACACACACATACACTTAAGATTTCTTTCGATGGATTTATTTCAATATTGGACGGTTACCTACACCGTGTGTTGGAAGTGCTGAAATGGAAAAAGAACATGACAGTGATATTGTGAAGATTGAATGGAAATAATTCATACTTGAGTTTGGAAACATGGAATGAGTATTGTTATTATTATTATTCATCATCATTTGCGATGGAAATCCACTATTTGTTGGACTAGTTGGACTGGTGAGTTGATTGAGTGGTAATGAAGATTTTTGTGCATCGCCACGAGTATGTGGAATCAAATTATTCAACGATATGTCAATTTTACCGTGTGCCGATGTCCAAGTATTCTGAAAGCGATAGAAGAAGATGATTTGTTTTCAAGAAAACACGTGAATAGGGCAAACAATGGAAAAGAATGAAATCCCATGAAAAATTAGTTGATTTTGATGAAAAGCGGTAAAATGTTAGAGCAGCGATGATACCTGTTTCTCCGAAGCAGAAAGATTTTGTTGTTGATCTACTGCAGGGGATGAGGCTGGAAAGACTGCCTATATAAAGAATTAGTATTTTGCAGTACTTCGTTACGATTTCTTCGTCTTTCGGCCTCTTTGAGATAGCATATTTATTCGAAATACTTACATTAAATGAATTATTGTTTGGTCTATTGAATTGTTGTTGTGTAGATGGAAACATCATCGGTTGTTGTGGTGGGAACATTTGTGGACGTACAAATGATTGTTGTTGAGGGGCGAAAAATGTATTGGTTTGCTGAGTTGTTTGAGGTGCCGTCATAAAAAAATCTAAATCATTTGACGATGAGTTGTTAGTAGTTGGGAATGCTGGTTTTGTTGTTGTTGTTGTTGTAGACATTGGTTGTAAAAGATCTGTTGAAGTTGTTGTTTGTTGAAATAAATCAAATGGATCGAATTTCATCGAAGATGGAGGAACTGATGGGGTGGAATTTGTGTTAGTTGTCCAAAACGAAGCTTCTGTTCTAGAAAAAAAAACTTTCATTTTATGGTGGATCTAGAAGACCAAAAGCGAGTTTACGTTGCAGTTGGTGGTATCACTTGTTTGGTTGGAATATCTGTTGCTTCTTGAAATTGGCCAAAATCATCATCACGTGATGATTGGCTAGTCGGCGCTTGAACATATGGAGCAAAACCGTCATCGTCATCGCCGCCTAGCAGATCAACAACAGGTACTTGAGGTGCTGCAACCGGCGCAGTTATTTGTGGTTTTTTAGTCGTGTTTGTCGAGGACTATAGACAATAATCACAAAGTTATTTCTTTGATACATAATTTATGATAATATTATTCATAAACACCCCGGTAATAAATTTATTACCGATTTCAATGTTTTGGTATAGGTTAAAGATTACTTCACAGAAATCATTCTACTTGACTGAATTATTTTTATGCTCCTGGCGATCAATAAAGCTTCAGTGCGTGCATTCATATTCTCGATTAGTAGACAATGCTAATTTGCTCATGGAAAGAAGCAAGAATAGCATTCACAAAATTTTCCTTTCATTATTCCGGAAATTTCAATTCTGCTTAATAGTCTCGATGGCGATCGTCTATTTTTAAAATAGATTCTCACTGTTGTTCTGTTCCGATTGCCTTGATATGTTCTTTCTCTTCTTATCTATCCCGTATTCTTTATCTTTCATTCAGAATTTACAATCGCTTTCGAGATAATAACGTAACATACCCGAGTTGACGAGGTTGTTTGAGTTTTATTTGCTGTTGTTGATGTTTTTGTAACTTCAAAATCACTCTCCTATAATTAAATGGAAATGAATGCAAAATTATCGAGACAGAAAAGTAGAAACAAAAAACGACAAACAGAGCAATTTGTTTACAATGAGAAACAATGCTTCATTTTCATCCTCATACGAAAATTTCTATAGTTAAAAGTTAGTCTTTCGTTCAGTTTCTTCTCTTGTCGTTTACCTTGGTTTTACTACGATACTCTGGTTTGGTATCATTCCATGTAGAATCGTGATATTCATTACTCTTTTTCGAGTATCGATTTTCATCATCACTAAAGACAAAACAGAAGAACGTCAAGATCCGGTGATTAACAATGAAGTTTGCTCAGTATGTTATGAATGGATAGAATAATGCATTCATCAATCTTTCTCAGATGACGCGCATGATAATTATCATCCTTGCAAATTCAGAATAATCACCTAATGTCCGGTGAATAATCGTGTGATGGTCGTCGTTGATCAAGAACCATTTCTTTCATTTTATTAGCTAAATCTTCCGCTTTATTAAAACCTTCTTCAAATATCGAGGGATTTGTCGATCGCCATCGACCATCTAGTTCAACGAAATCTTTCTTTCGTGTTGAATTGCTTCCACTACTGGACTCTTCGTAGTCATTCCAGCGATCACCTAGAAGGGAATTTGTCAAATGAAATCTAGAGAATAAAATCGAAAACTGACCATAACGGCTAGACGATGTATCGCTTCCAACACCAACGTATTTATCACGATTGACTTTCGCTTTCTTTCGTTCATCGCGAAGCCGATCATCATCTTGAATGAATTCAACTATTTCTTTCACTTTATGACGTACTAGAGAACACAAACCATTGTTAATGTTAAATAATTCCGTACATGTAAATGTCGTCTTACCATTAATGCCTTGATCTTTTCCTTGTTCATCATGGTAGGAAAAGCTTTCCAAACTTTTCAGATCATAGAGATGCTCTCGTGCTGACGTCACTACTTTATCACTTCCATTTCTGATTAAGTAGGTTAAAACGAGCAGAGACTAAAAAAGAACAAAATACATGCGTTGAGTCAGTCGATTCTCCAACTGAATTTATCATTTCAATGAAGTGAAAATAAAAATCTGTTCTATCTTCAATTACAACGTAAACAAGAAAAGATAAAACTCAATCGCAAATCGATAACATATCCATTTCATTTCACTTCTTCGACGATCGTTATCTATCTGATAGGTTATGTACGATAGAGTCAAACGTACTTTATATGTTCGTCGCCATAATTTTTTATCTTGTCCAAAACAACGTTTCCACAGCATTCCCATTAACTATAATAACAATCAAAGACAAAATCAATACGGTTTCAAATAGGATCATCATACTTCAGTATAATGCTCATAGGAATAGGATAACTGAGAAAGTTCTTGTAGTAATTTGCCAGATGGACCCCACGATTCATCATTAGTCGCTTCAACAACTTTGGCTTCTGTTTCCGTGTAGTTCATCACAATATTGGTTGCTTTATCGAATAATTCACGAACTTTATAAGGCATGGCTGGCATATAACTACTTAAGTTAATTTTACTGAGATCCATCGTTAAATTCAACTTCTGAAAAACAAAGATTTGGAGAAGAGCATCGTAAATAACAAAGTTTTGCGTCAAAGAAAAACTAGTTGCGATACAAAACAGAAAGAAGAAGAAGAAAAAAAAAGAACATCAACGAGTGATGAATAAAATGAATATCGAAGTGGATCAGACAAAGCGAGTAAAAGAACCGAAGGTAATGATGATGATGATGACGCGGTGACGAGAGCGGCGACCATTTGAGTGGTTGCACTTAACTTACTACTGAACTTCATTGGTATCACCGTTAGTTTCTCATAACTATTCAAAATTTTTAATAGAAAAATTCCTTGGATTTGTTATTCAAAAAAATAAATTGTGTAGGAAAATTTGTTCTCTATGGTGATGTCGCTAAGAACTGAGAAATATATCGAGAATTGATTAACCAATAGGAACTGTTGATGATATGGACCGTCATTTAATTTTAATGTTGCGGGTTATGAGAAAGATATTATGACTGTAAATCTCAGAGTAAGATCGTATATTTTCATCAATTAAACGATAAAAATTAACATGATTGATATAGAGTCTCTTCAAGGATATTGATCGTCGTTATGGTATTACTTATACATATCGTCGTTTAAAGCGAAGGTAGGTAAGTTGAGAATTAGCTGAGATTTGGTATATAAACATCGATTTCGTTGCCGAAATTTCTCTTCGTTTAGGTTCTAAAACAGATTTTTCTATCTTTATGATAAATATGCGTTTCGGCATAACGATTAAAGGCAGATTTTATATCATTCGACAGTAGGCGCTTGTTATTTCAATTTTGCTAAATCTGAATAACTAACTAGTCCAGCATTTCTTTTCCTTTTCGAACAAGTTTCTTATCTGATTTAGAACTCGTCGATCGTTTCTTTGTCTCATCATTATCACTATCATTATTTTCTATCTATTCGTCAAATGGACACCTCACGAGGTCACATACAAGAATAGTATGTTCTCGAAAAAAAATTTCTGAAACAAGCCTATCTATCTGTTTATTAGTTAATTACGATCGATGTTTGCAAAACCGACTGGAACAATTTTCACGGGATCAAGAGGAAATGAACACAATTTTCAATCATGACCCGATTCAGTATGGAGAAATCGTTAGTTTGCCATTCACAGGTTAGAAATCATACCAAAAATGAACACTCAAAACATGATTATCTGTACCTCTTGTATATTCAGGTAACGGTTATCTTGGTCTTTCTTTATCCAGTCAATCTCACATACAACTTTTAACTGATATTCGTTCCCAATTCATATCTACTGGTTACTCTCCAATTGTTCATATTTCGTCTGATACATGGGAGGCTTCAAGTGTAACACTATTACAAATGAAACAAGGTCTCGTCAAACGTATTCAATGTTATAAACTTAGTCAAGAACGTTCTGCACATGTTACTCAATCCTTATATGTACATCGACAGCGACCATCGTTGATTGTTCAAGATATCGAAATCACTAATCCCAGTGAACATGCCCTTGACCTTGGATTACTACAAAAGAGAGAAATATCGAAAACGGATGTCCAACAGCTCGATGAACAAGATGTTCGATTTGACTCGCCAACGAATATTTATCAAATGACAACGAATCAAATATCAACACGGCAAAATAATCCTATTATATATGTTATTATTACGAATAAAGTACTGTCGAATACCAATGTTAAACCCGGTAGGTATGTTCGAATGAAGCCAGTTCCGAATTGTTTATTACGTTCGCTAAAATTTTTCTCTTTCTCTACCTTTTTTAGCCTAGAAAAACAAACAATTCTAACTGTAGTAAAGTTTTCTTCTCCACTTTCGAAAGCTTCCATTGCAAATGAAACCTATCTCAACGAATGGAAAGTTAAATTACAAAAACAAGCCAAAGATGACATGGCAAACGCTCTTTCAACATCATCTGTTAGATTATTAAAAGAGCATGTTAATACATGGTCATCAATATGGCAAAGCGGTTTTCGTATGAGTCGTTCATTGGCACCCTCAGCCATGAATGGAGATGTTATCAATCGAACGCTTTACTATGTTCTTTGTTCAACCCCATCGCCGATTTATGAATTTAATATTGATGAAAGTAAAAGAAATGAGTTGAATCAGAGCCTCTTTCAAATGGAGCAATGCTATGAAAGTCATTCAACATTGTAAGTTCTGCTGAAACCTTTAATATCTATTCCTATGACTGCTTTCGATGTAGAATTGGAGAAAAACTATGGATATCGCCTGGTGATGATCTAGCTGTATCACAATTAGCTAACCTATGGCGTTCGACGTTATCTCGAAAGGGTTGTTTTACATTAATGCGAAGTGGTATGTTCTCGCATTCAGTTCTACTGATTAGGAAAATCTTTGTCGTACATGGTTTTGTTTTTACAGGTGCTGATGGTGTTCTTCAATCTATGTTGCTTTCCATCGGTGGTATACGTTTTCGTACACATCATTTAGAGATGTATCTCGATCCGAAGGAGCTTCATCGTGATATGTTTTTTCGTTCGATTAATTTTGGTAAACAATATCATGTAAATATAAGTATTACCGTTGGTCACGATAATCGTGCTGTTATCGATGTATCGATTGATAATGAAAACGCTCAGGCTTATGCATGCGATGCTGGTTGTTTAGATCCGCCAACAAAATTAAGGTTGTTCATACTTGTTTTTCTTCTGTGCGAAGAAACGTTTATTTATTTTTCTTTCTAGTCATCAACCGGTACGTTTCCCGGTAAAAATGACAAGTCCACCAACAGCAATTCTCTACATTGCCGAAGATTTCGAGTATATGACACAATTAAAAGACACATTACATGTAAAAGAAGTCGAGATCGGTATGAATGCATCCTTGCCTCTTTTACTAGAAACCTACTTGACGTTTAATTTTTGTTTATTTAGCTCCTCCTCATGCACATGATGTTCTCGCACTTCACCGACACGGTCATAAACTTGGCGGCTTGCCTATAGTCTTCTGGATTGCATTAGCATTTTTAATCGTTATATTCCATTTATTTTTATTAAAAATCATTCTGAATGAAATGGGATTCTTCAAACATACATTACCAAACTACACAAGGCCTCGTGTTCTATAACTCTAAACTTGTTGTTTTCGAATTCATTCGCATTTGTAAAGATGAATATCTGTTTTTTTATGTTTGTTTTCAACTCGCTGTTTATCTTCGTTATTTTCTATTTCAAACGAGAAGACTTGGGAAGGAAAAACAAAATCGAATAAATAGTCCGAGAACATGGTTGCTGGTCGATTAACTTTCAGTCGTTAATAATACACAAAATCAGATTTGCATGGTGACGACTCGTCATAGAAAGTTGTTTGACATTTTCTTCTTCTCTTCTAATGACTGTCGATCATAATTTATGATTTTGAAAAGGAAGAATAAAAGAAAAGTCTCAGAGAACGATAGTTGGCGAAGGAGAGAAAGCAATCACTTTGTTCCTTTGTACAACGAGATCTGCTGAAATTTTTTGTTCTTTATCGTTAAACTGTCAATGTTGCACACATTTGATTTCGATTAGATGAGATTTTCTTCTTCTCTCACTCATCCCGCTAAAAGAGTTTCAGTGTCGTTTACGATAACAACAACATCGATACCAAACAAAATCTTGTAATTGTGTTGTTGTTGTTGCCGCTGAAGAGAAGGAGAAAAGTAAAGAAGAGAGAAAAAAGGTAAAAAATATCTTGTGATGAAACTCACGTCTCAAGGATCGATTTAAAACAAAAATAACTTTGTAATTCTTTTTTGTTCTTTGCTTTTTCATTGTTTGCATCGTTTATTTTTAAGGATAATCATATCCGAAAGAAAATCTAGCTCAATGCAACCACCAAAACCTTGGACTAAAACAACCGAGCCGTCATCTTACGACCAAATCTACAAATTTCTCGAACATTCGCTAAATGAATGTTTGTCTTTCATCGACGAAATTGAAAATGAATATTATCAAGATACATCGACTTCAGTGAATATTAAACCTAAACTTCAAACAGCCAGAAGACCGCAATCTGTTAATACACTTATTGCATGGTCGGGACCATTGAATGAATTACGAAATGCACGTCTTCTTAGTGATATTCGAAATGGTAAAACAGCACGGGATCTTCTAACTGAAGCCAGAACGGGAAATTTCGGTGATTCGATATCGGATGAGTGTGTCAACCTGTTGAAGAGTATTTTGGATAAAACAAACGATCAATTACACTCAAAAATGCCACTATTAGCTAATAAAATCGCGGAATGTATGAATTTAATGGAACAATACTTTCTTTCGTTTTATGACATTGATAATATTCAAGAAGTTGTTCAAAAACGAAGAAATGATCGACCACCGGTAAGTATCTCTACTTGCAACAGTGATGTATTTATCGAGCAGATGATTTAGTCATAGTTGGATAGTTGAGAATCACTTCGAGATGATCGAGTCATTCTTTTTAGAATATTCTACAAGTGTATTGCAAGAAAAACTAAGGTATACTTTGCATGTGCATGATAATTCTATTGTTTGTTTTTTTCTGATACTTTTGCATGAAACGAAGGAGATCTTTCTACTTCAGTTTGATTTCATCTCTCGTGTTACTTAGGATGAATACGTTGAAACAGCGTATACTTATGAAAAAGCTCGATGGACGCATATATTTCAAGTGAATAAGTCAATAAAAATCTTATCGGAAATGCAACAACGTGCTGAAGACACTCGAGGCATTGTCATGTCATCTTTATCGAAAGAATGTCAAGAATTGGCTGTTCGTTGTGATTGTACATCGCTTTCATACATATTCGCGTTGCCCGAATGTTACATTGAAGCTCGACGAGCAATTCAAGCTCTTCGAACTTGGTTAAGCGAAGATTCGAAATACACATCATTTATTCAAACGTAATTTTTCAGTTACACGAATGGTTGAATAAAATAGAGTTCGATGTTTAGGTCATTGAAAGTGTTGGATGAAAAATTCGCTGACGAGAAGAAGAACTTTGAATTTGCCAAAGCACATCTTAGTCATGTTGAACATCGAGTAATTATAGAATTTGATTATTTTACTGATTATAAATATCAATCGATTTCCCTAGGCGGATTCCTTTCATATTCAATTGAAGAAAGCTGAACAGGAAAATGAACTCAATGCGAAAAAGCTTGAAGAACTCGAAGAACGACTAGATACGAAAGAACGAGATTATCTATCAAAGCGTTTGACATCAGAAGTGTATGAGGATCAATTGAAAAAAATGCTTCAAGCAGCCGAAGAATCCGATACTGTTGATAATCATTTATCCATCGAACGATTTCAGCAAGAGATTAAACAATTTGCTAGAGAGTTGCCAAAATTAAAAGCTCAAATGGAAACAATTAAAGGACGTATTGCGTTTTTTAAACAGCGCAAAGAAGAATTAGCAGCGATGCGTACAGAACACAAACGCTTGGCGCAAGAAGCACAGGTGGCATTAGAAGAGAGAATTTTAAGAGAAAATGAATTCAATCGCGTAGCGAGTTGTCGAGATGTAATACGAAATATTTACAGATGTCGTTCAACGAATGATTTGCCACAAAAAATCTTCTATTCTCTACCAATTCGATCGAGAAGATCAGGTGAAGCTGATAATGGTAAGGCACACTTGACTTTGTTTATAACATGAAAAAGAAGAGTACAAACTGTTTGATTCTATTCCAGATGATCTGTCCAAAGCTATTCGTCTCGTAGCAAAAAATATCGGCCGAGACTGGACTCGACTCTATTGGCAGTTACCTTTTCATCCAGCACGTGGTCAAGAAGAAATATCGAAAGATATTGAATACATCGACGATAAATACCATCGCGGTGACGTTCATCAAGTTCGTATAGATTTGAATTGGTCAACAATTGTTATTGACATGTACTATTGATTATTTTGTCTAGGCACAAGCAACAGATTCATTGAATAAATGGCGACGTTTCCATACACGTGCCGTACTTGACGATCTAATTCGAGCACTTCGTAAAGTACGTCGCCCAGACATAGTACAAACTATTGAACGACGTATTCTCAAGCCCAAAATATCTATCAATGATATCCATGAAGATGTCGACCCCCGAAAGAAAGAAATTGAAGATTTAAATCGAAAACTGAATCATTTATTTGATAAAATTAAAACAGGTGCTATTACCACGCACGACACATATTCCTATTCAACTATTGGTATCGCCCCGCTACGCCCGGTTAGAAAACACCGCACTCTGGCCACACATTGAATTGCACTTTTGTTCACACTAACTTTTCTTTTTGAATACATCACTATTTTTCAAAACCTGCACCTTCCAATGCACTTTACCATTTCATTGAACACACGCACTTTTGTATATCTGCACAAATATTCCTTTTAATCTTGTTTTTCGTATGAGATCAGATGATATGACTGATTATTCAAGCTTTCTCAAGAATTAGATCGGCTAAAGTTTTCTTTATTTACAGATGAATGACCGTAGAATGACAAAAAGTACGGATTTTGCTTCGTAAAACCCATCGTATCACCTTCCGAATGAACAAATTCAACAAAGTTGACGCAGAAACTCATCCATACACAATGGACGGTGCTTTATCTAGAAACACACATGTTTTATATTCGCTTTCATATTTTATTGTTTGATGTCCTAAATAAATTATGGAAAATCAATGGGTTTCTGTTATCCGATTTTGCCAAAAAGACATTTTTCATGTACGGCAACGAGATCGAATATCTGGTTAGAGTAGGGTGAAGTAGTATCGTCTCCATAAATTTCCTTGTTTATATAAAAAGTCAAAAAGCTTACGACACTCGGTATTCCCAGGCGGTCACCCATCCAAGTACTAACCGAGCCCGACGTTGCTTAACTTCAGTGATCGGACGAGAACTGGTGTATTCAACGTGGTATGGCCGTAAGCGTATGTAACTATCTTAGATTTCATCGTCCGTCTAACGTTAAACCAAATCTTTTATTCCCTTTTCTGAAAGAAAGGGTTATAGCGACATAAATACAGTCGTGAAACTGAATAAAGTTTGTTTGTTTGCATAATCCAATCAGATTGCAGCATATTACAAATCAATGAAATTTATCTATAATCATCAAAGATTGACCACTGATGAGATAACCGAGGTCCAGGATTACGAATCTGAGGTTACTTTTTCGAAATTCCAATTACCTAATTAGCTAATTACTAATTAAAGAATGAAAATCTTTTTAGTTGTCGAGTAAGGGTTGACCGAAGGGTAATCGGGGTCGAAGATATCGAATCTTGTGTTATTTTTTCCGTAGAAAAATTCTGTTCTGTTTTTTCAGAAAAAGTACGATTTTTTGCAAGGAAGATTTTTTGTGGGCGATAGTGTTTGAAGCAGCAATATGTAGAACAAAACGGAATAGCTGATTAACGTCCGCCTGCTGGATACTCATACTCATCAGCATATTGATAACATTACTGAAGGGAGTTTAAGCTAGATGAAAGAATGAAAGTTGGACATGTAACGGCTAGCCGCGAGTGGCCGATCGAAGGTAGACCGACGAGCGACCAGGAGTTTGTTTGGGTGGCCTAGAAGAGATAAAATAAGTGTAAGTAAATTGATTTTTGATCGTAAATAGTGAGAAGAGAGTCGATTCGTAAATCTTTAGAAACAGTGTTCCTTTTGCCCATGTCTTTGGACAAATGAATTGAAAGCAGTTTGGCATGAATAAAGTAGAAAAGGATTAAAAGAAAAGAATGTGCATAAAAGTGGCTTTAGTTCGAAGCGCGTTAGAGTGAGATATACGTTAGAGTTTTTATCTGAGTCTTGTAATTCTTTCAGAACAGGGTCAGCGAATCCAACAGATGAGCGCTACTTGTTGGTAGTAGCAAACGAAACAATTAAGTTTATTTTTGACTCAGATTGGCAAATACATTCAATGAGAACTAATTTACAATAAAGGAAAATATGCATTATAATCTTTCAAGCCAACAGATATAAGTAATATCAGTTGTTCCAATCTCAAGCGAGGTAAGATGATGCTATTGAACAATTTCATTCGACTGAATTACTACCAGATGATTTCTCCATATTATTCGACTGCGGATTAGTATTCCAAATACAAAAGGTTTTTTACCAATGGAAAAGCTTTAGCTATTCTAAGAAAAAAAAGAACATATTCAAATGACGTCCAGTCAGCTACATATAGCTCAATAACGTAATTGAACACGGTATTTGTAAGTATATTGTCAATAAAGCAAAGCTTTCCAAAGTCAAAGGGTAACGTATATACACGATATGTGATTGAGAAAGTACGGATAATAACACCTGATATTTCGTGATATCCAAGATTCATGAAATTTCATGTATAAGATGTATTGGATTCATCCCATGTTGTATGTTTTTAACCCCTGAGAACGGACGACGTATGTATTCGTCTGGGTTGAAATAACTCATATTTTATTTGCGTATACTATTCACGATATTTTAATAATCTATGTCGCTATATATATCGTTAATGCATTATACTATCATTCGTATAGTAACCTCTTTCATCTACTTTCTTTTTGTAGTTATATTTATCACTTCTAATTTTTCGCTATGTCATAGTCCACCGCTATCATTTATCGTCTATTTTTATTTATCTTCCCACACATTGTCTCTTGCATCCACCAGAGTGTGTAAAGTCTTGTTTGCTCTATTAAAAATAATCCTGTTCCCAAGGGGTTCATGCTACTAGTGAAATCGAATCGTCGAAAATAATTTTAGTAAGAGGGACTATGAATGCGCATCAATTAAGGAATAGAATAGATTTTCAGGCAAATCACATAGGCAATCTGTGTTTCAGCAAAGGAAAACCGATTCTTAAGTACTAGAACAATGTAGTTCCATTCGTTTCATAATTTATTGCAGAAAGCATAGAGTAAAATATTATGAAACCGATATAACATAGCACGCTTTACATAAAATACTATCTTCCACAGCCAAATAATACATCAAGTACTATTTTTGCCCTTCGTTGTAACTGCTCGCATTTGTATATCACAGTTATTATATTGTAAAAAACTAATCGGAAGTCAGTTGATAGCAGGACTATGGATGTTTTAAAGTAAGATACTACAGCGTTCTTGTAGATTTCATAATTATCGTTAAAACCACCTGTTTAGGGATATTGAAAAGCGTTTTAACTTTTCCAATAAGCTAAACGTCTTGTTTTTTAAGAGAATCGATAAAATTTGGTGTTTCGAAGGTTTCCCACGTTTTCTTATTTATTAAAATACCATGGGGTAATTACAGAGATGGGCAAGTCAGAGGTTTTTCCAAGTCAAGTCAAGTCAAGTCAAGTCAAGTCAAGTCAAGTCAAGTCATTGATGCTTTCAAGTCAAGTCACCTTGATTCAAAGTTCGCTTAAAACCATCGTTTCTGCAGCATGTGTTTTATGGAACTTTCAACAAGTCAATACTTCTATTATTCAAAAAAATTCATACAAAATGGGAATCGTCTTCCGAGTTAGAGTTCGTCGGCTTGTGACGGTGAACTTCGGATCAACTTTGTTCATGAAATTAATGAATGCCGACCGATCTACAATTTATAAAGGCAAACCCAGAGATATGATTAGATCGTTCACGATAGCCGCAGATAATTCCACTTGTCGAGAATGATTCGAACCGTAAGATTGCCCAATGGGAGAATGTTTCGGCTTTTGAAAATGTGTTGTAA